AAATTTCATGAGAATCGGTCTAGCCGTTTCGGAGGAGTTTAACTACAAACACCGCTACACGAGAATTTTACATATTAGATATGTCACGCGTATTTTCTTTCAGTATATAATGGTATTTTTATTTTCAGACGGGGAGTACTTATTTGTTGATTTGGAAAGCAAACTATCTAAATACGCACCAAAGAGCTGGAGATCTTCTCATACTCATGTAAGTAATCCATGCATGCATTCTTTATCATCTATTATTTATTACCAAACCATTAAAAACACCAAAAGGCATAATTCAATTGTTTAAGCAATTTCTAATTCTTTTGTTTTTACCATTTCAGGGTTTAGACGCAAATGGAAAACCATTGCTGGAACTTCACCTAGTCGTACAATTCCACGTGGAAAGTCCACTACTTTTACACGATGACGTCGGACGCCATTTGTATTATCTCCAACTACTTCACAACATACGCTCAAGGGATGCTTTACCAGTAGAAATACTTTTACTCTTAATAGGACTAGCATTACAAGCCGATTGTGGTGATGAAGAATCCTATGACAATCGGGAGTACTTTAAAATTGAAGATTACGCCCCAACATCTTTAACTGGTGATTGGGTATCGGCCGCTGCAAGAGCTTGTCACCGGGAGCATCGGGGTCTTACAAAAACCGATGCAGAAACCAGATTTATTCGTGAAGTGTGCCTCCTACCTGATACCATTAATTCTCATAGATATCGACTAAAGCAATCAAAGACCGAACTTGAACCAGGTACTGTTTGGTTACTAGTCACGGCAAAAGGAATAAAAATATTACCCGACAAAGGGTCCACGTCAAATTTTATTTGGAGTTCCATTGGCAAGTTGAGTTTTGATCGAAAGAAATTTGAAATCAGAACTGAGGAAGGCAAAATCACATTATACTCGTCGAGTGAAGAGAAATGTAAATATTTATTCGCTTTATGTAAAGAAACCCATCAGTTTTCAATGAAACTATCATCAAAACTAAATGAAATTTTAATCCGAGAAGAAGATGAACGCAAGAATTGTTTCGCTTACTCGAAATCGTTTAGTTTAAACTACAATAAAAATAAAAGTGAACAAAGAATATCTCTAATATCGTCCACAAGCTCCAATACTACATCAGGAATTGTGAGTGACAGAGTACAATCAGAAGATGAGTTGGAAATAATGATAGATACGCCCCCTGCTCCATCAACTGAAAGTTTAGCATTTGCTCATCTATTAGACAGTTCAAATTCATATAAAGTTTCATCATTGCAAATGCAAAAACCCAAAGTTCGTAAGAAAAGTAAAGAAGATACAGATAAAATAAAAAACGATACATCTTTTGAACCCGTACCAGAAACGAGCCGTCAGTATGAGGACGGTGATCAAACAAGTGAATCTCTAGCAGACAGCCCATCGAGTAATATGAAATGTACTGGTTCACAATGTTCCTCATCTTGCAGTACAGTCATTATGGCGAGGGCCGGGTTAAGCCCCCTTAGCAGAGCATCTAACGGAAGCAGTTTGGAGTTAGGATATAGTCATACAACCCAAAATTCCATGTTAAGTGATAACAGTACAGTAGGAATTGACATAGAATACACTCAAGATACAGCTTCCGCCTTGTATGACGGTCTAGGACAAGCAGCAACAGTAGCGGCGTCAAGTGAAACTAGCGGTGTTTATACTATGGGAAGTTCAGAACTCACTGCACGTTCAAAAACTTATTCCATATCGCAAGGCAGTCGAACTGATTACAGCGGTTCATCATACGATAGATATAAATCATGCAAAGAAAATGATTTAGCCGACTTCGACAGCGTGTCTTCTATATTAAAACATAAGTCGGAACGAACAAAAATACATAGAAATCCAACATCTCAGCCTAGTTCAGATTGCATTGATGGAATTAATCAATTCTGTGATGAAACCGCAAGTGATAATAAAGAAAACGTGTTTCGCGAGCGCACAAACTCTAACGTTAGCGTTACATCTTTTCATGGCGACGGAAGTGATCCGACTGATAATAAACACAATATATTAAGTGCAAGTGAACTAAGTGATCTAATAGTCGGTCGTGGTATTTATCCCAAAACACAATCCGTAAGTGACACATTTGATTCAGTTTCAGATTACGTTAGGATACCATTGCCGTTTAATGGCGAAGGCTATCATCAAAACTTAGATAATTCAGCACAAACGGCAACGCTTAACAGCAGCTACATAAATAATTCATTTTTCGACCGACCTCCGACACCACCAACTCGATTAGACAGCAGAAAAGGGTTTCATTTGTCTTTGCCAAACATTTTAGATATAGATGCATCTATTTTCCCAAAGTATCCAGACAAACCTCCTCCACCGTACGAATATAATCATAAAACTTTGTCGTCGTCTACCTCCACGCCCACAAAACCTCCGCCTGCATATCCAGGTTCAAGTAATTCTAGTACTTTTTCAAAACAAGCAGATAAAGAGGAAGTAGAAGCAAGAGTGGTTACATCTAAACCTATGATCACTATTCTCACAGCGGAAGCCGGAGAAGTCAACACTTCGGGTGAGCGAACCTTTGCGAGCCCAATGGTTCTGGAACACCGATTTCAAAAGTCCAAGCGTCACCAAGCTTCAAGTCGTAGAGCTGAACGTTCAAAATTAGCTCAGGGTCTAACGAATTTATCGCCTTCAAGAGAAGTTCCTCCGGGTGTCAGTCCTAATGTCCTAGTAGCGATGATGAAATTACCGCCGCCACCTCCTCCGCCCCGTCACACGAGACTGCCTCCTCCGCCGCCCGTAGCGAGGCTGCCGCCCCCGCCTCCACCACATAACCCTATGTTTCACCAACAACTTTACAGTGACGTGGACTATGTATACTATCCTCTTCAAGACCCATCCGTGTCCCAACAGAACTACCTCGACCACAAGTTAACTGAATCTCGAATATCAAACATGCACAAAAATGGGCTACACTATAGAAGTACACCATTTCTCTCTACATCGTTATCGTGCTCTTCGACGTATGGCTCGATCCAAAACTTGTCTGATTCCTATGTTCAAATTCCCGGAACTCGTACCAGTTGGTACTCAATGACTAGTCGAAATTCTACAAGTAGCCATTCGATTAATCTAGATAGACCACCATTACCGACCCGCATCGCGGAGGTTCCGAACTTTAATCGAACTAAATCGCACGAAAACATGATAATTATAAAAGACCCACCGCCTTTAAAATTGAGAAGAATGCCGCCTCCGCCACCCCCTCCCTATGAACACAAGAAAAAGCTTCCATCTCATTTGAAAGAAACAAAGCTTCCTCATTGTAGTACAAGTGACAATATTTTAAGAAAGAAAATCGATGCAACTAAATGCGATTTAGACATCAAAACGCTTAGAGAAAAAAGCAAGAACTTAGACTTGCCACTCATAGCCGCTTTGTGCAACGACCGTTCACTATTAAAACAAACTAAAGCCTTTGGCGCCCCAAAAATAAAGCCAGTCAGTGATTGTGAAAGTGATCGAAAAAGTACGAAGTCGGATCCAGTAACCACCGATAATTTAGATAAGAATAAATCTGATATAAGTAACAGGAAAGTAAGCACAGGTTCTCAAAAGAGAGTGTTAGTACGCAATCCAACAGATAAACTTCCAGCATTGCCCGGAGCAGAAAGTCACACTCCAAGAGCTATGTCTAATACGTATGTGATGCATCCGAGTGTCATTAAGACAAAGAGAACTCAACCCAGCTCATGACAATTTTCCGCATGTCACCTTTCTTTTTGTGAATCCTTCCAGTGCTATTAACATTTCCCATTAATTACATTTTTATTCAAATAAAGACTGAAAAGCCATACATTCCCACTACCGCTCTAGTTAGATTTTGTTGTTATACTTAAATGGAATGCTTTTTTAAATACATAGTTCTACATTAATGCCAAGACTTTTTTATTACTCGAAATACGTTAGAAAATATAAATTAGTGGTTGGCCTTCCATTTGAGTAACGACACCCAATGTTTAAAATAAGTATGCATTAAGTAGATAAATTAAGTAAAATGACTATGTCCCTTCGAAGCGCAAAATGCTTTTAATTCATGTTTATTTATTTCGTTGATATTTGAAACTAAGATAATTTATAACAAATATAACATGTGATTATATTTTTATAAAAACTTTTTAAATTCTGTTTATATTGATATGTTTAAAGATTTAGTCTTAGAAAATGCGTATTACTAAAATTATATCCAACGCACAATCACATGTATGATTATCGGGTATCATGTACAATAAAACTAAATTAAGAATACAAATACTTTATTAAGATATTGTATGATTTCGAAAATTCTCTATAAAATAGTGAATTTTATAAAGGCAAAATACTCACTAATATTTATCTGAAATATTTAAAGAACATGTAAATTTAAAGTCATTGCTAAGTCCTAGTTATAGAATGTAACAATTATTTATTTCACAACAAAATGTACATAGAACATTGTTGATAAATAAATCGTAAGTACATTAAACATTTCATTATGTACAAATGTATAGTAAATAATTGAGAAGCACTGTTTATTTTTCTTGCATTCCTTTTCCCATAAATAGTAAGAATTTTACGTACACTTTGGCCATTATTGTTCAATAATAATATCACACAAAAAATCACACTTTTTGACAAACTTAACAAGCCATATCAGTAAGTAACATAAAATAGAGAGCATTTAATTTCCACTAATGGTAAAAAACTATATTTTAGCTTAATTATATATATCTACTTATATGTAGATAGAAAACAAGAATACAATTAAAAAAGAAAATACTGTTACTAAACTATGTGTGGCAAAGCAAATAGAATATTGAAGTTTTGTTTATCCTAAAAAAAATGTAGGAACAAAAGGACTAGATTTGAGATTTTAAATATTTGGTATGATAAATTTAAAACTATTGAGTTAACATCAACAGAAATAATACTTTTTAAAATGTGCCAGCATATGCTTAGCTTACATAATTTTCATTATTTTTCTAATTTTATAATAAGAGCCGAATTCGGAGAAAACGTAACCTTATCAAAGTATAAACTTGTTCCGACAAGAGACGAATTTGTCGCACCCACAACAACACCACCATAAAACATAGATGATAAATCAGTTGTTATCGCCTGATTACCAAAATTACCAACAAATACACACGTATTTCTTCGCGGAAACCAGCGCTCAATGACAACAAGATTGTCCACAGTTTTACGCACATCTATATTTTTCAAAACATTACCCTCTTTATATATCCCCCGTAAATATATTGTTGGAGTGTCCAATCTCACTTTAATTAAGTGTTTTATAGTGTTTAAATATTCGTACATTGGTTTTTTGATAGATTCATGATTCCACGGTAATATTGCGCCGGTTTCAGTTTTGTCATTTTCAGGAAAAGACATAGTAGCAAGATTATGTACGTGTTCATGTTCATGGAAATCACTTTCTATACCATATCTTTCTAGACTCCCCAAACCTATTTCATCGCCGTAGAATATTCCTACCGCTCCAGGCAAGGCCATCTCTAAAGCTATTGAAGCAAGAGTATTATTGGTTGTTTTTGATGAAATCCTTTGACTGTTGATGTTACCTATATTCCAATGAACCCATGGATAGTGAGGTTTTTCCCAAAGGATTCCAGATGTTACCGATTCAATCCTATCTTTTAACCTCTTTATACCATTGTTCAAGTCTATATGAATATCAATCAAATCTATTCTGTTAAGCAATACTGTAAGGCTTGATCCCTTGGCTTTCAAGAGTGCAGCTTCACTTGCCATAAAAATTTTGTCACTACCAATGAGTTCTTTCCAAATTTGCAATGATTTTCCAAAATTGTCATCCGCAGTAAACATTTCTAAGTTTTTCAAATATAATCCATCGACATTTTGCTCACAAGCCCAAAAAAGGATACTCTTGGTAGTAATATCGAGGTCTGAAGTAGTCTCATTATGTGCCAGGACAGATTGATTTGAAATTGGAAAAGGTTCAATTACAATTAGACTAGACACTGGTACATCAAGTATTATATGCATATTAAGTTTATGAACTGCCAATACCAGGTCTTGAAAATCTTTCAAGATACCTATACTCCTATCAATTTTTAGGGTATTTGTTGTATTATAAAAGTGTACAGGATAGTCATGAGATTCAAATATATAATTTAGGCGAATAGTAGAACCTCCTAACTCTTTAATATAATCTAATTTTTTTATCAAACCCTTTATATCACCAAAACCATCATTATTTGAATCCTTAAAACTTGCAGGAAAAACTTCATAGAATACCTTACCTTGATGCCAGGGGAGATTAGGATTACAAGTTTTTGGTATAGTTACTACCATAGTTACAATAGCTGCCAAGCAAGCAATTAGAGCCGAGAGTACAATCCATAAAATAATGTTTCTTATTAGAGGCCAGTTCCATTTCACAAAATTGGGTAGTTTTCTATTGTTTACACTTAAACTTCCATTAAGTTTACTTTCCGGCTGAAAAATTGATACCATAATTTTACTCAAAGTTTTGTTTCCTTAAAAGTTAACTATTAATAATTGGATAATAATGAAAAGCTATTCTCAATATCTGCAAAGTTAATGTGGTTAACTTGAAATAACATCATGCTAAAACTCAATACCAAATCTGAATTGTAATGGGAATTTACGTAAATTGTATGATAGCCTTATAGATATTCAAAATTAAGAAAGGCTCGCAAGTCTCTTAAATTTATAAAATATATATCTAGCATGCAATTAGAGCCGAGAGTACAATCCATAAAATAATGTTTCTTATTAGAGGCCAGTTCCATTTCACAAAATTGGGTAGTTTTCTATTGTTTACACTTAAACTTCCATTAAGTTTACTTTCCGGCTGAAAAATTGATACCATAGTTTTACTCAAAGTTTTGTTTCCTTAAAAGTTAACTATTAATAATTGGATAATAATGAAAAGCTATTCTCAATATCTGCAAAGTTAATGTGGTTAACTTGAAATAACATCATGCTAAAACTCAATACCAAATCTGAATTGTAATGGGAATTTACGTAAATTGTATGATAGCCTTATAGATATTCAAAATTAATAAAGGCTCGCAAGTCTCTTAAATTTATAAAATATATATCTAATAGAATATTTCTGAAATTTTTAGTACGGCATGATATAGAAATATTTCAAACATTGTCCTAGAACCAATACAGTTTTGATTGAGTTTAATTGGCACCTTAATAAACAGTCTAAAGTCCATTGGACTTACTAATATACCAATTAGTATAAATACATTGGATGGATTTTTAAGATGGCAAAAAAATTATCTAATATTTTGTGTATTGGTCTCTATAGAGAAACATTCTTAGATTACTGGACCACAGAAACCTAAACTAAAATGGGCTCGAAAGAGATGCCAAGAAAGTTTTAAAGTAAATACCTGTCCTAAAATGATGTCTCCATTTTTGCTAAGAGTCTGATAATCCAGCATGCTTATATTGTTAATAAGCTGTGCACTGACAGGGTCTTGAGCAACAGAGTTAGAATCTCCTGATGAACTAGAATCACCAGCGCTTGCCTCTGAAATTATGTCTTTATTATTATTCAAAAACATCTTTAAGTTACTATCATTAAAATTAAATAAATAATAGTGCTACATTGAGGAAATATCACTTAATTTTTTTTGATTCTGCACAGAAGAAAAGGATCTATTATGATACATTATAAAGAATTATATAAAAATGTTTTTGTTATTGTTAATTGTACATTGCTTTTAACATAAGTACTTCTATACCAGAGTTTCCAATGTTGATGCTCTTGGTGTCATCATTCAATGCTAAAAAAGCATTGTCACCCATTTCTTCTGAGAGTGGATGTTTAAAATCCAAAGTTGTTGGACTTGGAGTCAAGAGCAGACATGTTGATGATTTTACACCACGAAGATATTCCAAAGTTTCAAGTTCAGTCGTTCCATTGCTATCACTAGCTTCTGGCAAGTCATTCATTTTACTTTATTTCACAGACAAAAGAGAGATACCAATGTACCTTAAACCTTTTATTTATTTAACGTTTGTCAACACTATTTTTAAAACCTGATTGTCTGAAATGTAGGTTATATCATATAAAACAAATTATTAATATTAAGTAATCTATATACGACCAAACTAAGAACTACAGAGCAGAGGCTGGTGCTGTACTGTAGTGCTAACTGCTAAGACTAAGTGCACTAAATTTAAATTACTAGATAATACATATATTTCCATTTATGTACAGATTTGCTACCTACTGCGTAAAAGTCAAAAATTGTCATTCGATACAATATTATGTAGCGGTTGTGAACTTTATATCTGAACTAATGTTCTATATTGCTAAATTTTTATCCTTAACTAAATTCTGACTATTGAAAATAAATAGTCATTTAAAAAATACTGTATGCCTGCCTAATGATGTGTTCCACTGTCCACAGATAAGATTTAGTTGATGGTACCTATATGATATATCCTGTGTCCGTTTATATACTTAGGGCTAGCGCGCACCGGTGACTTTTGTCAGCATGACAAAAAAGTTTTTGTCGCTGTCACGTCACGCCTCCAAAGCGAGGTGCGCTCACGAAAGGTGACAGTGACAAGTTTTTTTTAAAAACCTTCATTTGTCGAAATGGATTTCGAAGAGACGGTCGTCATCTGTGAGCTTATAAGGAAACTCAAAAGAGAAAAAAAGCGAAAAGAATCCTGGGTACACCCCCTTTGGAGTGACAGGTTAATAAATGGAAAGTTCTACACCATGTTTCATAAACTTCGGGAACATCCAAAGAAATTTTTTGGGTATTTTCGAATGAGTGTTAGAAGTTTTGATGAATTACTTCGCAATTTAGGACCTGCGTTGACATACGAAAATACAAACATGAGATTGTCTGTTCCGGCTGAAGAAAGACTCGCTGTTACTTTGAGGTAAATATAAGTAATTAGAATATTATGTAATTTTAAATTGTTTATTTTAATGAAAATACAAAAATGTTATACAAATTAAAGTAAGTAGTTTTTAACTATAATCAAAAATCAAAAAAGTAATTGAAATGTAATATTCTTTAATTATTCTTCATGTTGGTTGATACTTGATATTGTACTCCTGGCAGATGTCATACAATTCGGAATCTTCTGTAAACTCTGTAATATAGGTTTGAATTGATGACGATGAGGCGGCTGAGGAGTTTTTAGGGTCTTGCTTAGGAGGCGATGATTGTGAAGATGAATTCGGTTGAGTGTGTGCAGAGGGTAGCAAATTTTGGGAACTTGTAGATGTATGAGTAGGAGGTAGGATGAAGGAGATAAAACAAGTTGAGTGTTTCTTGCTAAGTGGAGCGGATTTTGAGGAATGTGCGATGGAAGAGAGACAGAATATTTGGGTTTCATTTGCATATTTTGAGGGCTTGAAGATGGAATATATGTAGGAGAAGGAGATAAAGTCAGTGGAGTGTTTCTTGCTAAGTAGAGTGGGCCTTGGGGACTTTGCGATGGTAGAGAGACAGAATATTTGGGTTTGATTTGCATATTTTGAGGGCTTGAAGATGGAATATATGTAGGAGAAGGAGATAAAGTCAGTGGAGTGTTTCTTGCTAAGTAGAGTGGGCCTTGGGGACTTTGCGATGGTAGAGAGACAGAATATTAGGGTTTGATTTGCATATTTTGAGGGCTTGAAGATGGAATATATGTAGGAGAAGGAGATAAAATCAGTGGAGTGTTTCTTGCTAAGTGGAGTGGGCCTTGGGGACTTTGCGATGGTATAGAAACAGAATATTTGGGCTTGATTTGGAAATTTTGAGGACTACCTGTATAAATTGTGGGATAATTATTGCGCTGAGTGTTTTGTTTCTGAACTTCCTGGAAAATTTGTAAAATTTTGATCTGTACGTCTAGTTTTTTCCCTCCGGGACTGCTTTTAACAACGGCACCAAAGACAGCGCAAAATGCTTTTCCTTGTCATCGTCATTACAGTCACTTTTGTTATTTCTCATAGTCTCGATAAACCTGTTATCATCAACTCTTTTGTTGTTTAAAATCTCTAGAAGCCTTTCTTCGTAACATATTTTATTCTTATTTTTCTTTCGGGAATATTCTTCTCGCTGTAGTACTTCCACACTGGCATCTTGACTATCTTCTTCGCAAGCAATTTCCTCTACAGAATCAGCATTTCCTGAGGTTTCTCGGGTATCCATGCTTGGGATAAGAAATAAAAGTTGGTCAAAATGTTTGTACTTTCTTCTTTTTGTAGCGGCCTGGCCAGACTTAGTACATTTTTGCTCACGTAGCTCACGTGAAAAACAAGCCCTTAAATTCTTCCATCGTTTTTGTACAAGTTTACGTAAAAATAAATATTTAACTAGTATAAAACAGTCAGTCATTTATTTAATTTATGTATTTTTAACTTTAATTTTGTATTATGTATTTAATTTTCTTTTGTTTCAGATATCTTGCAACCGGCAACAGTTTTTACAGCATATCATTTGAATATTTGATAGGTGCCACCACTGCACGAGAAATTGTAAAATCTACATGTTCTACGATCTGGAATTTACATACACTATACATGCCTGAAAAGTCTGAAGAGGATTGGTATACTATTTCAAATCAGTTTTACCAACGGACAAATTTTCCGAACATAATTGGCGCAATTGATGGCAAACATGTGAGAATAATTCAGCCGGAAAACACCGGTACGCAGTGTTTCAATTACAAAAAGTACTTTTCTACTGTTCTCATGGCATGGGTAGATGCAGATTATAAATTTGTATACATAGATGTTGGTGCTAATGGAGCAGCAAGCGACTCCAATGTATTTCAGAATTCTGGCATGGGCAAAAGATTGCAGCAAAATCAATTGAGCATACCAGATGATAATTTGCCATATGATGAAAATGGAAAAAAATGCCATTTTGTTTGGTCGCTGATGAGGCATTTGGCTTGTCGAGGCATATTTTGCGACCATATTCAAGAAAATCATTGTCTACTGTAAAAAATTTACAACTATCGCCACACTAGGGCACGACGCATGGTTGAATGTACTTTTGGTATACGTAGTTGGTCCCAAAGTTCTGTCACTAGCACATTATTTCTACATTTCGAGCAGGATTTTATAAAAAAATTATTGCATTCTATTTTGGAATGTTTGATTATTGTTTTAAAACAAAAAACAATAACTTTCCGTAATTTTTCACGATGGAGTGGACATTGAAAGTAAACCGAATAGTTGTTATTGCGTTGCACCGCTGTGGACACTCGCCGAGTACCATTTTCAAGTTGCTCAAAAATTTGAATATAACGCTTAGGTTTGTGTACGGTACTATTGATAGGTACCTTGAAGTCTCCAGTGTTGAGGACAAGAAAAGGACTGGCTGGCCACGCTCCGCAAGAACACCAGCAGTAATCAAAGCTATCAAGGCGCGGATAGTAAGAAATCCTGTCCGAAAACAGAAGTTGATGGATTTGCAGATGGGTGTCAGTAGGAAAACAGTAAAAAAGGTTTTAAATGAAGATCTTGGTCTACGAGCATACAAAAAAAGAGTGGGCACTTACTTAATGCTCGTCTAAAAGCAATAAGGCTTAAGAGATCGCGGGTGTTGTTTCAGCGGTACGCGAAAAACCGACACCGTGATATCCTCTTTACGGACGAAAAATTTTTCGATATTGAAGAGAAGTACAATAAACAGAATTATACAGTGTACGCTAAGAGTTCTGAAGAAGCTGAAAATAAAGTTCCAAGGGTGCAACATGGACATCATCCATCATCAGTAATGGTTTGGTTGGGAGTGTCCTATTACGGGCTAACTGAGGTTAATTTTTTCGAAAAGGGGGTCAAAACCAGTGCTACAGTGTACCAAGAGACCGTTTTGTATCGCCTTGTCAAAGACATGTCCAGCACCCTATTTGCGGGACATCACTTCGTGTTCCAGCAGGACTCTGCGTCTGCATACAAAGCCAAGACCACTAAAGCCTGGTTTGAGCGTCAAAACATCGTCTTAATTAGACATGAGGATTGGCCTTCCTCCAGTCCGGACCTTAATCCTTTGTACCAAAAATTATGACAGCTCTTAGAGAGGAAGGTCTGTGATAAACCTCATGAAAATTTGGAGAATCTGAAGTCATCTTTAAAAAAACCAGTGACTGAAATGGACACGAATATGGTGCGTGCTGCGATAGACGACTGGCCGCGACGCTTAAGGGCCTGTATTAAAAATGAGGGAGGTTATTTCGAATATTTTTATGCTTTTTTTATTCCTTAATTAATTTACTAAGAATTGATATATCACTCATTACAAACTGATCAGTACTTTTGTTTTTATCATTATTTCCATTTATGACAGAACTTTGGGACCGACTACGTACTTTGTAACAAATGGCGAATTTTGCACAGGCCGATTGACGTCAGTCTTGATTTTGCTGATATAATAGTAAAAACATGTTGTATTTTACATAATTTTGTACGGTGCAAAGATGGCATTCAATTTACTGACACTGTTTACGATTGTCCATTAAAAGGTATTGCAACAAATCCATCAGACAGAACCATATCAGCAGCAAATATACGTAATTATTTTGCGAATTACTTTACTTCACCACAAGGGGCTGTGTCATGGCAGTATGACAAAATCTGAATTTCACCTTTTTGTACAACTGTTGTTTTAGCTACAAATACTAAAAATAAAAAGATACTCACCAGCTTCAGTTTTTTCTTGTGACGACAACGTACCCCAAACTGTAGAAAATATTATACGACTGATTTCATCCCATGCTTTAATTTTCAAATTAGAATCTGAATACTCTTTCAGCTTTTTATCGTAAATTAATGCTCTTTTTTCAACTTCTTCAATAAGTAAATCATTATCGATATCCTCTTCGTGCACTTTCACGTTTTGCGTAGACGTTGACGCCATTTGCGTTCGCTAAAGACGACGGTCCGAATGCAAATGGCGGAAGAACTACGTGTTGAGTGACAATTTTGTAGCCCGTGCGCGCGCTGCTATAAAAACCTAGCGGCGTGGTGACAGTTTCGTCACGGGCTTGTCCGCTGGTCGGCGGACAAAAATGTCACCCAATTGTCACGTCGTAACGTGCGCGCACCTCCATATATACTAATAGACTTGATGTGAGTGACGAAACAGTCACGGTGACAAAAGTCACCAGTGCGCGCTAGCCCTAATAGACTTGATGTGAGTGACGAAACAGTCACGGTGACAAAAGTCACCAGTGCGCGCTAGCCCTTACTGTTAATACTTTATAATTTATATACCTAAATGCTTTGAACTTTGGAGACTGGACTTTGGAAATTGGAGTTTAGAGTTTAGGCTTTAGTCTTTAGACTTAATTCGATTTGATCGTTCAATAATTGCAAATAATGTTTGAAAAAGTTTTTCAGATTTAAATCAAATGTTAAGTTTTTTGTATGTGTGAAGTTTCCTCTTTTGAAAGTTCATTAACTTTTTGTTTTTATAACTTTTATGATTTTATAACTTAATTGAAATTTAAATTGTAAGAAACAACTTGTTAATGTCCCTATTTGTAAGTGTAAAATTACCTAAATTTTATTTGTTCGTACTATACATAAAAACTAAGAATGTTGAGACTCTGCAAATTTTCTAATTCGGAAAAGACAATGATTAAAATTATAAAAGAGAATTATTCAAGTTCGTCAAACTCTCGATATGTACTTGACAAAAATTATCAGTTTTTGCAACATAGTAAGGTGCCAACAATGCACTTCCAAAAGTCGATGCCTCGGCTTCCTATACCAGAGTTATCCAAAACTGGAGAAAGATATTTAAAGGCCTTAAAACCGTTATTAAGTTCTACACAGTATGCTGATGCTGAGAAAAGAACTAATAATTTTATTCTTAAAGAAGGTAAAGAACTGCAAGCAAAATTAATTGCTAAAGATAAAGTAAACAAACATACTAGTTACATATCTGACTATTGGTTTGACCTTTACTTGCGAGATCGTGTTCCATTGCCTATAAATTACAATCCTCTAATAGTTTTTCAAAATGATTCAAGACCAGCATATAATGATCAACTAGTTCGTGCAACAAATTTCCTAGTGACAGCATCAAGATTTATGTTATCCTTAAGGGAATCAATTCTTGAACCAGAGGTATTTCATATGCAACCAAAGAAAAGTGATACACAACTTTTCCGAACCGTAACTGGATTGTTACCCAGTAGCTTGTCTTGGTGGGTATTTAATTTTTAATTATATTATATATTTAATTATGACTATCTGTACAACAAATTAAACATTTATGTTTTAGGTATGGTGCTTATTTATTTAAAGCATTTCCATTAGATATGAGTCAATTTCCAGGACTATTCAACGCTACCAGAATACCTCAAATTGATAAAGATAGAATTTTCCGAGACCCCTCTAGTAAGCATGTTGTTGTGCAAAGAAAAGGACATTTTTATGTTTTTGATGTCTTGGATTCTAATGGTGAGTACTGAACTTAACAAAAAAACACAACTAAAGAGAATAATGCTATTTACTATATTTCACCATTTATACTAGATATTATTACATATTTAATAACAATAATTGTTCAAGAGAATAAAGTAAGTGACATTGTTATTCTCTATAAAAATTGTAAATGTGTTGTGATGGTCTCAGAAACCTGAAAGCTTACATTGAAAAAACCAACTAAAACTCTTTGTTAGTGCAATGTAATATATATATATATATATGTGTTACAGACATACTACAATGAATTAAACTTTAATATAATAATATTGTATTGAACCACACCATTATAGTATATGTATTTTGAAAGTTTAAACAGTTACAAAAACAGAAGAAAAAATGTATGAAAACAATATTTCTACTGAAAAATCATTGTTAAATACATGTTATATTTTTGAAGGAAAATATAATACATCTGTGTTTAAACTCTCGCTCTTTAAATTTTTATAATTTTCAGGAAATCTACTTTCGCCAGAAGAATTACTTGGCAACATGGCAAAAATTATAAGTGATGACAAACCAAGTGCCGATTTTCCACTAGGTATTCTAACTTCCCAGAATCGAAATGACTGGGCTAAGCAACGGCAACACTTAGAAGAGATTGGTAATGCCGAAGCATTGAAAAAGATTGACTCCGCTATTTTTAACCTTGTATTGGATGAAGATAGTATTCACGAGGATAAGCACAAAATTTTGAGGCAATATCTACATAGTGATGGAAATAACAGGTATGATAATTCATGTTAAAAATTTACTAACAATAATTATGTTTAAATTGAACTTTTCTTTTGATCATAGAACTTTTATAACCGGCCAGTAAATATTGTTGTATTTTTTTTACGGAGTAAATTGCCACCTAATTTTTTACGGAGTAAAGTGACCGAATTTTTGAATTAAAATTACATGTCCCGCGTGGTACAGGTTAAAGCGGGAATAACCCGCTTTTTGGGGATAACTCACCCGTCACTCAAGACACCATTGCCATGCACAGAAATAACACCAGCTCTTTCATCAGTTTCCAAAAAAAGATACGAGGAATATGTTTAAACTAGTATATTTCATATTAAGTATCCCAAAATCAAACTTCTTTTCTGAACGCCTTTTATCCGAATTTAAATTGGGCGGAGGCCAGAAATAAATGTTCCGTACATTGAATTAAATCAGAATTACTCATCCAGTTTAATCTACAGCTATTCTATTAAGAGTTCTTCATCGTTATTATAGAGAACATTAAAAGGAAGCAAATCTTTACAGAAATATCATGAATAAGTAGCTCTTATAAATAATTTTAATATTTAATTATTCTCTTATGTAAGTTGCAATTTCTAACACTCATCCCATAACGCCATATTTTTCTAACGAATAAACCTTTTTTGATTTAATTTTTTTTTTATTAAGAAGACAAGTAAATCTGATTTAAAATATCATATTTTTATTCAAATACATTTTCTATAGCAACGAGCGGTTCGTTACTCGCTGGTTTCCCCGTAACACGACGTACATTCTCGCTGTGTAACGTGTTACAACATACATTACAACTCGTAATGTTGGTCAGTCGCCACCTTTAGATGGTTTCGCGTTGCTTCAATCAGACCTCTAATCTAATATTTACTGATACAAGGTGTTTGACATGGTGTACTTTAGCTGAGATTGCAAGAGGCCGAGACTCTAAAACGTTTTCCGCTTTGTTTTTTTAATAACCTTTTTAATAGCCTGAATTGATGAGACATCATTTATAGCTTTTTAGTCACTATGGTGCTCACCATAGTTGTATTTATTATGGCCAACACACATGTTGGATACTTTTTCTAGCTTGTTAATTTGCATATTATGTTTCACGTAGTTTAATCAAATAATACTATCGATTACGATAAATTAATTTAAAAAAGACCAGTGGCGCTATAAGCCTTGGTGTTGGTCTTAGAAGATCAGACTTCTGTGTCTTACACATGCCGTCAATTTCTGAAAGGTGGCCCGGTTTGTTCACGATGTTTCTCTTCACCGTACTAGCACGTGTCAAACTCACCCTAAAAAAGAAAAGTCCATTATAAGCCGTGATTCAAACGCTTGCCCTCGGGCATGATTTGAGGCGCATACTAGGTCAACATAGCTCTCATAAATTTTAACGCTTTTTTATATATCTATTTTTTCTAGGTGGTTTGACAAGTCATTCAGCCTAATTGTAACTAAAGATGGCGTTTCGGGTATAAATTTTGAGCATTCGTGGGGTGATGGTGTCGGTGTATTGAGATTCTTCCAGGACACCTATAAAGAGATAACTAATAAACCATTCATCCATCCCGAGAGTACGCCTTCTGATAATCACATTACGGTTGAAAAATTAAGTGAGTATTGTTTTATTATTATTTATTTGCACTTCGTTACCATAATATACAAAATCATACATATAAAAACAAAAAAAAGCAGGGTACATAAGTTATTAGGCCACGGACGGCCTTATCGCTAACAAGCGATTTCTTCCAGGCAACCCTAATATGGAACAATAAAAAAAGAAACACATACAGCGGCCAGCGGGTAAAGTAAAAGAAGTGCATAATTAACAAAAAAAACTCCAAAAATATATAACTAAAACTAAAATTAAATAAAGCAAAATCTAAAGAAAAAATATAAATAATAATATGTATAAACAAAAATGTAAAAGCTAATCCAAACGAGTCACAATTAATATATATATAATTACGACGCAGAAGAAAAATGATCAAAAATAAGATTTTTAAATAAATTTAAAGACTGAGCTCGTCTGATATCTATTGGTAAGGAATTCCATAGCAGGATACTGCACAGTAAAAGAATTCAGTTTTATGAGTAGGAGTTTCAAGAGTTTGGCAAATCAAAACTACCGCTAGAGAGGAACTTAAAATTATTATTTAAGACTTTTCTTTGACTCGCAATTCGGCACTCTTATTTTTAAACTATTAATCTGTTTAGGGCTTAACATGGTCTGTCAAACCTTTTTTCTGTTAACAGCACTGAACGGATGCCACTATAAAACCTCTTATTTATATACATACTAAATATGTATCGAATTATGAGACACGATTCGTTCTTTCAGATTGACCAATGACAATCAAACGAACCGCTTCATAGATTCGTCTTTTGTTTTATATTCGTAACTTTTTAATACTGTCTCTTCAATAGCGTATAGTCGTTGCGAAAAGAGAATCAATAAGGATTTAAGTGTTAAATTACCTTTCGATGCGAACAAGGTTACGTCATTATAGTTAAACAGTAATAATACGATAATTTAAAAATATATTACTACTAGTGGACCCCACAGACGTTGTCCTGCATGATATTTAAAGCGATTAGGATATTAAGCAAAGTATGAAAGTACCGACTGCAGTGCCATCTGCCGGGCTGATTTGTGAATCTAAACCATTCCCAGATCCCCTTGAACACACACAAAAAATTTCATCAAAATCGGTCCAGTCGTTTGAGAGAAGTTCAGTCACATACACACGCACACAAGAAATATATATATTAAGATAATATATGTGACTAAATAAAATTACGATATAAGAATTACTTCGCATAAATCCCTCGTCGGTTCTTTTTCAGTACAGAAATAAGATACTAATAAAGTTAAAATGAATTTAGTTTTTATGAATAAAGGAAGTGAATTACTTAAAGTAAAAGGTAAAAAATTATTTAATCAAATAGGTGACATAATGTACACTTATGACTCGTCTATAAGGAAATACATATTAATGCTTCTAATTTTACATTAACTGCCATTTCTCAAATCAAGGGCGTAGAACGGAAGAGAAGAACTGGCAATGAACTCCGCCACTCTTTTTAATCGCCATTTTTTTTACACAACGTTTGAAAGGAGCTGCCACCATTACACCATGTTCCACATGACATATTAAGTAATTAATAATAATAACATAAATTAAAAACAAAGACTTGTCCTCTATCAGCAGGAGGCACGGTGAAATAGGAGCACGCACTTAATAAAACACTACACTACACTGCTTTACAGCGTGCGTGCAGTCACCGTGACCACGCACGCTGTAAAGCGCGCGAAACGTCGGATAAATTTAAAATTATGTTAAATAGTTGTAAATTTATAATAATACATAACTTCAATCCGGTCAAAATAGTGTTTTATTAAATGAATAAAAGTTATGTTAATCAAAGACAATACTAAGCACGCACTTACATTCTCGTGGGAACAACACGCAAACACATAGTCGAAATAACATTTCAACAAGATTTTAAAGCTTTATTTTTCTACATATTCCTTACAGGCTTTAAAATAGATGACAAAATAAAAGAATGTGTACAAAATGCTCAAATGGAGTACAAAAAATGGTGCGACTCTTTAAGCATTGACTACATATTGTATGAAGATCTTAATAGAGAAGATTGCAAAAAGTTGAAAGTCAGCGCGGATTGTATTATGCAACTAGGATTTCAGGTAATTAATTTAACCCATTTTACATAGTCATTGACAGACAACTGCTACTAAAGCCATTTATTATTGATGATTTTTTTTCCTGGCTCTGGCACGGTTTGTGCATTAGCCAGCGTCAAGTATAAGATTTTTATAATTCGTGCTTGCCTTAGAAATTCGACCGTGTCCTCCATGTACGGTTTAAGCACTCGCCCGGTACCGCACAACCCTCCCAAGGGCCGAGAACAAATTTAAATTAAATTAAAACTTGCCCTCGAACCGGGAATCGAACCCGGTACTCCTCACCTAGCTGCCACTTAATAAGACCGCTAGGCTATGATATATTTCAATTCATCAATATAAGGGATATTGATGAATTGAAATTGTTTTTTAATTTTTAATAATTTCAGGCTGCCTATCACCTGTTATATGGAACATATGTGGGTACTTACGAATCGTGTAGTACCTCTGCTTTTAAGCACGGAAGGACCGAGACAATGCGTCCCTGTACCGAAAAGACAAAGGTATCAAAATATTAACTTTTAAGTATAATTCACTTAATTTTTTCCTTTATTTAAAAAACATAAATCAAACTATTTGGACCGTTTTAACTTTTTACAATTAATTAATTTAATTTATTTTTGATGCGAAGAGTTTAGTTGAAGTGCGTAAATCTATATTCTGTGCAAAGTACGTCATTACAAAATCTATTGAATCTTAGTTTGACGATTATAATGCGCACTTAGACTTTGCTCTGACTTAACTATCGAGCTAAGACACAGTCGGTATTTATAGAGCAAACTACGAATCTCTCCCTAGTGTTGGCTTAGCTTAATCTCAAGTCCACGAAATCGACGACTTACCAAAAACTTTGACTATAAGCCTAACAAAAATAATGGCCCAAAATTTGCTTTACCATCATATCTTTTACTGGACTTTTTATTTTTGTCGGTTTTTAATGAACGGTGTTGCCATTTTGTATCGGAGTTCCATAGACTTTGGGAAAAATAGAATTTGAATTCAAAGAAATTATAAATGATCTTGATAAATACCTATGAAATGCATGAAATAAAATAATTACACATTATTATGGTATTTATTGTTGTTTATTTATATTATTTATGTAATTGTTCAAACCCCATTTTTGAGAAATCTTAAAAATAACTGGTGTGATTTTGTATGTCACCTGGCAGCCCTGGCAATTGGCATATTATAGTGACAACGAAATTCAAACTATAACCTAACCAAAACATTGCGATCCGTTCTACGTAATAAAATTATTGTCATCTTTAAATAATTAATACATTTTCTAAAGGTTACTCGTGAATTTCTAGTTATTGCAATAATAAAATAAATGAATACATAAATAACAATAAATTGAAGATATATGTGTACCGTTTTAGATTTTTAAATATTTGTTATTGTTAACTTTTTTAAAGGATAATAAACAAAGTATTGCATGAAATGAAACATCAATTTGTATTTTGACATTTTCTGTCTTAGCTTGGGCTTAGCTTAATCTCACCGTTAAAATGTCTATAAATACGAAATCATAGTTTAACCTTAGTGTACACTAAGCAAAGTTTTTCGTAAGGTAAGTCTGAGCAAAGTCCAAGTGCGCACTATAGATCTCACCCTTAGTTTGACGATTATAATGTAACTAGGAAACGCGGTGAGGAAATAAATATTTAAAAAACTAGATATAAATGGCCCTCGAGATGGTATTGTAAGGGGTTAGGGGTTACGTACGTATTGGCGGATTAAGTCACATCCCCCATTCCCCTAAAGGAGGGAAAGAATAAGGCAACGGAAATAAATAGTTAAAAAAATAGTTTTGAAGAGGTTATTTTTTTATTCACGCAAACTTAACTATTTACAGAATTGTATTGAAATATATGAAGCCTTTTGTTAACAATATTTTTTAATCGATTTTACCACATATAATATTTATGGAATAAAAATACAAAAGACAATTATTCCCATCGATAATTTTTTACTATGCGCGATGTTGCCACCTCACCCCTTACTTTTTAAGTTTTGACCTTTGACCCTTGTCCGGAAATGAATCCTTAAGCATGTGCTACACGGTATGAAACGGCGGTTTGAAACTTTGGTTTCAAACCGTGTGGATAGTTGTTTTATGCCAAATTTCGTTTAACCTTGATATGACCTTGGCAGCACGCTTTGCGTCTAGCCGCTTGTTTAAAACCACGCGTTCGGCAGTCGTGATGCGGCGGCGAGCGTAGAAGCACGCGACGACGACGTTCTGCACAATGGCACAAGAAGCAAGTGAACGTAAAGTTATTACCGAATTGCTCGAATTATACAGAGAATTGCCATGTCTTTGGGATTTATCATGCGAGTCATATAAAGACTCGACTCAGAAAAAAAATGCGTGGGATATTTTAGCCGAAAAATTAAAAGTTATAGACCCAACTTTTTGTTGTTTACTTAGGCAAGGCGCCATGATGTCGTTGTAATTAATTCTGAAAGTGCGTCAGGTACGGGAGCGCGGAGACGTCTTATCAGCGCAACGTTATTTTGGACACTGTTGGTTTTAAACCGTGTAGCCGAAAAGCGCAACTCGCTTTTATTTCGTTTCAAACCGCCGTTTCATACCGTGTAGCACATGCTTTACTGTAACATCCAATAGCGATCCTGATTTCAAGAAAGAGTTTTCATTCATCCCCAGATTGCGTGTTATGGAGTAAGGGCACTGGTTATGTTGTATGAACATTTGTAGGCACGCCTTTGCGAGCCCTATTTAACCTAAAGTATAACAGATAAATTCATTTAATTATTGATATAATTATTGGTGCAGAAGCTCTGGTAAATGTCAATTAATCTTACTGTTTGCTAAGAGATAAGTTACGTCAACTGTTTTTTGATATTCTAATCAAAGGTTAGCCTAAGGATAGTAGTCGATTCCCGGGGGCTGACAATTTAAAACAGTCGAAACGACGTCGTCTTTCGTTTGTTTGTGATTGGTTAACATCAGCTTTCGTCACACGCTGACACGTGGCATGATACGTCATGATAATAACATTCAAAAAACTGGTAAATTGTCGCAACAAATAGGGACAAATGGAATAATCTGGAGGAGGCCTTCACTCCGTCGGAGGTCGAGTACTAGTGTAAAACTGAAAAGACATGGACTTACTGTTGTTATAGTGTAGGTACTCGAATAAAGGCTATTTTTATTATTTTTATTTATTTTTAATAACATTCAAACGCAGCCTCGACTTACACGACGATAATTATTTAAAACGTCCGAGCAAGTGTATTACGCACTTGGAACAAAAAATCTATTGTATAGAAGATGTTTAAACAGTAACACTAGGCCATCAATGCTACTGTTTAAAGATTTTAATTTTTAGGCGTTCTGCGACCAACTACACTCAAACAATTACTCAAAAGACAGTCTCCGAACACTAATGACTGAGTGTTCCTCGTACCACAGTGAACTTGTGAAGGAAGCAGCTATGGGACAGGGTTTCGATAGACATTTATTCGCCCTACAGAAAATGGCTGAAGAAAATAATATACAAACGGAAATATACGACTCATTTGAATATAAATATTTAAATAAATCAATTCTCAGTACGAGTACATTGTCATCACCAAATGTTCTAGCTGGAGGATTTGGACCTGTGACAAGAGAAGGTTTTGGTATTGGGTAAGTTATATTTTGTTTTAAATATTTGGGAAAGTTTTAGGGAATATATCTCTTGCACTTATTACACTTTCTGGAAGGCTATCGATGGTGATTGTGTCTTTCATTCAGTTGCCCTATTAATTCTCAAAATTCCACTATTAGATTTTTTTACAATTGAGTATTATTGAAAGAGATTTTCTAAATTCTATGAAATCCTGTCACAGATAAAAGCATGAGGTAAACAAAGAGAAAGTTTGTAAACAATTATTGCTACATTATTTTATGTCTTGGGCTAAGATCTATTTCGTTGATAATTAATTCATTATTTATAGGCAATTATGTCATCTAATAAGCCATCTAACTGACACGTCGTTTTACTTAAGATCGCGATAATATGATTAAAAAATATGGTACCAAAGCATAGCCGTGATACAAACCCACTATCAGACCAGTCGCATACTTAAGTCTGATACTGCTCAAAGAGAGAAATAATAATTATCATTTCAGATACTCTGCGTTTACTGATAAATTAGGAGCAGCGGTGACAAGTTATAAAGACCACAATAACAGCACACAATTTGTTGAAGCTCTCCATAAATCCTTTGTTGATATCACGAAAATTCTATCTGGCTAATAATTATTTTGACTAGTATATAACACTATTTGAGCTATATATAGTTGGTCTTTGATATATTTATTCTGTATTTATTTTTACTATTGTTACTAGGGATGCATCGATACGCTTTTTTGCCGATACGATACCGATGCCGATACTCTTATAGAAATATCGTCGATACCGATACCAACGCTTATTGAATTAAAATTAAATTAAGGTAAAATATATCAAGTTTATAATTTCTATTAAAAAAATATATACAAAAAATAGTCACAAACTTTGAATAATTTTAAAGGTTTTGTTACTAAAATTAAGAATTAAGAGTAATAATTAAAATAAAATAAATAACTGTTAATAACTAAAATTAACAATGATAATATTTTTGTAATTCTGTATTTTATTTTATTTGGTATCGAAAAAAGCCAACTAAATGGTCGCCGATGCCGATATATCGGCAAACCCAAAGTATCGCCGATATATCGGTATCGGCAACGGTATCGGCTGCATCCCTAATTGTTACATTGATTTATTAAGTAAAAAACAAATACACTCACACTAACACAGGTTGGGACTATTATATTAAGAAGTAATTGTAAGGAACATGGTCACAGATAATTTAACGTGTGTTGAAAGTGTTAAATATACCATTTACTAGAAAACTTGTTATTCGATATATGTGGCCTTAACATGACCAGCTTGCTAAAATGTATAAAACAATCTGCCATTATTGTATTAGCTGCATTAATATATATACATATATAAATTTAAAGGACCTCTAAAACGATAAGCAGAAAAAACAAACATTGCTCAAAAGCTTCATAAAAAACATGACCTTGATATTTCATTAACTTAAATGTTGTTTATATGAAAATTGCCATGAAATAAGTATTAAATGAAATGTTTCTAAAATATAAATATGCAGCATTGTCCAGTGAAAATATGTTCCATTGGGTAAAAAATATATTTTATCTACTAAAATAAAATCAAGGACAATACTGAATAGGAAAATGAAAAAAAATATCATAGTCCAATAAGAAAGCTAATAAAAGACCAGGTTCAATGTTGTACTGGTAATAGAATTTGTTATTCATATAAAAGAATATTTTATTACATTTTATATCCAATATTGTTTTATTTAAATAAATTTATATTTTTATAAAGGTTGGTTTCATTGTTGATTTTTAATTTTGTATCAGAGGGTATTGTCATGCATTATGACGATGTTTTCACCTATTCATCTATCAAAATGAGTAGTAAACTCTTCGAGAAAAGATTAGTAATATCATTAATTTGGAACTCAGTACAATATTTAAATACATAAAAAATATGCATATTATATTAAAAGTACAATGTATTAAATATTTTGTATTGATAAAATTTACAGTTTTTCTCTCAGTGTGTGATGGAAGCAGAAAACTAGAAACAGTAGTTTAATCCTTAAATTAAATGAAATGTTTATATCTATGGTAATCGCTGACCTTCTTGACCTAACTTAAAGTTGACAATGACAGTTAACTTCGAAGTCAATTTTAAAGTGATGCCAGTTTAAAAGTTTTCTCCAGAATATGTGGCGTGTATGAAGTCATGGGGCCAAATTTTAAGTCAGAGCCTATAAGAATGTTATAGACGATAATGTATAAAATGTGCAATTAAACTCAATATTTTACAAAAGGATTTGAGGATTTAAAAATACTCGTATCTTAAGAGTTTTACGATTTTTACAAACGTAAATCCTTAGTTGTCAACGCACAGTTATTATTTTTAAAACATAACTAAAATTTGGGCGGTTTATCTTTTAAAACATGATAATTTTTTCGATTCAAATTGCGAGATTTGGATTTGGAGTCTATGTAATGATTATCTGGCAATTGCGACTTGCGCGATAGGCAAATAGCGATTGTTCAATGTTGGTCGAAATGATTACCTTTAAGCGCTTATTACACTACGCGATATTCAGACAGTCTTAGTAAGACTGTCTTAAAATCGAATTAGTCAAGCTCGCTATTACACTGGACTGAATATCGCAAGCTAACTCATTTTACTCATTTGCAAAGCGTACGTTGTCGGTGACGGTTGTCTCGCGATGGGAAAACTTTCAAAGCACCAGAAAATCGCCATGGCTCTTGCCGCGTCTATTAATTTAAATAAAGAAAAGAAACATATGGGTGAAAGAGTATTTACTTTTGCGAGAAAAATTATTATCAAATATGCAAATACTGAGTGTTTTGGAACCATGTGACTTAAGAAACTACCTTAGAGTAGGAGTTACCGAGTTTGAATGTCTATTGAAATTAGTTTTTTTTTTTTTTTTTTTAGACAATTCACACCAATTGACCTAGTCCCATGCTAAGCTGGTGAAGCTTGTGTTATGGGTAATAGGCAACGGATATACATACATATTATTATAGATATATAGATATAAATACATATTTAAACACCCAAGACCTAAGCACAACACCAAATGCTCATCACATCGATGTTCGTCTCAGCCGGGGATCGAACCCGGGACCCATGGATTCGCAGTCAGGGGTACTAACCACTAGACCAATGAGTTACTCCATACATTCAAAAAGAAGATACGGTTCTTAGACAAAGTGTCAGTCCTAACAAATATTGGTAGTTACTTTAAGATTCCTGGCAACGGGCAACTCCTATCAAGACCTAAGGTCATCCTGAAGGACTCTGTATCCATGGTTATGAAATAAATTATTAAAAAAATTAAAAAAAAAAACCTAAGGTCATCAATTATTAATAAATCAATCAATCATGCAGCCATAAATTTGGCATGTCTCGGTACAAATTGATAATATTGAAAAGTACTTTTTTTTCTTGCGAACACGCCATGGTGCACGCGGCCACAGCAAACAAACATGTACGAACGTCTTTGCTCTGCGGCTGCCACGCGCTGACTGAACGGTTAAGCGTGCTAAGTCTTATTACACCAGGGTTGCCAGACGTCGATGTCTTGTCCTCGTACAGACATGGTCCAAAATCTCGTACTTTGGCAACACAACCTCGTACACATCATTAAACCATAAAAAAAAAAAAAAAAAAAATATGCATTATACCATTAATTTCCTACCAAATTTTTATTGTGAAACAAGATTAGTTATTATTAATAAAAGATAGACATAATATCAAAATGAACTATATTTTTTCATTAAAAAACAATGCAACAGAGAGCAAAACAAAACGAAACATACATGTTATACGAAACAAAACATATTATGTACTTAACATACTTATTATGAATACTTAATGGATTTATTGTAGTAGATAAATCACAATCAATGTATCTAAAAATGTAATCAAATTATTAATTTAGTGATTTTTGTTTTTTTTTTTCAAATTATTGATTTTTTTCCATTATTAAGCAATGCAACGCAATCACACTCACAACACAAGAAACTTATTTGTTTTGAAAGAGAGTATGTACATGTACGTAACAGACCACAACAAGCTAGTGAATACAAACTCATTGCTACCAACATAAAATCTTAAAATTTTCGCAGTTTATATCGGGGGAATTCCCTAGCGGTAGAGAACGATTGCCGGAAAACGATGTACACTGCTGCTTATGATGCTTATAACTTTCAGAGAAAGTAGCAGTGTATGTCGTTTTCATATAAGGTGCGTTCCAAAATTATAATTTGTATCCACGGATCAAAATTAAAATTTGTGTCAGTGAATCTCGTACAATTATGTACGAGGATGGATGTGACCTCGTACCTCGTACCAGGACCTCTAAATCTCGTATTTGTACGAGAAACCTCGTACGGATGGCAACCCTGTATTACACTACGCGATATTCAGCAAGTAAGCAAGTAAGCACCGCCGAACCCATTCGGTCAGTCTAATTAGACAGGCTAACTTGCTAACTCTTATTACATTATGCTAAATCTTAGTAAGACTGTCTGAATATCGCGTAGTGTAATAAGCTCTTTAGCAATACTTCTTAACGTAGACGTATAATACGGACTACGGAGGTATATATTATTATATATATTGCAAGAGGGAGTCAGATATACAAATTACGGATACAGATAGGACGTAGCCACTGCATTTGCGCTGTTGTATGTGCGGTGCGGGGATCGTGAAAATGTCAAAGTTCACGATCTCCACTCCTGTTGGCTAATGCCTACTAAGCAGTGCCTTGTAGTGGCATTTTCTAAATTGTAATACCCTGTAGTAATTGTGATTTGTGGTAGTGCTTGCTGAATGCCTATCCTTCGTAGATTATACTTAGTAGCCCGTTTAGTCGGAGTCGTGACATTCGAACATTTTACATTTAAATGAAATCGTGATATGAACAGAGATTTGTGTTGTGAAAAATATAATATTTGTTAAAGTGTTTGATGAACAATATGTGAAATAGTACTAGGATTTAAAGGTCATGCTAGGTAAGTGTATTGACATTTGTCTTTCTGATCCTTTGCTAAAATTATTGATTCCTACCTGTAAAATTATATTTTTGCTTGTAAATAATACCTTAGATATAATGAAAACTATAAGAATGATACTGGTAACACAAATATTGATACATAATTTAATTAAATGATGGTTATAACAAATTAGTATACTTGCTCCTCATGCATATCATGTATAATTTAATGTCACAATTTTTTAAAATATTTTTGTTTTGTTTCAGGTGCATTGGCTACATTTTTTGAGGCAGCATAATAAACAGTCAAAATGCTTATTAAGGAATATAGAATACCCCTGCCTCTAACAGTTGAGGAGTATAGGATTGCCCAGCTTTATATGATAGCAAAAAAAAGCAGAGAAGAAAGTTCAGGAGAAGGTAGTGGTGTAGAAATTATTGTGAATGAACCTTATGAGAATGGTCCTGGAGGCAAAGGACAGTATACACAGAAAATCTATCATGTAGGAAGTCACTTACCAGGATGGTTTAAAAGCTTACTTCCAAAGTCTGTGCAAACAGTGTCAGAAGAGGCTTGGAATGCTTATCCATACACAAAGACAAAATATACTTGTCCATTTGTCGAAAAGTTCTCTCTTGAGATTGAGACTTATTATTTTGGAGACAATGGCCACCAAGAGAATGTTTTTAAATTAAGTGGCAGTGATTTAAAAAGTCGAATAGTGGATGTAATAGATGTTGTTAAAGATCAACTTTATGGATCTGACTATATCAAAGAAGAAGATCCAAAACTGTTTGTGTCACAAAAATGTAAGAGAGGACCTCTTACCGAATCTTGGTTAGAAGATTATTGGAGGGAAGTTCAAGGTAAACCTCAACCTTTGCCCAATGGTAAATCACTTATGTGTGCCTATAAACTTTGTAAAGTCGAGTTTCGTTACTGGGGAATGCAAACTAAGCTTGAAAAATTCATTCATGATGTAGCTCTGAGAAAAACAATGCTTAGAGCACATCGGCAAGTATGGGCCTGGCAAGATGAGTGGCATGGTTTAACTATGGAAGACATTCGTGAAATTGAAAGACAGACACAGTTAGCATTAAAGATGAAGATGGCTGGGGAAACCAATGAAGAAGCAGATCAAATATCTGAAGACAACTCTAAATCTCTAGCAGCAACAATGAGTAGCCTGGAAAAGAATGAAGAATTAGCAACACCAATATCTACAAAAAAAACCAATTCTGAAGTACATGCCCAAATACATCTATCTCCTGAAGGCTCCCCTGCAACTGATCAAAAAAGTTCCTCTAAAACTAATATCAGGTCCTCATCTACGGGATCTCTTAAAAACTTACAGACTCAGGTTGCAAATTGGAGAATGGAAACATTAGTTAGAGAATCCGAAACAGAAACAGGATCAGAAGAGGATGAATTCTATGATTGTGAAAGTTCCTTTAATAAATGGTCTTCATTGTGTTCACTTGATGAAGCAGATATTGATATATCTCCAACTCAAGGTGATCAGAGTCAAGAAGATAGCATTTTTAATCCTTTATTCTTAAAAAGAGTGACATCTGAAAGAGGCTCTCGCAGAATAGTAGCTTTACATAGTCATCCAAGTATAGATGGTTGTCCTGATACACCAGTGCATGGTTCTTGCCCCACAACCGTCTTATTGCTGGTTTTTCATGCCGGGAGTGTTCTTGATGCTAATATTGACATGACAGCAAGAAAATCTGATGTAACTACTTTTAAAGGAGCCTTTGAATCTGTAATGCGGCAGCATTATCCTACACTGGTAGGACATATTGCAATTAAATTAGTTTCCTGTCCATCAATTTGTACGGAAGCATTAGGAGTAATGTCCACATTAAGCCCCTACAGCTTTGACTGTTCACCTTCAACCATAGAGACACCATCATTAACAAATGACCTAATACCTATTGGTGCAATACCATTAATAGCAACATCATCTCCAGAATATTCGGAACATGTTACTAAAACTATAGTTTCCGCGAATGCAGTTTACAATGAATTTATAAAGTCTGAAGATGGAAAAGGATTTTCAGGACAAGTATGCATAGTTGGAGACAGCATGGGGTCATTGCTTGCCTATGATGCTTTATGTAGAAGTATACAATACCAATCTCGGCATGATAGTGAAACTAGTATATTGGATACTGAAATTTTGATTCCAAATGAGCCTACGGAGCACTATTTAAATAAGTCGCACCTTCAAGCGCCAACACCTAGGAGGAGATCTTCTACTGCAAGTGATAATCAAACTAAACTAGAATTTGAAGTATCTGATTTGTTCACATTTGGTAGTCCACTATCCCTTATATTAGCATCAAGAAAAATTTCCGACGATAAAACGCGTGATATTACGAAGCCTCCCGTCCAGCAAGTATATAATTTATTCCATCCAACAGATCCTGTTGCGGCCAGACTAGAACCTTTACTTTCAGCAAGATTTACGAACCTACCTCCTATAAACGTTGCACGATATGCCAAGTATCCCCTAGGTAACGGCCAGCCGTATCATTTGATGGAGTTAATACAAAGTCACCCAACTTTATTTGGAGATCATTTACAAATGCCTCCAACACCAATTTTAAGAAGACTTTCAGAGGCATCTGTACAAAGTACGGTAAGCGGTTTAGCTGACAATATACCACTTATAACGATGAACGCACTTCAACAAAAGTGGTGGGGTTCGAAACGCCTTGATTATGCTCTGTACTGTCCTGAAGGCTTATCTAATTTCCCTACAAATGCTTTACCACATTTATTCCATGCTAGTTATTGGGAAAGTTCGGATGTCATAGCTTTCATATTACGACAAGTAGGTCATTTCGATTTGGCTTTATATAGTCACAGCGAAGATAAGGATTCAAGCCTGTTCAATCCAGGCCAAGATAAAGAAAAATGGATCAAGAAAAGAACGTCTGTAAAGTTAAAAAACGTCGCTGCAAATCATCGCGCAAATGATGTGATTGTTAAAGAAGGCTGCCCACAAACGTTTACAGCTCGATTTATGTATGGTCCGTTAGATATGATTACGCTAACGGGAGAGAAAGTTGATATTCATATGATGAAAGATCCACCAGGAGGTGAATGGAACTTGTTGGAAACTGTTGTGACTGATAAAACTGGAAGAATCACTTATACGTTAACTGAGAAACAAAGCGTTGGATGTGGCATTTATCCATTTAGAGTTGTGGTTCGAGGTGATCATACGAGTTGCAATTTTCATCTCGCTGTTGTACCACCTCAGACGGAATGTGTTGTTTTTAGTATTGATGGATCTTTTACTGCCAGTGTTTCGGTTACGGGTAGAGATCCTAAAGTACGAGCAGGGGCAGTAGATGTCGTACGTTTCTGGCAAGACTTGGGATTTCTGATACTATACATTACCGGTCGCCCTGATATGCAACAGCGGAAGGTTGTTTCATGGTTAGCTGAGCACAACTTTCCGCATGGGCTTGTATTCTTTTCGGACGGACTATCGACGGATCCTCTGGGCCATAAAGCGGCCCACTTGAATAATCTCATCAATGAACACGGTGTCATTCTTCACGCTGCTTACGGTTCTGGGAAAGATATAAGTGTGTATTATAATTGTGGATTAACTCATAAGCAAATATATGCTATTGGAAGGATAAGTAAGAAATACACCAACTTAGCGACGCCTTTGAGTGAAGGTTATGCATCTCACTTGGCTGATTTGAAGCAACCGGGAGCTGTGAGAGCTGCCAGAGGCAATGCTCGATTGTTAGTTCCTCGTCGACTCCTAGCCCCCGTAAGTACCGCGTCCGTTGTTAAAGCACGTCGTTAAAATTTTCTTATATTTCCGAGTTTTAATTATCACTATAAATTATTATTTTACTAAGATTTACAAAATATAATCAAATCTCATATGATTTTATAGAATTTAATTTTGAAAAACTTAATGCAAATAAGTATAAAAATATTCTATTTTTTCAATTAAAGTTGAACGTATTTGATATTAACCATTATACATATTTAGAATTATATAAAACTAATGTAAAAATTATATCTCTTGTCACACGTACCTTACTAATTTATTCTTATATACCTTAAATATAAATTATTCGGTAGGAAGTTGATGTACTAGGATAATTTTCAATTTTTATCTAAAAGTTGTTGCTGTAAAGATTTTACTTATTGCTAAACTTTTAAGGCTGGAATCTCTTTATATCGTGGATATTCGACATTTATCTAGTCTTGCTAAGATTTTGTTATATTCGTGCAATTTGTTCTAATTTTTTTTTTTTTTAGTAAATTAATACTGAAAAGTATATTCAAAAGAGTATACTTGTGAGTATTATTTTTCCTGTTCAGATATTAATAATATAAAGATCTGCGTTCACGAGTCTCTCATTCCAATATATTTAGGGTTTTTTTATTTCCTTAATCATGAGCTAACTGAACATCATACCTATTCGCTGTTCCGTAAACAAAGTGGTGAAGAACAGCTTATATAAATAGATAAAATTTGCTAAACATAAGTGTTCCTGAATGTATTTCGTCTTAGTCACTAAAAGTCAGAAATGAAATGTATTAGATATTAAATCCTTGTTATATATTAAAATATTTATTCGAGTTAAGTTTAATGCAGTGTTATAAATTTTTGCCTGCCTACGATTTCTGCAATACAGTGTAAACTCTATATAACGACCCTTAAGGGACTGTACCTATTTTAACGTTACAGAGAGTTGGCGTTAAATAGACGGTAGAAAAATCTAGAAAAAAAAAGTTTATTTGTGTTAGGAATTACATAAAAGCAATTCTTATTTGAACGCTATTGCGTTGTCTGTTATTTTCGCCTGACGCCTATTGCGGTACCAGTAATTATGTTGTATTTTGTTTACTTATTGTATTTATAAGCAATCCCAATTTGTAATTAAAAGAACGGATTTCTTAGAAAGTTCGGTACGTATGATGCCGATAGTCGAGTTTATTACGGGCTAGGACAATAAAGCAACAAAAGAACGTACACAGCTCCGCAGTTTAAACTATTTTCGGAAACTTAAAAAGTACTTTTTATTATTTAATTGTCGTTATTGAGGGTGGATGTAATGCTATGTAGAGTGTATCGTTGTATGGAATTTAAGCTAAACCAACCAAAGCCAATTCATTTCGATGCTTTAGGGGGCATTGTAGTTAAATCGAGGGACGTTACATGGAGTTAACACTGTATATATTAAAATTCACAATTTGCTTGCTTAATGGATATTGAATCAATAAGATTAAATGCAATGTATTTTTTGTTGAAATCGCAGGCAGGTGAATATATTAGAATTGATGTTAAATTTAGGCTTCTATAAAAAATAATAACCTGTACAATTATTTTAAACGGAAACAAATCTGACAACACGATTTTTCTAAAAATAATATAATAATTTATTGAAAATAAATTTTAATTAATTAAATTACGTTAATATATTCACAAGAAGAGTATTTTGTATAATACGCATAAAGTATTTTTGTAAATGTGTGTAATATTTAAAATACATAGTTTTGCGTAAAGTTAATAATTATTTACACAGATAAAGAGTTTTTCAGAATTCTGGTGGTTATTTTTAGTTAAAATGTTGTGAATTTTGAACAAGTCTCTTAGCGGTTGAAACTCAAGAGTTCCACTGTACGCTTTTACGTTTTATTTTCTAGTCTGTTTAATTGAAAACAAATTACTATCTAAAATATGCACTTCTGAAATTGTGTATGTACTAGGTACCGATAGATTTAACAACAATTTACGAATTAATTTAATATTGTAATACATATTCTATTTTGCTTTAAACCTTCTGAAATGCCATTAACAATAATATATTCAAGTTTTAATTTTATATGAAATTTAATAATTTGACCTCGTTTACTAAATCTAATCGTTAGTCAGGATGCTTCGTATTATTATTATTAAAATGACCTTAATTGAAATATTAAATATAAATTTATAAGGTATGGTCGATGTTACGATTGAAACACATGGCCATACTCAATGTGAGATGATTTCGTCATTTTCAAAACAAGACGCTGAAAATAGAATGTACTTAAATCGGAGCAGATATCGTTTTCATCAACATTCATTGTTTATGACCTGACGCGATCGTCTAGCACATAGATTTTAATGTACGTAATTCTCATTTTTAATTGTTCAACTTCTGAGTTTTTATATCAGTAAAACATTGTAAAGGCAAAATAATGTTGCTACATAGGTTTAACACCTTTACGCCCACAGTGTTTATCTAAGCTTAACTCCAAAGCGGATAATCTTAATGGAACAATGACTTGCTTTAAATACCTAGTATTTTGTGTTGATATCTACAAATCACGATTCTATGGTTGTGTAATATCAAGTGGTGAAATATTGACTTTATTCACTAATTCTGTCGCGTGTTCGAATGATCCATACAGAAACTGCTGTACGGGTTTCACGAAAACTGTTTTTTATATTTAAAATGATAAAAAGATGCTTGTACGTTATTGACACCGGCATCTAATTGAGTTTTGTACTTGGAGATTTCTGTGTTCACCTCGTTTCCTACGGCTTCTTGCCGAGGTCGTTTTATATACCTGTTATTGTTCTTGATGTATATGTGGTAGTTACTCAGCTTTAAGATTAGATTCTAAACCTACTACTAATTTTCTATCTTGGTATTATGTGGTATTAGTTCACTGTTTTCTTATTGTTCAATTAATTTTGTGTATCTCTTCGACTTTTAATTTAAGGGCTGGTTTGGCGAAAGTTACTTAGTATTTTGTCAAAGAAATGGGTGTCGAATTGTTTGTTTGGCTTGCCGGATAGTAATTATTATAATAAATATACAGCGCCCTAATCGTTAAGTTTTAATAATGCAATCAGACAAAATACTGCGTAATAATGGAATTTGTAACAATACGGGTAAAGCGGTATTTTCAATAGTATTCACGTGTCATTGTATTTTTAGTTGCTAATAAAACTTGAATTTAAATATTTTGTTGAAATATTTTTTTTATATTGTAAAAGTATTGACTGTCTCCTATGTCTAGGTACATTAGGTACATAATGTTAAGTAAAACGTTAATGTGTTTTGCTGTTAGTAAAATATTGTAGTAATCTTCCAAAAGTGCTGTGCTAGCTTGAATTCCTTTTATATTTATTAAACTATGTGTGGGTAAAATAAATTATTATTGTTGGCTCTACATTTTCGTTTTATTCTATACTTCGTCCATGCCCCATTAGGATAAAATTATGCTTAAATATATAACAAACATATATTTGCTATTTTCATGTTAGTAGGTACTGTGATATATTATTGGTATACCGCGCTACGTAAATACAACTAAAAATTATTAGTTATGTAATATTTTTCCCTTTGTACCAGAAAGTCAATCACAAATGTTCTTTATTTCTATTTAATGCGGATTAAATATAAAACAAAAATGGACTTGCTATTTTATTGTATGATTCGGTAAACCGCGCTACATAAATCTAAAAATTGTTAGTTATGACATAATTGTTGCCTGTGGACTAGGAAGTCGGACACAAATGTTCTTTATTCCAGCTTATTTCTATTTAATGCGGATTAAATATTAAACAAAAATTGATTTTCTATTTTAATGTATGATTCGGTAAACCACGATAGGTAAATCTAAAAATTGTTAGTTATGACATAATTTTTGCCTGTGGACTAGGAAGTCGGACACAAATGTTCTTTATTCCAGCTTATTTCTATTTAATGCGGATTAAATATTAAACAAAAATTGATTTTCTATTTTAATGTATGATTCGGTAAACCACGATAGGTAAATCTAAAAATTGTTAGTTATTACATAATTTTTCCCTGTGGACTAGAAAGTCAGACAAAAATATTCCTTTTGTTGCTACTATAAATTCCTGTAATTTATTGAAATCCATATAAACTTTCTACGCTATAAATATTCATTTCATTTAGATTAGAGTGATCAACTGCCCTACTTACCTAATAGGAAATTTATGGGGAATGGTTCAATCCCCTGAGGCAACAAGAAAACAATTTTTGTAAAGTTATTGCAAGTACGTAAGCATAGTTCACTGGTTAGTATATTTGTATTTTTAGATGCAAGTGAAAAAAGCGCCGAAGTAAATAATTAATAACGTGTATTAATATCCCATAGAAAGGGACATGTAGCCTATTCCTGAACAAACAACAAGGCCCTCTTCAGTCTAACGTCAATAATTATAGCATAGATTATTATTATTCTAGAAAGCATTTATAGCTCAAAGGCTAAATGACTATATAAAGGCAAGTATGTATTTATAAAAATATAACCCGATAAAGATTATCTGGGTACATGGGTAAAGAAAATGTCATTTGTACAACTTGCCTGCAACTTCGTTTGCAAATACCTGATAATGTTGAAAATGTTTTTTTAGAATTTAAGTGCAACAAAAATGTGTAACTAACAACTTGCTTACGTCAAAACTAATGTCTGTTTTCTTAGTAAAAAGCGAGTGTAGTTTGATTTTAATATTTGAAGTTTTTACACGTAATACTAAGGTTAGACAAGACACAAAATATACATCATTAAATAGCCGTTTCACTAGCGGCCTGAAAGATGTTCAGCCAGTTGATCAAAAAGCTAGGCATATGTCTGGGATCGATGTCGTTAATTAATGGCTTAATGGCTGTTAATTGAACGGCTAATTAAGCTAATTGGCTGCGACATATACATTGACGACATAAGACATTGGTACATGAAACATCGTCGATTTAGTAGTTCGAGCTTAATTCAGATATTAATAAAATCAAGATACCATTCTTGCGAAGGTAGTGAAGCCCCTTAAGAACACCATGTTCAATAACCAAGAATTGTCTTTCCAGCAAGACTCGGCGTCGGGTCATAGAGGTCGGTCTACGCAGTCTTGGTTGGAAACGAACGTTTCGGACTTCATCAGAGGTGACGACTGGCCGTAGTCTAGTCCCGATCTTAATCCGCTGGATTGTGATTTATGGTCAGTTTCAGAGAGTACGGCTTGCTCTAAACGCCATGATAATTTGGAGTCCCTGAAACAATCCGATTGGCAGAGAAGAATTTTCCAACGTCCTTTAACTGTTTTGCCAATGATGACCACTTCGAATAAGCTTTTTATATTTTAAATTGTTTTATATTTATGTAATAAACACACTGTAAAAGTAATAAATGTTATTTGCATTAGATTTTTGAAGTTATACTTCTTTAGGCGCGTTATGAAAAATTGATGAGAGTGAAATTTTACGATGCGCGCGCACCGTGACACAAAATTAACAGAATGAAGTTGCCCACGGAAGATACGACATTGGACATAATTTATAACAACATTCGAATAATAATATAATTTATGTTACACTTAATGTAAGAGTATAATAATAAATATTTATTTATTAAATTTTTCAAATGTAAACTGAAATGTATTGACTATAATGACTCCTTTTCCAGTCTTTGATTATTTAATTGTAATTAATTATTTGCATGCAATCAAAAACTATTTAAGAAGTATAACTTCTTTGGCGCGTATATAAGTACACGCACCCTTTTTTTTCTTTGTTTCAGTATTTATGGCAAGACAAGGTAGATAGAAAAACAAGGTTTTGATTCATCCACATTTATTATATTCCTCTTGACAATCGTTCGACACAGCACATATACAACATTATAAATAATTTACTAGACAACACTACAAGATAAAACTAACAGTTACATGCACGAAAATGCTAATTATCGCTAAAAATTTAAAAATATATCTCACTTCGTAAATGTAATACTATTTTAATTGTAAAGTATTTATCACATAACGGAACTGTGCTTTTCGTAAAGGCTTTTTTAAATCACTATTGAGAGGAGGCATTCTTTAAAATTGGTATAGACTTATTTCGAGACAAGAAATTTCAAAACAAACTTATCTAAATTTTTTTCATGCGATTTAATATATTTGGAATTTGAAATCCATACCAACTTTCAAGAATATATATTCTATACATTTTCGTACAATTAGTAGTATTTTATTGAAATTTTATCCATTGATTGTGACCCTGGCATAAATAGTATCATATCATAGTTGGATTTATCAAACCAATAACTTTTAAAATCTGGGTGATAACATTCACCACTGCAAAAATACTTATATATAATTACCCGTTTAGGTGAAAAGGATAATTTAGAAATGATAACCAAAACTTTATAAAATCCGAATTAATTTGAAAATTTCCTACGTCTAAACTAAACGTCAATTAATTACATTAAATAGTTTATACTAAAATAGTTTTGGCCTGTCATTAAAATAACCCTGCTTAAGAGTCCAGCCTCATTTACATGACTTGTCGCACGTTATGAAGTGCGAAATCGTTTGCAATTCATCTTATGCGACACACACACTTTTTACTGTATGTATTTGCTGAAGTGTCGAAATTCATAACAAAGATTTTGATTGTTACGATTTAGCTTGCCGTTATAATGTGAATTAAAATAAAATGTGTATAACATTTCCATTGGGTTATTTTATTAATTTACCTTTAATTTTACTCACATAATCAGATTAAGACTGGACCATCTTTGTTATGTCAGTATTTCCACTATATAAAACAATTGAACGTTGACACTTCAACAGCTTATAGTCACAAGTATACAATATTATGTAGTATTTTCACATGTACTGCGGTTTGACTCATGGCTAGTGTTTTATGATATCTGTAGCTAAAATTTGTATCTGTATTAATAAATTAACGTTTACTATTTTTTAATCATGCAAATGTCTTCACGTTTTTTTCTGTAGCGGAAAAAATGACGAGTTAGTATAAAGAGATCCTCTTGTACTTTCAATACAACATATATAAGTAGAAGAATAGTAGATAATTTAACTGCATAAAAAAATTATTAGTTTAAAATAAGTTTTAGTGTTGAAAGGCTATACTGACAGTGTGTTTTAAGGAGCCATTTGACATTTAGAATGTATAACGTATTGTATAATCTGTGTTATCAAAGTTGTTTCGGGCAGGGGTGTTTGTAAGAGAAAAGTTTTCAAAGAAAAGTAAGTAACAATTGCAATGAAACCCGTTGAGTCCGATTTTCCGATTGATCGAAATTGTATTCGATGACTCCTTAAAGAGAAATAATTCTTATGTGCTTACACGAACTGATAACAAAAAACATGGAAAGATGATAAGTGGCAGTGATAAATAAAGTAATTGTTGAATTTCAACATTAAGGTAAAACAATACAAGATTTGATACCTTTAATTTTTGAATTGCCGGCAAAGCAGATATTTGAACGCTGTCTAAAATCTAAATTTCTTAGAGACAAGTATGACAGATCCAAAAATTCGATTCAAGTAACATTTTAAACTTCGAATTTATAAATCAGTCTTATTTTAACTGAAGTACTCGTTCCTTTTATCTCGTGACAGAAATACTGACTTAATAAGGGGATAAATGTCCCCATTGTCGTATTTACTAATATTCGAAAATCTACACAAACAGGTCAAAAATTAACCATAGAGTACCATAGACAATTAAAAAAAAACACATCTAATTCTCATTTAAATAAAATGTGATGTTAATAAACTGATTTTACTAAAACGTTGGCACAATTATTACTGTATAAAACAAATTAAAGCAAATTATAAAAATATAAGCGAGCAAAGCTTTCAAATAAATTACTTACATTGTTCAATATCCGAGGAAAACCCCATTTAAAAATTTATTAAAATCACTATTATAATTGCACATGTTTCTTTAAAGACATGTAATACTTATACTACGCTTCAGGATTAATGAAAACTTACACAGTGTAAGAGATATAAAAAAACAGCGGAGGATAACATTTCATTCTAGGGATGGGCGTAAACCGTCAAATTTGGTTTGAAATGGGCACGTGAGCGATCATATCCTAGACATTCGGAATAGTAAAAAGGCAGGATTTTTCTCACGCCGAATTTAATTACGTAGTTCAGTATTTTACGCTACGATGTGGATTGTAAAGTACGTTTGTCTAAGGCTGTGACTTCCTCGAAAAAAATTTTCACCTATAACAGTAACAAATTGACTAGTATCAACCAATTTGATCAACTAAAGCTGCATTAGTACTAAGCAGGTTCTATATCCAAAATCTATCGTAATAGTTACGCGTCGTTTCTCTTTACGTCCTTTATAAAACGTGGACTAAACATACTGTTTGTTGTATATTTTTTCCTACAATAAACGAATATAAAGAAAAGACCAGAACCTTTATGTGACTGTTCCTTGATAATTATTAATTATTGTTGAAATATTTATATCCGTTAATTATGTTCTATTTAAATAAAACTGCCTAATGTATAGTCCACGTTTTATATATACTTTAGATACAGTACCCGAGGGTTATAAACTATCAGTTGTGTACATTTAAATTATATTAGCTAATAAGAGTTTTAACTAAAAACTATTTTCTTAAATGTACGAAAGCTTCGAAACCTTTTTAAGTATGGTCCGTTTGTTAGAATACAAATATAATTAGATACAAACATTTTTCAACAATTTTCCATAATTCGGTGGAAAAAGTAATATATATTATATTCTAGCAATGTCCGTTTCGTTAAGATACGGTTTTTCCATGCGGTTAAATGCAAAACACCAAATAAGACTGCAATGTTAACTCAAGACTGGATTGTCTAATTTGTCGTGTGAAAAACCGCAAATGCCTTTATAGTGCTACAAATTTATTTTGGCACATTGGTATCGGAACGATCTTAACGGCCATTCAATGACGACTGCACTTGTTTCGACTAAAAATCTGCGGTTAAAACCCGCAGTTACCTCGACGACGTAATTAACGTACCATCTAAGAACGTTGCTATGAGAACGCGACGCCATTTTTGTGCGGGCGCGTGAATATAACCTCTTCATCGTCAGCGTTGATGCTTTCGGCAGCTGTTAATGCTACCGTATCGCTATGTACTACGTGTGGTGATTCACTGAACTCGTCCAATTCTTCGATGCCCGCTGGAAGTAAACTTTATTTTTATGGATGTATGTGATGTGATGTATATAAATATGTATGTATTATACATACAGTTGTCACTCTAGACTCTATGAATACTCATAGATTCAGAAACAAGACTTCGCGCGAATATCACTCGCGTCTGTCAAAATCTAATACGTTTACGTACTCTTTTAGACTTAGAAACAACTGCAACACAAAAAAATCTACATACTAAAGGAAAATTAGACATCGAGGGGAAAGCAAGTAAAAAATTCCACAACTTTCTTACCCGTATAATCAGGAGGCGCCAATAATAAGTACTGCTCTGACCGCGTCGGCCATAGAAGGTGTGCCATCACGCAAAACGCCAGGCAATCAGCTGAATATGTTATACCTATAAAAATAAATTTAAATATTTACATTCGTAAAATTATATCTTGAGAAAAATAAACTACTAAAATATAACTTATAAACTACTTATTATTAAGTCGGTAATTAGACCTAGGAAATCGATAGAGGACCCCCCTATTTAATAATTATGCTAAAAAAAATATTTTATGTTAAGTGACACCGCCGCCCATGGACACTGACATTCCATAATTTCGTAATAATATCAGAATTACCATACATCGCACCAACACTATGTAGGGCCAGCTGTTCACTAAAGTATTTACAAACAGACAACCGAAATATGACTTAGGGTCTTTAAAGAAAAGAGCGTACCAAGTCTTAAAAACCCAGCAACGCACTTGCGAGGAGAGGCGGATTATCCGTAAGGCAAACTAGGCACGTGCCTAGGGGCGTGTAGTACAAGAGGTGCGCGAGCTCAGAATTTTTAAATAAATAAAGAAAATAACATATGGATGATTAACAACTAAATGCTACACCCATGCCTTAATGTAAATCATTAAGGCCTATTTCCCAGAGCAGAGAGGAATCACGAATTTCGATGTTCGTTCTGTCGTCCCTCTTGATTTCTACACAGTTAGGTATAACGTTATATTTCGATGTTCGTTCTGTCGTCCCTCTTGATTTCTACACAGTTAGGTATAACGTTATATTTCGATGTTCGTTCTGTCGTCCCTCTTGATTTCTACACAGTTAGGTATAACGTTATATTTCGATGTTCGTTCTGTCGTCCCTCTTGATTTCTACACAGTTAGGTATAACGTTATATTTCGATGTTCGTTCTGTCGTCCCTCTTGATTTCTACACAGTTAGGTATAACGTTATATTTCGATGTTCGTTCTGTCGTCCCTCTTGATTTCTACACAGTTAGGTATAACGTTATATTTCGATGTTCGTTCTGTCGTCCCTCTTGATTTCTACACAGTTAGGTATAACGTTATATTTCGATGTTCGTTCTGTCGTCCCTCTTGATTTCTACACAGTTAGGTATAACGTTATATTTCATTCGCGCATTAGCGTAAGTACAAGGGTCCTGGGTTACTAAAGTCTAGGGTTTGATGATACAACGTCATCGTAATTGCAAAAAAAAACCTGTTAAAATTTATAGTATTATGATGGCCATTTATGGCGCCGATAAATTGCCTTGGGCACTCTGGACGCCACTGCTTACGAGGTTTCTGGTAGCGTAAGTTCATGAGCGGTATCACTTGACATCTTGAGCCTCTGGTAGACAGGGGTCCAATAATCTTAATATATCCGCTATGGACGGCTAAACTACTTAACCGATTTCAATAAAATTTGCATACCGTGTTCAGTTTGAACTACCTAACTTAAAAGATAGGATAGCTTACATCTTCATTTATACCCGTAATAATATTTTATTGCAAATTATTTGTTTATTATTTGACAGTCACAATTCTAACATATGGCGCTGTGTTGAAAGTACCAGTTTCAGTATCAGTTTCACATTTACAATTTAATGGCATTACCACCAAAAAAGCATGGTCCCCATGGGTCCCCATGACTGGTGTTCACCGACCGTTTCCCTTGAATAGTTTACTACTATGTAATATAACAAAAACTTTAGCCACAGCAAAGCATGGCCGAGTCTGTTAGTATTCTATTAAAAATCCTATTTATATGTAACCATAACTTTGACTCACCTAATATAAACTTGAACCGCCACAAAGGGCTAATTTGTAACGCAATAAGCGCTATTATCGGCAAATACACGAACCAAACAAGGCTCGAAGCGCCGAAATGCAAAAGAAAATTCAGTTTCGGCATATTGTGTTCATACATCATAGTATTACGTAGTTCCAAGACGAACCACACCATGATCGCAACTCGTAATGTCAGCACGAGCCAACCAGGCCACGTTTGGTATTCATCGATTTCTTCAACTATATCCACTTCCGTCTGCAATTTTCAACGAAATTTGGATTTTGAAGGGAAATAATGATTAGATTAAGCCGCATTGTTAAAAATATTGTGCGATGTAGGTGAGGAAATAAAAACAATAAAAGCGGTCAATTTGAATATTGTTTAGTGATGAGTGTAAAAAAATAATTGCCACCCTGACAGGACACTAACTTTATTAAGAGAAGTAGTAAATCATAAATTCCTTCGACTAAATATAATTAAAAATAGATTTAGCTCTCAAACCCACATAAGCAACATTTAATCCCAAGATTTGTTAATGAGCTACCATAGACGTTACAGCTTTAAAGGTAAGTAAATTTTTTTTTTTAACATTTTTATATAAGTGGGACAAGTAACAAAGCGAACCCGACGGCTTATATCGAGGAAGATACGCTCAGCAGTTGTTCCATCATCGTCAAATGGCAATGATGAGACGCTAGTGTTGAGGCATAGGCATTAGGATTAAAGATATGTATAATCTTTATAGCTATAGTAATTTTCATATCTAAACTCGAATTTCCACTTTGAAATTGTTGATAACACATCTATCTTATCTCTTTGAACTTTATATCAAAGCCTACATGACAAATAAAATTTATTTTTAATTTCTGTACAAGAGATTATCGTTAAAATAGAATCAGACACATCGTAGCACTGTGGTTATATTCATTACATTTTTAATTATTAAAGATGTAATGGATAAAAATGGATGTGTGCAACTAACCATACCGGACCTAATAAATAGGCTTAAAAGGCGACAAATCCTAAGTCTTGATAGACACGGTTGAAAAAGAGGAGCAGTCTCGATGGAGATTTTGTTCTGAAAGCCTAACAGCTCTTAACACATCTGCTCATAGTCTACCTGACTGATTGCAAGACAAAGACTTATATATAAAAAAAAATTATAAGATGTAAATTTAACTTATCAGTAAAGGTCTTTGGATTTTGACAGGTCACAGATTATGCACTTCTTATCTTTAAATGTTAGCCATAGATAACTCTATCGATGAGTTAAGTTACTCGTAATAGCATTTTGCAGTAAATTTGTATCCCACAAAAATGCTACACATTTACTTGTGTATTCCAAAGACAATATTGAATATATAAAATAATTAAATGATCTATCTAGTCTATTCGTACCTCTGTACTTGCACCCCAATATTGTAAGAAATATTATATTACTTTAATGTACATAAGAAAATTTTTTTTTTCAAAGATAATAATATAATCTCAACATTCTATTAATGCTGAGTGCTAATTCTTACCGTATTCCAAACATAGAGAAGAACATGAACAATTCCATACACCATCCAAACTCCAAAAACTAATGGTTTATGTGTTAGTTCAAGTCTCGTCACCGCCCAGCCTTTTGCCAATAGAAGTAATAGGAGCATAAAGAGTGTCTGAAAAATTTGTTAAAGCTTTTGTTTTGTTTGTATTGTACCTTTTCAAATACATTTAGTGTTTCAATTTCACAATCAATTGTCAATTGTCGTTCAATTTCAATTTCACACTTGGATACCATATAACATGAATTTAATTTTTTTAAGAAAGTTATTGTAACTAAAAAGAAACATAGTGTAGTTTATCTCAACAAACTTTTGGAGCATCCTTATAAAACTCATAGAGAAGACCTTATATCAGTAAAGAAGTTTTAGTGCAACTTACCCTGCTCATAATATCAAATATATCACCAGCTACCGCCAAGCCAGGGAAACCCACACCATCAGCAGCAAACTTCATGGTATGAAGCACATTGAAGCAAAGGGCAATAAATTCTAACATCAAGCTTGATGTGAACAGCTTTGTTACTGGGTGCCTCTGAATTCTAAAATTGTGGGAATACTGATAATATCGGGAATTCAAGTTTTAATTGATCCTTTACCTGCTAGATAAATAGCACATTTTACAATCTCTATTAAATTTCAATGCAAGTAAATAAATGAGTTAAAATCAGGTTTGGTTTTAAAAATAAAAATATACTATATCTCATACAGAATAATTAGAAGTATTGTCAAATAATCACATAGTTTAGTAAGTAGTAACCTTGGCAGACACATGTCTGTTGTTAATTTTTTAAACAAAGGTATTAACATTCTGTGCCATCAATATACATACATATTTTTGTTTGGTTGGTGATCAAGCTATATAGATCGGTTGTATACAGAAAAAGGCAATAAACACAGATGCTAAAGAATTCACATATAGAAATTACGAAATTGGAAGTTACCTGACAGCATATATCTGCACTGGCACCAATATAATATAGCACAACCAGAAAAGTAGGTACAATTCTAAAGTGTTCTTCCTATCAAAAGAAAATTGGTATAACATAGAGTTATACAAAGACAGATTTGGACTTCCATTGACAAGCCAAAAGTCGTATTGTATTAATTGTGGTATCTCTGTTAGTGTTTTATTGTCTGCTGTTGGTGCCCCTGAATAGTGATGCCATGAACAACTCTCTTCGTCCAGGTAACATGATACCATTGAGACATACCAAAACCTAAAAAGATTTAATATTTGACCACATAAAGGTGAAAATTTAAGATAAAAATAAATAAAGACTGTTGCAGAGAGAAATTTATTAATATACTATTAAAATCTAAATTGGAACATGCAAGAGTCTTTGTTTAAAAGTCCAATCAAATTGGGCATCCAGTATTACTTTAATAAATTGGTAGTTACCTTGGTTGTCCACTATTTTGAATAACATATGTGAATTGGTTATGTTTTATTACATTCCATGGCATGTCCTCATCAATACAGAGCTGATTTTTTGGACAGGGTATCCTTCTAAACAAGTCCTGCCCATAGGCATTGCACTTTGGATGATAAGCTGATGCATTTAAATTTTGAAACATAGTTTGACATGCTGTTTCCTTGTCAATAATATCACGATTATTATAATAATGAATGAAATGCTTTCTATCTAAAACTGCAAATGTAATAGGATACTTAAAATGATTACTAGATGTTATGTTTCCAAATATATAACCATATGTTTCCTTCTGATTATGTATCTCCGTCTTCTGAAATCCAAACTTCACTAGAAACTTGAAGAATTCATCAGTAGAAAAATCTCCTTTAATGTGCGTTGAATACACTCCATGATTTATAGAGATAAATAATAAAATTAAAATTCGTAGCTTCATTTTGCAAGTATTTTAATCGATCCTATATTAGAAGTCAGCCGATACCATTTCTTTCATTTTTAATGCTCAACAGATCTCAAATTTGGATAATTTACCGATCAATTCCTATTAATATATATAAGAATTTCATATTAATAATTACAATTCACAATATTGAATAAAAAATTAAAGTACCTCCCCAATATTAATGAAACGGGAAACCCAAATCCAAATATTATTTCAGCAGTCGACTGTCGGTTGTCATTCATCGTGCCGTCATTTGTCAACGCAACGGCAATACAGCAAATTATATAAATAAAACGCAAATTGCTAATGTCCTAGAAGCTTGGTAGTCGGTACATCAAAATCTATATTAAAAACTTATGTCGTTATGAAATAAAATTTTATTTATTTAATTTAAAATAATTATTATTAATTTAGGTTTTTTCCTTGCAATTCAATCTTAAATAATTTTATCCAAAATTATTGTGAGTGATTAGAATAGAGTAATAGAATGCAGAACAAAGTTTCTCAAGGCATTTAAGTCCCCATATTGGGAACAAACTGTCAGCAAGGCCAGTAGAAAAATAACACAAGATCTTACATATCAGTTATTACGGGTTTTTAGTAACCGATCAGAACGATACTCGAGTGGAAATCACCAGAAGGACACTTCCGCTTTAATTTTTTACGAAAATGTCTAAAGATATTGTTCTGTAACACTGATCAGACCAGCCGTTACCAGTAAAACATAGTTATTAATAATTACTTTCAGCATCAGATTCGATGAATGATAAATATCTTTACTACTATTATTAAGATGACGTGTTTTTGTGGTTGAACGTCCAAATTGAATTTTTTGTGTTGAATAGTCAATTTATCGGGATAGGATATATGCTATACATATAACATTCCACTACTACTAAAAGAAGTGGAGAATCAATGATAAAACTTAACTTATCGAATACGCTGCGCAACATGTTAAAGTTGTGAAAATTTATGTATGACAGAATTATTCACGAAAAGAAGGGAAGAAGAAACCACTTGAAAGAAGAGTGCTTTAGTTAATGAAGTGCATTAAGAACCGATTTAGATTTTGAACAAATATCACCGCTATGACGGCCGTCATGCAAATGACAGAACCGCTATTTGACGTTACGGTGACACTCGACGTTCTCTAGAAAGCCTACTCCGATGTTATATTTTATAGACAACGTATGGGTGACGTCACCCAACGTTACATTACGGCCGTTAGATAACGGCACCGCTTTTCTAGAAAACCGTAGCTTAATACCTCTAATAACTCAAATTTAATAGCTCTTTGATTACATCCTTACGATTTGTCAACGGTATTACAATATTGTAATATTAAACTGGCATATTATTTTGAATTTGTATTTTTATATGGATATTATGTGACGATATTTATATTATTTAAAACATTGAAATACATATTTTATTATTTTTGATTAAATCTATTTGATTAATATAGTAGCATAATTCTTAAATTATAATAAGTTTACAAAAGGCTAGTTGGTGGTTTACTGGTTAGTTAGTACTTGTTTAGATAGTAATAAAATGTAATTTATCTTCACAGTTCACAACATGAAAACTTGAATAAAGCCGGGCGCATACATACTGATTCCTGATCAGAAATCCTGATCAGGTTTCCTAATCAAGAATTCCGTGTGGAGAGCGCACACATTCTGTTTTTTGCATTCGGAATTTAAACGATCAGTTCGATCATAGACGCTTCTGATAACGCACGAGTATGGACGACGAAGACGAATTGATGCTCATTGCTCTTTTATTGGCGCTAGACAAAAAGGGCATAAAACGTCGTTATTGGGTGCATCCACTGAATACCCAAAGATTAACTGAGAGTCAATTCTATGTCAAAAGAGCAAAGTTACGGGCATACCCAGAAGAATTCTTCAAATATTACAGGATGTCAATGAAATCCTTTGATGAGCTTCATAATAGCATACGAGATAAAATAAAAAAGCAAAATACGCACATGAGATTGTGTTTGGATACAGAAGAAAAATTGACCATAACATTAAGGTATGTATGTATTTATTGTAATAAAAATTAAGATATTGTACAAACATTACGCTTTAAATTTACTTAAAGTTTAAGAATTCTTGCATTGTTCCCTCCTGTGAATCTTGAGGCTGGAGAACTATAAACTGTGTAGCCTCATTGTCTTCAACACTAGTATTTGGTATAGATACCTTAACAGGATAATCTTGCTTGGGGCTTTGTTGGGTTGTTGATTGGGGAGGCGTCACACTAGAAATTGAGTGGATAAAAATAGGCTTCCTGGTATTCTTACGGGGCACATTTTGCTGCTGCGAAGATTGATAAAAAGTTGGTGGTGATGGAGATGGACTCTGCAAATATATTGGTGATACTTTGGGCACGTGTATATTTTGATAAGATGGAACGTAAGTCGGTGATGGAGCCATTGGAAACGACCCTGAAGAATCGTCACTTTGTTGATAATAGTTAGTGTACCGGGACGTTGATGGCGATGGTTCGTTTCCCATGGTAATCTTTTTTACCAATTGAAGCATACCGACTTTAAAATTAATTTTTTGATGAGCATTCATTGTTTTCATATAGCTTCTGAAACTAAGAAGATATTTCGTGTCGTCATCTTCGTCAATATTAGCAGAAGGTTTTTTCTGTTTTTGTTGCAACATACTTAGTATTTGATTGGGGACATCTTTCTTTTTTTCTGACTGACTATAGGTAAAGTAGGTATGGGTGACTCCACACGATTGATTTCTTCCGGTTCAATATTTTGTTCTTCAGTTTCTGATTGTTGTTGTGGTTGAATAGATTCTGCATTTTCGGTCGGATAGTTCCCTTCTGATTTTCTACTAGCAAACACTGGTGTAAGAAAGTAAAGCAAGGAACTATAAACATAAGTTTTGGGCTTTTTAGCAGCACTGCCAGTAGGAAGATTTTTGGTTTTCTGAAATTCTTTGCGATAATAGTCTCTAATGTTGTTCCATTTCTTCTTCAATTCGGCACCTGAAATAAGTTAAAAATAAAACTATAATGCTTTTTGTTTCAGATTTCTGGCAACTGGTTGCAATTTTGAAGAAATGAAAACAGATTTTTTGGTGGGAAGCCGAACTGTGTCTGCACTAATTAATGAAACCTGTGAAGCTATTTGGGAGATGCACCAACGTTTAGAAATGAGGCCACCGTCATCAAAAGAACGTTGGATTGAAATTGCGGACAGTTATTATAGAAATGCCAACTTCCCAAATTGTGTAGGGGCAGTTGATGGGAAACATATTCGTTTGATATCTCCCCAGCGCAGTGGGTCTGCTTTTATAACTATAAAAACTATTTCTCTATTGTTTTGATGGCAGTAGTAGACGCAGACCTAAGGTTCATAGCTATTGACGTGGGTGCTTTTGGCAGAGACAGTGACAGTAATATCTTTAAAAATTGGGCTTTTGGGAAAATGTTACAAGAAAATCGCCTTAATTTGCCTGAAGCAAAACCTCTGCCAGGAAGTAATGGCCCACCTCTACCATTTGTGTTTTTAGGTGATGAGGCCTTTCCACTGAACAATAATTTTTTGAAACCTTATCCAAGACAGAACCTCAATAATCAACGTCGAATCTTTAACTATCGATTGAGTCGAGCTCGACGAATAGTTGAATGTGCTTTCGGCATTCTTTCAAATAAGTGGAGGATTTTTCATACAAGTATGACAATTCCACCAGATTTTGCTGTTCTAATAACGAAGACAGCATGCGTATTGCATAATTTTGTACGCAGACGAGATGGTTATAATTTTAAAGATACATTGGCACATTACTTCGAGGATTTTCCATTCCGTTCTGCACGACAATCTACAAACCGAGGCAGAACTATACGAGATAATTTCGCCGAGTATTTCGTCTCGCTGGAAGGAGAACTGTCATACCAATACAATGAAAGTATTATTAATCCAAATTGATTCAACAATAAAGGAATATTAAAATACTAACATTTGTTTACTTTATATGTGCACGTTTCCCAATCCTGAATAAGATCTTTACATATCTGTTCCCAGGCCAAATCTTTCATATCACGGTTATGATAATCCGCGTGATTTATATCCCATATGCATTGGTGTTTTTCAACACTCATTATCAAATTCTCGGCTTCGCACATTTTTTTTTTTGACAGCTGACGGAGAGCGTTTCACGTCGTACGTCTACTCGGCACAGCGCCAACGCGATTCTGAATGAAAATTTCCGTACGTGTGCGGCGATCGAGCCAAAATGTATGCGAATGCTGCGTTCGGGGTGACGTCATCAGGTTTTTTCCCGTTCTTCCAAAACGAACGCACGGAGAAATTCCGAACCGAACGTCAGGTTTTTTTCTGTCCGGAAAAAGTAAGAACGGTGTGCGCCTTGTCGAACATTTTGTATGCACGCGGACAATTCAGGTTTCCGAATCTGAAACCCTGATACGGAAACCTGATCCGGAATCAGTATGTATGCGCCCGGCTTAAAGAGTATAGTCCTTAAAACTCGTTCTAATTTTATCTGTGCTTCCAGACATTACAAATTTATCTGTGGCTACACAGTATCTTTGTACTCTGTGGCTTTCAGTTTCAGCTTTGAAAATTGAAATTAGTTCAATGGAGAAGTGAGAATAGAGATGGTTGCCAATTAGTATTAAAATGTACTTATAGTGTTTTTTAATTTCCAGTGTTAACACACCATATACAAATATATTGATTTCAATGTCATTTGTTCTATAGAACATTAACTTGGACTCGGCTCCGTTAGGATGGCCATTCGTATTCTATTCAATGCTTGCGCTTGTCAGCCATAAGTTTGGTTGTACCTATTTCCTTTGTGATATTTTTTCAACAAATCGAAAGTGTTGTGACTAGTTGTCTTCTAGTAATATTCTTACTTATTTATCGTCTTCCTTGGGCTGCATGGGCCAATTAAAAGTAATCCATTATTATGATTTTATTTCATTGTAACCTCAATAGGGCGGAAGTTGCTAGACCCGCTGTTGTCAAAGATTATTCTTGAATGAGAATTGTGAGCTTACAATCAGAATATTATTAGATTTACTTTTATTATAGCTATTAAACTAGAATGGTGGAAATCGGTGCACCACAGCAATCCGCAGAAGATAGTTTAGAAAATGCAGAATGGTACTGGGGTGATATTACTCGGTATGTATTTTAATTTTGTTTTATTTTTATGATACACGTTATTCGTCTTTTTAATTCTTTTCAGGAAAATTTTATTACATGCAGTTCAGTTTATATCACTTATAAATTAATAAAATATTGTTAAAAATTAAGTGACTATTAAATAATGTCATGTCTCATTATGCTAAAAATGTATAATAAAACCACCTTAAAGTATTGCACCTTGGCACATAACAGTTTCTGTTATATGTATGATGTAAGAATAATGAAATTACTAAATGATTATATTTAGGGAATAGGATATTTCATAACATTTAATTTTCTTTGAAATTCAGTTGCTTGAGTAGTATATTACTTATCTCACTAAAATTGATTTTGCTTATTTTCAGTGATGATGCTAATGAAAAACTTAGAGATAGTTGTGATGGTACCTTCCTAGTCCGTAATGCCTCCAACAAAGATGGTGGTTACACTCTAACAGTGAGAAAAGGTGGTACAAATAAATTGATCAAGATATACAATCAAGATGGCCGTTATGGATTCTGTGAACCGTATGAATTTAATTCTGTTGTTGACCTTGTACGATTCTACAGAGAATACTCATTGGCACACTGCAACAGTAGCCTTGACATTAAGCTTATGTACCCTCTTTCAAGGCACCAAGAAAATGAAGGTGGTGAAAATATAAACGATGATACTCTAGAACTAAGTTACAAGGATATTCACAAGAAATTTGTCCTTCGAACTAGAGATTACAACGAGCGATCTGAAAAATATTTACGCCTCAGGGAAGAAGTGAAATTTAAAAGGCAGACTTTAGATGCTTTTAAGGAAACAGTAAAAGTATGTGAAGAGCATTTAAAATTACAAGAAAAAATGCAAGCTGAGGCCCAACCACATGAAAAAAATGATCTAATTGAAAATAATAGACAGCTGATTTCAAGGGTAAATAGTTTAAAACAAGCAAGATGTCAACACCACAATATCCTGAGGGAAACTGTTGAATCTAATTTGCTTCTTGAAAGAGAAATTACTAAATTAAAATCAGAAGTCATAAATCTTTATAAAATTAAAGATAGATACAAAGTGTAAGTATAATTTTAATATAATATATAAATTGTTCTTTTGACTGAAGCTCAAAAGTAGGTGGATGACATTTTACCTTTATTTTGAACACTTCCTAACTTTATAAATAAATTCGCATAATTTTCAGATGGCTTCAAAAGAGGGGTAAGACAGAAGAATATTTACAGGCATTAGAGGATGATAACATTCATAAACTTGAAGAGTTGTATGCACACCGTGAAAGTATTACATGGATGGTTGAAAACTGTACTCGAGACATGGCTACAAGGCTTTTAGAAGGGAAACCCCAAGGGACATTTTTAATACGGCCTAATTCAACTGGTCAATTAGCTTTATCTATAAGTTGTAATGGAATGGTATATCATTGTATAATTTTCAAGACTGAACGTGGATATGGCTTTGCAGAACCATACAATATCTACAAGTGAGTAGTTTTAATATTAATAGTAATAACATAAGCCAAAATACTTTTAGTTTTTGATTGATTGGTGATTATTTTTTTATTTAAAAAAGAGATTGATTTCTATATCTTTGAAATAAATCAAAAAAATTATTAAAATAATTTTTAATTTTATTTAACAATATTAAGATGCTTAATTTCCTATCCTTTTAATATCTTTTAATAATAAAATTTTCAGAACTCTTAATGAGCTAGTACTGCATTATGCTGTAAATTCATTGGAAGAGCACAATGACCAATTGAGAACAGAATTGAAGTTCCCCATTAATGCTCATTTAGTGAAGAAACCTGACAAAAAAGTCCATGACACGCAAGACTCACATTATCATGATAGTCATCAGGATAATCACTTAAGGAGTCACCAACATCGACAATGGGAACAAAGACAAGCTCTTCCGTGAGACTGTGCAGTATGTTTTGGTTTGAGACAGATATAATAAATCTATGTCTTTGTAAGACAAGATAAAATGCCCTAACAAGGTGCAGTCATTTTTAATGTTATTATGAGCCGTTTAATTTATTTTATTGTGGTAAAAGATTAAAATATAATCTAATACCAGAATCTATTTTATTGTGATATGCTCATGTTATTGTAGCTTTACATTAATTGTAACTTTGAGTGTGAAATAAATTTTCAATAGCTATTACAAAAATAAGTACTAGGTTTAAATGCATGTTTTAACATGTTAATTTGTAGAAACAATGTACAAACTAAATGTTTTAGCTTTTGGTGTACATTTCTGGCTTGAAGTGCCAATAATTATTATTATGGACTTACTTTTCTCTAATATTGATTCAGTAAAAATTTTAATAATTTGTGATAAAAGTTTTATCTACAAGAAGTTTGAAAAAGTTTCAAATATGTATTGTTTTAAACAATTGTTTGCCTTGAATCTTTAGATTATGTATTGATGATTCTGTGTTATGTCTTGTATGTTCTGATTGCTTTAATATTTATATAGTGTCTATTTCCAACTTTGAACTAAAGCTGATGCACTGGATCTCTCAACCCAAGTCGAGTATCAGACTAATTCATGGAAGCCTATATTTACTTTCATCACATAAAGAAATTTAGTCCTTATCTGTATTTTAGTAGTTATCTAAAAATAAGGACTGTATTTTTTACAGCAGCAAAATTATCTTCATTTATATATTTTTTGTTATTACATTTTGAATGTATTCTAATATTTCTGAATAAGAAAAAAAATTGCCGCAGTGTCATTGCACCAGTTGAATAATATCAATATTAAAACATTTTAGTTCAGATTTTATGGAGAATACAAGTAATACTTAACATTCTTATAATAATTATTTTAAAAGATTATTTAAGTGAGATTCTTCATGTTATTTTTATAATTATTAATAAGTACAATAATATATTTAAATATGGTATTAATATTTTATGTATATAGGGCTGAATGTTTTAAAAAAAATATTTGTGGATCACACAGTTATTGCAAGTAATGATTGTGTAGTGTATGTATAATAAATGTGATCTCAAAAAATAAAGTAAATGTAAAAGTTACAATAATAAGTTTCAAATTTATTTTAAAAAATTCATTTTGAAACAACCTTGTAATGATTGCCATTTTATAAATTCTTACTATAAGTGTTAATAAACATTGCAAAAAATATACTCATGTTTAACTTACCACTTTCATACCATGAACATAACTTATTAGACCACAAGCCCATGAACAAAAAATACCTGTGAAATTACCCAACGTGAATTACGCTTAGAAGGCTGTTACTATATCTGAAAATAGCTCTGAGCACTATGCCGTCATTTCTGAGCGGTACATGTGAGTACGTGAGTGAATGGACTTTCTCAGGTACAATTGGGGAATTTCGACTAATTATTAATGTACGGCTTTGTTATAAGCGTATAGATGATTAAAAATAAATGTCGAAAAACTTAGTGCCGTACTAAAGTGATGGTACCGGAAGTCGGTGCAAATTTTTAATTCGACGATAGTTGCAGAAGCAATATAGGTCATTTATTACTGTACGGCATTTATGTAATTCCTTTTGGACACATATACAGATACTTTACCCGTAAACGCCGTACATATTTCCAGCGGAGCGGTCGAAAGCCAAGGGTCGCAACCCAACCCCTACACCCATATACCCTAAGGTCATTGTAAAATGTACGGCAACATGTTCAAAATATTATTTAACACGGACAATAATGTTTTATAATTATGCCGTCCAAAAATTATAGTTAATATTTGTGTAAATAAATATTTATCGAAATTTCAGGATTTACCGAGTTCTTACTGCTGTAAGATCAGAGAATAATGTACGGCAACTTGTTTTTTTACATAATGTCACTAAATATTACCGTTGTACCTTATAGCCGTTCATTATAAATGGTAACAAATAAAAATATTATGATAAAAAATATATGAAATTTCCGAAATTTAGATGACTTTTCAAATATTCCTAGAGTAATATGGGGAGTAATATTTTCAAAGATTATTGTTATTTTATATGTAACAAATATAAATAAACAAAAAAAACCAGAGGCCGTACATTTTACTCCAGATTATTCTTTACAGTTGATAAAAACTTCGACGACGTTTGAGGTGTCCCTTAAGGTCATTAATAACTGTACGTATCTGAGTATACTACCATAAGGCTGTAAAGTATATTTACAGCCTTATCGTACCAGCATAGAAGGTAAAGGAAAAATATTTTTAACAAAAATAAAAATATAATTCATGTCCCAAAGTTATGGGACATGAATGGAAAATACCTTTAATATCGTAGATAGGGTATTTTACTGAAAGAAGACTTTATGTTATTTTTAAAAGTTAGATATTATGCATTCAAAGATTTTGTAAAAAATACTTGGCTCGTCTGGAAATCGAACCGGCTTAAATGTAAAAAAACACCCCTACTTTTATGATGCCAATCGAAAGAATGGCCGTATTGGTAGGCGGTGGTATAATCTGCCATTTCACAGACTAGCGGACTATCAAAAGTGTACGGCATTTATCTTTTATTGAAGATTGTCTAAAGTATTAATAACCTGTGTTATTGCCGTACAGATAAAAATCACCGGAAAATGACTCTTTTCTGAGGAAAGTAATTTACCCCATACACCTATGTGTTCCACAAAAAATGTACGGCATGCTGGAAAATGTTATCTATTTGTGAAGTACTCTCAAGATCATTTAATTTTATGTTGTTCTATATCATCATCACCTATATGCTAATCAGACATATGTTGCGACCCTTGGCTTTCGACCGCTCCGCTGGAAATATGTACGGCGTTTACGGGTAAAGTATCTGTATATCTGTCCAAAAGGAATCACACGAATGCCGTACAGTAATAAATGACCTATATTGCTTCTGCAACTGTCGTCGAATTAAAAATTTGCACCGACTTCCGGTACCATCACTTTAGTACGGCACTAGGTTTTTCGACATTTATTTTTAATCATCTATACACTTATAACAAAGCCGTACATTAATAATTAGTCGAAATTCCCCAATTGTACCTGAGAAAGTCCATTCACTCACGTACTCACATGTACCGCTCAGAAATGACGGCATAGTGCTCAGAGCTATTTTCAGATATAGTAACAGCCTTCTAAGCGTAATTCACGTTGGGTCATTTCACAGGTATTTTTTGTTCATGGGCTTGTGGTCTATATATATTATAAAGCAACAATTATAAAAAATAAAATCTTGCATTGTACTATATCTTGTTGATATTGTTACCAACGCGCGTTGACTGCAACGTTTCTCGATTTTTCCACTAGTTAGACATTTCAGCTTGCTGAAAACGTCGGATTTATGGCCGTTTCATCAGAGGCTCTATCACATAGTAAATTGTAATTTGCATAATATTACCCTCGTATTCAGGAGTACAGAGAGAGTCAACTGCTTGATTGCGTAAATCAGTTTAGTTTACCAACTTACTTAGACCTGTCACCGACTTTCGTAAACTGAATCAATTGTAACTAACTATCAGTTAATTAATGCTTATTTAAATGCTTTAATCATTAAAAATGTAGCAAAAACGGATCCCAACAACAAATTGTTTTAGACTTTATTGTTTTTTGTACTGCTGTTTTTATAGCTTTCTCAACCTTTTTCAACTCCCGTAATAAGATAAACATCTTAGACGGCTAGACAATATGTTTTTTCATCAAAATAGATACATATTTTAAATTATTTTATTATAATAAATTGCTAATGACACGTATGCCACGACCGCCCCCTTGACTGACAAAGTTCCCCCCATTTGCCAACCCCAGCGCTCACTAGGGGGCGGTACCGCCCCTGGGAATCTGGTTTGGTGCATTTTAGGGTGCGTCAACATCTTGCGAATGTGCAGCTTGCGAGCTGCGCGCGTGCAGTCACGGCAATGGTTTGGTAAGCTTCTTTAGCGTAACTCATGCAAGGCTCGTGTAAGGCGTGCGCGCACTCAATTTTCGCGCTTAACAGTTCCGTTTACTGGCGTGGGCGGAAGAAAGACGCGAGCCGCCCGCGCTCTGATCGCTTACGGCGCTTAGGTTGCGCATTATTTATAATTTGTTATAACAAGGTTTTATGTTTATATGTACAGTAGATGTTCTTAGTTTAAATTTTGTAACTAATAAGTTCTTTTCTCCAAGAAAATAGGGAAATAATTAAATATTGGTTTGTCGGCCATGGCGTATTTCCCCCCAAATTTTTGGGGAATCCAGTTGTCCAGGGGGGTTTTAGCGGGCACATTTATTTAGGGGGATTTGTAGAGGGTACTTAATTCAAGAAATCGTTTTTTTAAACGCAGGACTCTATATAATTTATAATAAACTCCAATCGTGGCTATAACTGAAATATAAAAAAAAACTATAATACTCCAACATCGAAATAACAGATATTTTATATTACCTGATTTTACTTTTAATGCATATTTGAAATAACCTCTCAAACCGAGTGTACAACAAAAACTTTAGGGGTTTGTAATCGACATTTGAATTTGGTTCTAAGGGGAAAATTTTGTAGAAGTTGGCATCACTGACTGCGGCTAATACCGATTACCGACGCCATTTTGTCAAACGCCGAAGCAAACGCGGTGCGCATTGGTAATAAACGTGTGCTTGGTAGAGTAAAATATTGCTGTATTCCTTTGCATGGGTGTTTACTTTATAACAAACACAAACAAATGGTGTAGAAGTTTAACGCTTGTGTAATTTTTGTAAGTATCTATCATCATAAACAATAAAATAACCGGTGTGTGGCGACAGCCATTACGACGCATGTTTGATTGCTGTAATTTTGAAAGTGGTATATTTGTTAGTTTGTACCTAAAGAAACAGTGTACTTATTAAGATTACATTTTTTTAGATAATCATGTCACGGTACGGTGATTGTAAAATATACGTCGGTGATCTAGGCAACAACGCTAGTAAACCGGAACTTGAAGATGCTTTTTCTTACTACGGTCCTTTAAGGAATGTCTGGGTAGCCAGAAATCCGCCAGGATTTGCTTTTGTTGAATTCGAAGATCCTCGCGATGCTGAAGATGCGGTAAGCATTCAGTTTTGAATCTGTAACGCATTTCTTAAGTTTTGGGTTATAAAATATTTTCTTTTCAATATAGATACGAGGCTTAGATGGGCGTACAATTTGTGGGCGGAGGGCTCGAGTAGAGCTGTCCAACGGTGGCCGAGGATACAGTGGACGAGGGCCGCCGCCTCGCTCTAGACTTCCCCCTCGTCCATATGATGACCGCTGCTATGATTGTGGAGACCGTGGTCATTACGCTAGAGACTGCAGCCGTCGTCGTAGACGCAGGTGATTTGAGTTGTTGGAAGTTAGTTTTGATGAATATTGTCATGGAATCTAGTACTAAACAAGTACTTAAATTTAAAAGGATTCCATGCCATTGATTTGCATTCACATATACCAATGATAACTATGTTATAGGTTATCATTGGCCTGTGCGCCGAGATCAAACTCTTCAGTGTCTGCACTACTTATTGTCTGCGCAACGTAGCTTTCACTTCGCTGCGTGTTCTGCGTTAATGTTGGCTACTACAGTAACTTCGCTCTGCGAACCTCGTTACAACCTACGTGCACGCTTCACTTGTCGAGAACTGCATTGAGTATAGCGTACTAACTGCGCGTCGCGTCACGACTTAAGTAATCACTGCGTGCACTCAGTGAGTTACACATTATTATCATGGTATCTGACTTGAGAGCAGATTAACTAGATGACAATTGGTTGTTTATTTACCAGATAATTTCAATGAGCACTGAAGAGTTAACATGTAAAGAACTGCTCTGTTGCAGTTTGATATTATGTTCAACGAAACAATTCCTTACAATTATGGATTTGATAAAAAGTCAGGGTATACTTTTTCAAAATTCATGCTGTAAGGTTTTTATTTTACGCCAAGTATCTTTGATTAATATTATTATTTTTGTAACAGTGATAAAATTATTACTATTGATAGGGATACTTTAAGTTTAAGAAATAAAAGCACCATTGATTCCAACAAATTCTAAAATGAACTATCCATATGATTTCAGCCGCTCCAGGTCTCGACTTCGCACTCGTTCCCGTTCGCCAAGATCCAGGTCCAGGTCTCGCAGCCGTTCGCGTTCTCGTTCCCGTGATAGATCTCGTTCCAAGGGAAGGTCTGTGTCTAGGTCAAGATCTCGTTCAGCATCAAAAAGCTCGAAGAAATCCAATTGATTCAAAATTTTATTTAACACTTCAAACCTGGTAACATCTTAGTTGTGTGTGTTAAAGCTTAGTTTATCACTTGAAGTTCTATCATTCCTGTGTATTGATTTTTAAGGTACAAAGTCACGATTATTATAAATATAAAACAATAAATAAATTTTGCTTTTTTAAGATTTTCATTATTTCTCACAGCAATTATTAAAATTTATTATTTTAATTCCAATTTTGTATAGGAATATCAACGCCTTTGATAATGGAATTATTTGTATTTAAGATAAAAATTGAATAGTAATAATTTCATCCAGTCCTAGTCCAGGTTGTCTTAGACTTCACTTCAAAATAACAATTTCCTTAGGTCGTCTTAGGAATTCCTGTTTTTTGATGAGCCCTATCAGTTAGTCGTTAAAAAATATTAAATATAGTACTGGTACCCAGCAAGGTAGTATAGTAAATAAGTCCTCGGTTTTCCGAAAAATCATCAAATATTCAATCCCCATTTTTAAAGTAAAAATAATTGTAATTAAAGAAGCTCAAATTTTATTTAAGTTTTTATTGTTCATTAGTATTTAAGTTTCTTAAACGCAATAATAACACAGAAAATATTTACCATTGATCTGTGGTGTACAGCACTACGTAAACGTACGTCAGATATGTAGATTATAAGGGCGCCTTCAAATTTGCTGCGCGGCTGCAGCTTCACTGCTGTCGCTAAGTTTGAGAATCGTAGTGTAGTACATATTTTCACGAAGAAACACTGCTCTAAGGGGCCTCATAGCCTAGCGGTCTTATTAAGTGGCAGCTAGGTGAGGGGTACCGGGTTCGAGGGCAAGATTTAATTTAAATTTGTTCTCGGCCTTTGGGAGGGTTGTGTGACATGTGCGGTACCGGGCGAGTGCTTAAACCATACATGGAGGACACGGTCGAATTTCTAAAGACAAACACGAATTATAAAAAATCCTATACTTGACGCTGGCTAATGCACAAATCGTGCCAGAGCCATTCCCCGTTTAGAACATTAAATTGGAAACAAAATACAACCTTCAAAAATACTATATTTTGTGAAGAGATACTATTAAAGTGGGTGATAGACGTACGAACTTAAAGTACGCGGTTTTTAAAATCGTGAACTTACTAGGCTCGACGTCGGTGACACACGTGAAGCTTGCTCATACTATATCGCGATGTCGTCGAGAGAAGAAGCTTTGTGTTATTTGGGAATTATATCATACTACATTTTAAAAACTAATAAAAAAATACTAAATCGACAAGTGTGGGTAAAGCACTGGATAACGATAAAGAGCGTTTATCGCATGTGAATATAGTAAGAGAAAAACATAATAAAACAAAAAAAAAATGGCGGCTCGCGCCTCGCAGCGCTGCCACACGTACGAGCCGTGACGAGCTACGAGTAAGATTTCAAACAAGTTGGATCGCCGGCGAACTTGCGCAGCAATTTTAAAGTACGCGTTTTTAAGGTGACATACAGGCGAAAAAGGTCGTCGAGCCACAAGTCCGCGTACTTACTCGCACGTCTATCACCCACTTAATAAGACTCAGGTAAGTAAAAATTTCCATCAAATTCATAATATAATCGTTTTATTTTTAAGTAAATCACATTTATACACAGTTTTCATATTATTGCTTTTAATTTTTTGTGAAATTCTCAATAAATTTATTGCATATTTCATCCCATGACTTCTTTTTTTTTCAATTTTATTTCTGTACTTGTCGGATCTTAAATCCCATATCGCTGGACGACTCTCAATCTCATCGATAAATTCTACGTGATTTTCGTTCATGTTCATATTACAAGACGTCTATTATACAAAAAACTGCGTGCGCGCAGCACTAGACACTAGTCGATCGATGAACTGATGCGTGGCCGCAGCGCGGGTGTAGCGCAGCAACCGCGCGTTATTTATTTACATAGATTTACAAAGTAGCGCGGCTGCAAACGCGTTGCCACCGCGCGGCACTTTGCGGCAAATTTAAAGGCGCCCTTATTCTTAGTACAAGACGTTTTCTCCTTAAATTATGTAGTACCTAACGTAGCACAATTATTTGCTACAATTCGGTTAAATCCCGTGACAAATATTCATATTGACGATTTAGGCTATTATGGCTGCTATATACTAAGTCTTTGGGGTAGGTTTGGATAATATTTAATACTATCTGTCATAGACTATTGTCTGTGTGAATCAGATAAAAATAAAATGGTAATACCAATATTAAAAAATATATAGGCAATGATCGGTAGACGGACGTCGTTTCGACTTTTGTATTCCGTCATGCAATAATTTTTGTCATACATGAATTCTTGGCAAAAAAAGGGTTTTAGGTGGTTTCACCGTCGTTAACATTAGACTAAAAATGAAAATGGTGTTTTAGTATTGGTTTCGTGTAGCGTAAAGTGAAGCACTTGATAGGTCTGTGACAAGTACGGTAATGGTGGCCATGTCATGAAAATCCCTACAGCCATGGATGATAACTCCGTTTCTCATCACAACGGAGGGCAAGTGGGATCTGAAATAGGAGTTAGTGTAAATAATAAACAAAATGAAGAATCTAGTCAAAGTGTCCAGTATTCAATACCGGGCATTTTGCATTTTATCCAACATGAATGGGCGAGATTCGAACTAGAGAGATCACAATGGGAGGTGGATAGAGCTGAGTTTGAGGTACTATTTTCAAACTAATTACTGATTTTTTAGCAGAATATTCCATAATTAATTTAAATCTGCACACTACTTTATGCCCTTCATTGATAAATTTCGTAAATACCTTTACATTTTTGCTTTAGTTATTTTGTTATTATTGGATTCAATTGGAGCTCTATTTACTGCAACACCTATAGTATAATAGTACTATTTATAGCCTCACAATTATATGTACCTCAAGTAAATATTAATACATTAAAATTTAATGGTTTACTAATTGGCATTTTTTTTACTTACTCTTTTGTCTTAAAGTGTTGTCAATATTTGCTAATAAACAAGGTTTATCATATTTGATCTGATCTCAATTATAGGGAAAGGTAATGTTTAGTTTCATAAAATGTATCTAGAAAGTAATTTGCCTTCTGTATTCCATATAATTTCTTCTTCTTGGTTTTTAAATACTTTTTATTAAGAATACCTGATAATGTATCTTTTTGTCTCTCACAGGCAAGAATTGCCTTCCTCCAGGGTGAGAGGAAAGGTCAAGAGAATTTAAAAAATGATCTAGTAAGACGGATCAAAATGCTTGAGTATGCATTGAAACAGGAGAGGGCAAAATTTCATAAGTTAAAATATGGTGTGGAGCTGCAACAGGGAGATATGCGGCCGCCACCAGAAGAACCACCAGTTGAACCAGACCCAGCTGAGAGAGCTCAATGGAAGCATGGCCGTCAACTCATCAAACAGTACCTGCAGGTTTGTGACTTGAATATTTAATTCATGTTGCACCATATTTGAAACACTGCTGTGTATGCCTTATTTGTAAAACTTATGGGAACTCATATTTGTAGTTAGGAATTTTAAATTATGCTGATGACAATAATTCAATATCTGATATTAATGCCTGATAATTATGGAATTTTTTAACCCAAATTATACTCAGTGTTAAATTTTTTTGGAAATCATTGAAATATGTCATTTTCATAGTAGATTTATTTGCCTGATTTAATCAATGTCACAATAATAAATAATGAGTAATACAATCATTATAAATAAGATTTTTGTAATAAAAGAATATTTTTCCTATTATGTTGTTTTTAATAATTATTGTTGTTACTATATATAATTCTGAATCCAAATATTACTAAATCAAACCTATTCAAGTTTTAATTTAGTTTGTTTATTCCAATGGGTTATAAGTTAGAAGAAAATTAGGTTAATTGATAAACTTGTTGGGGTCAAAATTTACACACATAATGGACACATTTAAAACACAAATATATGTGTTTTAATCTTTTACATTTGATTGATAATGGTTTTTGGTTAACAGGAAATAGGCTATACAGACACAATACTTGACATTCGTTCTAATCGAGTGAGGACTTTACTGGGAGTGAATAATGAAGAACAATCAGAAGAATCCAATTATAGGAATTGTGACAAACATCATTACTCTACAAATACTGCCCTCGGACGTAAAATGATGATGTATGACTATGGTATGTCAAACCAGTCCAGTCCCTTTATACAGTTTTATGTATGTTCTTATGTGTATGTGGGCATTAGTCTTCGTTGCTATGAAGCTTGGAAGAAAAACTTTTAATAAAATACAGAATTATAATTGCAAAAGAACACTTTGTTCTTTTAATGTATTGGTTCAGACTCGTAGGAGAAAATGAATATAAATTTTTTATATCATATTTATTTCCTTAAATGTAGGGTGTTGAAGTTTTAAGGTGGTAAGAATTCATAATAGCATAAATAAAAAAGATATACAATATTTCAGGTGGCAAAGACCAACAATGCAAGGGTTCTGTATCTAGTGGATACAATGAAGAAGGCCTGTCTGTACAAGAAAATGCGGTCTTTGCAAATTTCGAGTTCTTGGCAAACCAAGAAATGGATATGGATGAAATTGAGGATATAGATGCCAAACAAGCTCACCACACTCAAATGAAACAAGGTTTGTTGTATTTTTGGATGAAATAGATTGATAATACTTGTATTGCAATGCAAATTTTATGTAGTTTGATTTAAGATTTATAAGGGACTAGCAGACCGGCCAAGCGTTGCTGTGGCTAAGGTTTTAGTTATATTACATAGTAGTAACCTATACAAGGGAAACGGTAGGAGATCACCAGTCATGGGGACCACCATGCTTTATGGTGGTTATGCTATTAAATTGTAGCTTATGTGAAACGTTGGTACTTTCAACACAGCGCCATCTGTTAGAATTGTTACTATGTATTAAATAAGAAACAAATATTTTGCAATAAAATAATATTGCGGGTATAAATTGAGATGTAAGCTATCCTATATTTTAAGTTAGATCAAACTGCACACGGTGTGCAAATTTGACTGATATCGGTTCGGTAGTTTAGGGAGTCCATAGCGGACAAACAACGTGACACGTAATTTATATATATTAAGATTATAAGCATCTTGTAACCATTTTATTGATATGAATCCAGGTCCATAGGCACCTAATTACTGGGTTTGTTGCTAATTTTACCATATATTTAGTGACAAGAACTATAAATAAGTAGTTACTTTTCTTAGAATAGAACTCAGATAACAACACATTAAAACAATATTAAACAAACAGATTCATAATTTTAAAGTGGTTTTATATTATCATGAGTCCATGTAGCCTGCCTGAAGTATACTAAATGTCAAGATATTTTCCAATATAGTTTTGATATTGTAAATTTCTATGTATATTATCTTTTAGTATTACTTGTGACTCATGCTAGGTTGTGGACTGTTGCATTTACTTAAATAATTCTATGAAATTACTTAAATAAATATTCATAAACGTGGCAACAGTCAAGAGAATGCTTATATTTTATTATTCTCCAGTTTTTAAATTCTAATAATAGATTGTCCAGGAGTCCTTTTTATAATTAATTAGCATACAGTTTATTGAGCAAATGTATCTTAGGGTGACGGGATTGTTGAGAAAAACAAATATAGTTTATTTATTTTCTTTTTCTTTAAAAGCAAAAGAAATCGAAATACTTAATGAAATGTTAAAAATATACAGGTTTTATGAAAATGTGTGATGCAGAATGTCAAAAATGTTTTAGAGTTTGACATACTGCATCAAATTAATAATCATACAATTTCGCATTTCTAAATCTTACCCTGAAGGGTCTAACGAAATACTCTGGTATCAATAACATATATTTATTTGATGTTTTAAATAAGTCTTAAATATGATATTCATATAATTAAAAATCTCTTATAAAAGATTTATTAAAAAATAATATGTGATTTGTTGATGCTAGAATTTCATAAGCAATGTTTCAAGGTGAAGAAGTGGACCATGAAGCTGAAGAAGTCCTCAATGAACTAAATCTGCTCACCGAGACAGAAGCAGATGGCGGTGGACAGGGAGATGAATATGTTGGTAAGTCGATATTAATGTAACCAATTCCTAAAATTGTTTTCTATGATGATTTAATGAACAAATAGGTACTAGAGAAAAATTAAATTTTATTATTATTATTGTCATGGTCTAAGATCCCGCTGCAGGATTGGTGCGCTCATCGACTATTTGTTTAAAACCAAATTTTTATGTTTATTTATAATTAAGAGAATATATATTTACTAGGGTGCCTATCAAAATTTGGCCGCCATTATTTTTAATTAAATTATTTTTAATTGATTTTTGGTAAAAAATTGCGTTCATTTATTATTTAAATAAAATAACGTCTACATCACGGTAATTAATATGAAGATTCTAAAAAATCACGGGTGCCGTTGCGCACATGGCCGCACCTCTTTGCAGCCAGGTGTAAACAGGTATGATTTCGATAAATTTATACGTTTATAACCTATTTTTATTAATTATATGTCAAATTGAAGCTAATTTTTTTCTATTAATTATCATATAAAGTTGCTTAATTAAATCTGGCCGCAAATAAGGGCTACTGGCTGTTAAAGATAATAAATATTTAAGGTAGAGTGAAAGAGAGTTAGCGCGTAACATCATTTGTCAGACGAGGACAGCGATTGTCGGCTGTGCGACGCTTTTAAGCCATTGCGCATGCGTCGAACGTTAGTGTTCTCAACCACCGGGGAGTAATAGAGACGACCTATAATAAATACTCCAAAAAATATGTAATTTTTTTTAAAACTGACAAATTTAAAAATTGCAACAAAAAATTAATATTGATTTGATATATCGACGGTCTAGTTAGCAATTTGTCTAACTCCTTATTTTTAGAGGGTGATTTTTTTAACATTTTGATGAAGACATAATCCAATTACAAATTATTTGAATGATTCAAACTTAAAAATTATATCTCTATTAGATATTAATGATATTAAATGGTTTTTTAAAATGATAATAAATTTTGAAGTCATTGTTTTTTTCGTACAAATAAAAGATTCTCTAAAATGGAGTTAGATAATTTGCTAATTAGAACGTCGATATTTAATATGAATTTAAAAAATAAAAAAATAAAACCAAGGTGACTTAAGTAAAAGAAAATTTTATTGCGAAAGTATTATTTAAAAATTTTATTAGATTTTATTCAAGTAATTGATTGTCTATTACATATTAATTAAACATTTAAGCAAATTAAAAAATTAAAAAAATTAATCTTATAACTCTTATATTTCCGTAACTCTTTTTTAAAAATCTGAATCATCGGAGCTTTCTGTTGTACTATCATCGGAGCTATCACTTTCATCGCTACAAATATCAGAATCGTCGTTATCGGAAGCTTTGTTCATGGATTCACATAGCACACTATTAACTTGCGTTGGAGTTGAGTCTCCCAGGAACCATGTTGGTTTTAAAAAACCATCTAGTACCAGCCAGCCATTCTGGGCTGAATTTGTTGCAATTTTTAAATTTGTCATTTTGAAAAAAAAATTCATATTTTTTGGAGTATTTATTATAAGTCGTCTCTATTACTCCCCGGTGGTTGAGAACACTAACGTTCGACGCATGCGCAATGGCTTAAAAGCGTCGCACAGCCGACAATCGCTGTCCTCGTCTGACAAATGATGTTACGCGCTAACTCTCTTTCACTCTACCTTAAATATTTATTATCTTTAACAGCCAGTAGCCCTTATTTGCGGCCAGATTTAATTAAGCAACTTTATATGATAATTAATAGAAAAAAATTAGCTTCAATTTGACATATAATTAATAAAAATAGGTTATAAACGTATAAATTTATCGAAATCATACCTGTTTACACCTGGCTGCAAAGAGGTGCGGCCATGTGCGCAACGGCACCCGTGATTTTTTAGAATCTTCATATTAATTACCGTGATGTAGACGTTATTTTATTTAAATAATAAATGAACGCAATTTTTTACCAAAAATCAATTAAAAATAATTTAATTAAAAATAATGGCGGCCAAATTTTGATAGGCACCCTAGTAAATATATATTCTCTTAATTATAAAAAAACATAAAAATTTGGTTTTAAACAAATAGTCGATGAGCGCACCAATCCTGCAGCGGGATCTCGTACTATCATTATCACTTAATTTATGAAGAAATGTCATTATCACTTAATTTATGAAAACTTTAAATTATGTAACAATATTTTTTAAAATACCAGAAAATTCATGGTTTGTTCCGATATAGCAGCATATTACACATTTGTAAACAAATTTGGTAGTGTCCATTTGTTTTCCATTGTTAAAATTTACCTGAATTTTGTTATAGCTTTGGTTAAGTATCTTTAGTAATTAAAAAAAAACTGTACAGTGGTATTTGCGGTATACCTAAGCTTTTAAGCACATATATTTGTGTTAATTGTGAATATTGACATGTTATTGAATGAAAAACTCTAGGTTACCTTGTTTTTAGTTGACAGCCGACTAAAGTTGTTAACTTTTTCGTTTGATTTTACTAAACGTAGGATCATTTTTTGGTTACAAAAATTTTGAATCTAAAGAAAGGGAGGGTAGTCAAGCATATGTTAGAAACTATTTGATAGGATTTTAATAACCATTACAGACCCTGCTGTAACATACTATGCTTGTAAATACGTAAACAAACGCCTGCGATTTTTGTTAAATTACTCAAGTACATACATAAATTTCATAAAATAGACTCCGGCGAATAACTACTATTTTCAATCATGCTGCATCACCCTCAATTCGACTCATCCTGACCACTTGTGTCACGTGACTAACGAATAAAAATCTATATTTATAATTATAGAGATTTTGATAAATTAATAATAATATTCAAGTTATTTTACTTTATAACGCTTCTTAAAGCAATTTTTCATATAGATTACTCTTAATAACACGTTTTTTAGATACTGTCAGACAGCTTTTTAGAATTTTGACTCTTATAACTTAATATGTTTCTACCATAACACTGGAATTGAGTTTAATAAATTTTGATAAACACACCTGGTTGACGACGTTGGAATTGACGTTCAGAAATCGACAAATAAAATGTATAACTATAGAGATCAATAAACTAACCCACTTCCAGATGACCTATAAAGTTGAATTTTGGTACCCAGAAGGAATTTTCAAAAGAAAAACCAACCATTTTAAGATATTTTAACTCAATGTTCCAATAATTTGTATCACAACAGGTGTCTTGTTATATAGAATATAAAAGAGTATTCGCGCTCACGTAAAAACAATATTTAATATAACAATAATAATAACAAGATATATATAAGTGTCATATTGTATGTTACTAAAAATTGCTCTATTTATATGTAAGTTAAGACCTAAACCGATGAATTCATGCAATACTCAAATGACCCTTGCTAGTAAAGATTTTAAGCAAAATTAAAAATAAGTACTTACCGATGTCGCTATAACAATTCCAGTGAAGTTCCCAAGTGGCAGTGCCACCAGCGGGCCGGCTGGCGAAGCCGATGAGAAGCCCTTAGCGTTGGGGGAACTCGCTCAACTGACTGTGAGCAATGAGCCAGAAGCCTACGACGTGGCTGGGGCTAGTAAGGAGTCCTTCAGGAAGACGTGGAACCCCAAGTATACTCTGCGCTCGCATTTTGATGGGGTAAGTGTTCATAGGCTGTGATGACGCGGGTGCGATTGTTATTTTTGGTGTGCGTGTGTTTACATATCGATATAGAAGGAATAGAATCTATTGAAAATTGATGACTACTAAGTTTTAGTTAGTTTATAATGCGTTTCGTATTTAGTTTGATTTATTGGTTACGGCGTTTTTTCTTCTAAAAAACGTTAGTAGAAAGCCTAAAAAAATGTTTTGAAAAAGTGAATGGTATTTTATTTATTATCATTTTGTAGCAAAAATCAGTACAATTACAATAATTTAATAATTGGAGGGCAGGGGGCCTCATAGCCTAGCGGTCTTATTAAGTGGCAACTAGGTGAGGGGTAACGGGTTCGATTCCCGGTTCGAGGGCAAGTTTTAATTTAATTTAAATTTGTTCTCGGCCTTTGGGAGGGTTGTGCGGTACCGGGCGAGTGCTTAAACCGTACATGGAGGACACGGTTGAATTTCTAAGGCTAGCACGAATTATATAAATCTTATACTTGACGCTGGCTAATGCACAAACCGTGCCAGAGCCTTAAAAAAAAATTGGAGGGCAACCGGCCTTAAAGCTTTCGAGCGATCTCTTCCAAGCAACCAATTTAGTGAAACAACTGTCAAACACTTTTTACCTTTCTATTATGTATATTGATTATTCCGGATTTTTTTTTCACAAATGTGTAATCACGCAAATCCGTCACTTCAAAAATTATTCAACTTCAAATTGAATATATTCTGTTGCCTATGTCAGTAGGTATGTAGTTGTCTGCTGGTAGATTTTTTAGCGAAACTGTTGAGTATTTTCAGAGATGCTGCAAAGAGATTCATTCTAATATTTTGTATAAAATGCCCGTTATTCCAGGTACGCGCTGTAGCCTTCCACCCAAACGAAGCGGCTTTAGTGACAGCATCTGAAGATCACACTCTTAAGCTGTGGAACCTTCAAAGAACGGTCCCAGCTAAGAAGTCTGCAGGGCTGGATGTGGAACCGCTGTATACCTTCCGGGCCCACAGTGGCCCAGTCTTGTGTCTGGCTATGGGAGCTCCCAGGTCAGAAGAATGTTTCTCTGCGGGTAGAGATGGAACAATACGTGTATGGAATCTCCCATCTGCCACGGCCGACCCGTATGATCCTTATGATGCTGCTGTGCAGGTGAGAAAATTTTCTAAATATGTGTTCGATTATTAAAAAAAATCAATATACAGGTTGGTCAAAAAGTCGTGGATCAAACGCAAATAGGGGATAGATGAGGTCATCAGCTGCAAAAAATTGTTCTACGGGAGGTCCCTAAGCTCAACCCCTGCAGAGTTATAATTTATTTTGCGTTTTTATAAGAAAATGAACTTTTTTTACTAATTCTTATTAAAATTCGAAAAAATCTACATCCTGTATCTTTTTCATAATATCCACTAGATTGGTACTGATGAGTTCTTGCGTTAGATATACTATTTATAGTTATAAAAACGCAAATAAATTATAACTCTGCAGGGGTTGAGCTTAGGGACCTCCCGTAGAACAATTTTTTGCAGCTGATGACCTCATCTATCCCCTATTTGCGTTTGATCCACGACTTTTTGACCACTCTGTATAACAATCCCTTTGATATATGTCAAGTTATTTCATTAATAAATCTTTTCAATTGGACTTTGATTAGTTTTCTTATAATAAATATCCTTTAAAATATTCTTTAAGCACAATTTTGGCTTATATTTTGTCTAGTTTATTTTCCCTGTTAGTACGTTTTTGTTTTCTTTAGAATCATACTCTTTTCTTTAGCGATGTTATTGGCCTGTTTAACTCTATCAAAGTGTATTCCTTGAATCAGCGGAAAAATTTTAGTTTCAACACTAACAAAAGTAATGTGTACCGACAATCAATGAAAGAGATTCTGAAAATTGTCCTTTAGGGCCCCGTACTCCGGGAGCACACGGACGCGATCTGGTCCCTGGCCAGTTCTCACGGGCGCCTGTTGTCTGCCTCGGCAGACGGCACGGCTCGCCTCTGGTCGCCCAGGGCACCGCGCCCTCTGCTGGCCACTCTGCGCGATGACGCCACGGCTGGAGATCCAGCTGCTGCTGACTTTGCAGATGCAGCCACTCGAGCCGCCGTCGCCTACAATGATGGCACGCTGCTCTTGTATGATCTTGAGACCGCACAGGTGAGTCTTGTGTTAAGGACGTAAGGGAGCGTTCAAGTATTACGTAACGAATTTTGGGAGGGGGGGTTCTTTTGTAAAACGTTACCATGCGGGGCGGGGATTGAATTACGCGTTATTGTTAATATTATTTTCTACTTACACCACATAATAGTAACTAAAGAGTCACGAAACGTTTTACTAGACTTGGGAACAGTACTATACTTGGGTACTGAAAAACGTTACGGCGAGTTACATGGGGGGGTCAATAATCTTTAAAAATTGCGTTACGTAATACTTGAACGAAGGGAGCGTACAGTTAAGTACAGGTCACTAAGCACTCATAAAACGAGTTTTATATATTGTCTATAGTCGCCGTAGGACGTATGCACCTGTCAGTGCAATTTAATAATACTGGCGAGATTATGTATATATTATAGAAGAATATCAAATTTGTGAATGTGTCGTCGATTCCATCTCATTACCTATAAATAATGAAATTAAGTTAATGAGCAATTATTTTACATAATTTTACATGATACTAATATAAGCTGAAGTATTTGTTTAAATGAGTAATTCAAGAAGTACTGCAAAGACGGGAAAGATTATTCTTAATATATTTTTCGTATTCGTTTAAACTTACGCGAACATCATGATGGATTTTTTTCTAAATGTAAAAAAAACGTCCAGTAGCATGGTCATTTTAAGGTTGACTGTACCATATTATGGTAATTCCAATACAATCAAAATCTGTTATAACGACATCGAAGGGACTACTCATATTTGGTCGTAACAGCCGATGACGTTGTTATTAAGTACCTTATACTATAGAATATTCCTCATGCAAATAATTTGGTTAATTCGCGATTCAGGTGGTCCTCCGCGTGTCGTGCTCGTCGCCGACGACGCGCGTGCGCTCGCACCCGACGCTGCCCGTGCTGGTGACGGCGCACGAGGACCGCCACATCCGCTTCTGGGACGCCGTGTCGGGGCGCTGCGCCCACGCGATGGTGGCGCACCTGGACGCCGTGACGGGACTGGCCCTGGATCCCAACGGGCTGTTCCTGCTGTCGGGCTCGCACGACTGCTCCGTGCGCCTCTGGAACCTCGACACGAAGACCTGCGTACAGGAGATCACGGCCCACCGCAAGAAGTTCGACGAGGGCATCCTGGACGTGGCCTTCCACCCGGTCCGGCCGTACATCGCCAGCGCCGGCGCCGACGGCCTCGCCAAAGTCTTCGTGTGAGCCTCCGCGTGAGTCCGTTTACGTATACTATTGTAAGCGTCGAGCGCAGTGTATAGACATTCGGAATCTATTATATTTTTAGACTTTCAGTATGTGAATTTTAGGTTTTTAATCGCGAATTTTTCACCGATTTTACTATGCAGTGTATGCGTCGGCCGTGAGATCTTTGTAATGTATCGATGTTTCTTTGATGCGTTCGCGTCTGTACAGTTAGATTTATGCAGTATTTGATATTTTGCAAATAACGTTCGAAGTGATTATTAGCTAGTGTATTTTATTTAAATCGTTTCAATTATGTAGACTTACGTTTCGTCGCGTATTGTAGTGCTCGGTATCTCGGGAGCGATCGAACAAAAATTTATGAGTAGTGAAGGATTATTTCCGTATAAGTAAGTAATGTTTGTTCGTAACGAATACTGCGATGTAGGATATATATTAAACATTACATAATTATTCCTTTATTTTCCTCGAATTCATATGTACACATACATCCAAATTGATAGTAAAAAGCAACATAACCGAATCACACGTTGTTTTTTTATATTTCTTTGTCACACCTACAACCCTTAATAGTTCCATTGTAGCTTATAAGAAATAGAGAAAGTCCACGTCATAATGGACGGCGACAGCCTTTACGCTAAATTATTCAAGTTTTCACCTAACATCAAGTGAGTCGCTTGAAATGTGCCATGCACATAGCCACTGGTTATGAATTAAGTATAAACTAAATATATAAGTAGTATGACAACATGGTAAAACCTTATCTTTAGGATTAAGATCTGAATAAAATTTTAAGCATATAATAAGTTTATTTTTATGGTCCGATCACGTAAAGTGCTTACTCTTATATTATTTTCTATTATCGTGAAAGGTGTTGAATGCTTTACTGACCTGTAAAATTAGGTAATATTATACGATTCAAAATAGTATGCAAACAAATTTTGGTGTACATACTTATAATAAAGTGACCCTAGGAAATTTAATTTTGTACAATTAGTACGCAGACAATATGTAAAAAATATATCAACCAGGTGAAAAATATGGATCTTGTGGATAAAACAAGAACATCTCTCAATAATTCTCAAAATTTCACAATAGCTCTCGAAATGTCGAGTTATTTTATATTAGAATAATTTCACGTTTCCACAATTTTTTTTAAGTATAAAGAAAAAAAAATTTATTGAAACTGGCAATTATTTTACTCGTAAAGTGAGGTATTGTGGAATTTAGGATGTTTGCTTTCATGGGAGTAAACAATGTTGTAAGTGTAAACGTTCTTTCACTTTGCTACAGAATTGTGTTATCGTTTGACGAATATTCACTATGGTCGGTAAGTATTTAAAATTATAATTATCATTAGCGTTAAACGTCAATTTTCGACAAATATTTAATAAAATGCATACAAAATAAAGTTATCATAGTAACAGCGCGGTAACGTCGCAGCTGTCTTTAACTGTTTTACCGTAATTGTTTTGTAATTTATGTTAAAATTTTTGTGGTATTTGTGTCGTTTGTTTGAAAAGTTGTTTTTATTTATTCAGAACTAAACTTATTTTTATATTAAGGACATTATTAGTTTTGAGGGCCTATTAATAATTTAAGCCTTATGGTTTCCAACACATTTTAGTATCAAAGTATCTGAGGAATTGTTTCCACCTAGTGACCCAAAAATGGTTCTTAATTATTTCACTTAGTACGAACGATACGTTAAATTAGTTAACGTAATAAAATAGAAGCAATATATTATATGTAACGCTCCCCACAGAGGGCTTGGAACATGATGAAAGCTTCCGAAAAGTTTGTGCCACGGGTAAGAAAATGCTTAGAAATTTACAACAAACCTAAATTAAAAAAATGATTTAAGGTATGGGTATGTTTGTGTACTTCCTGTTTTGGCTTACTCAAAAACTGGCGGAGCTGCCCAGTCCACCGCCACCTGATGCTGTGCCGACTTACGCCCCTGATCGTCACTTGCCACCAACGCAGAAGATTTACCATGGATAAGTAAAAGGATTTATTTTATGTCCCTTTGATTAGGTTAACTTGTATTAAACAAACATTTGAGAAAGATTTATATTTATGAAAAAATATCAAATACAAAGCGAAGTAACTTCGAATTGTAAACAATAGCAAAAGGACTTTTATAATCTTCCTTCGCTCTAACTTGTAGGTAGTTTATTTTAAAATTGTAACTCTTTGTAACTAAAATATTAAAGTAATTAGTAAAAGTAAGTATTTTTAATACGCCGCATACTTCATATATGCATCCTTCCAAAATTGCATACTTTTCTTAAATGGCGCTTTCGTTATTATCATTTTCTATTGATAAAAATTTCGTAGATTTACACTATTGACAGGATTGCTGTAAGGGTAGATACAAAATAATATTAGGTATAATGTTTTGAGATCTTGAGTCTACGTCACTTACGTGAAGGCTAAATAAGATTATTAAAATACTTTCATAAAATTTTCCTTAGAAATAAAAATGGTAATGTTTTAGTAAAGAGAGATTATTCATGTTTCAAGGATTTTGATATAAGAGCAATTTATGATAATGATCTGTTTGATCATGAATCTGTTTCATGATAATTCGTAGGCAAGTAGGCGTGCCTCAGACACGCCGTCGACTTTTTGTCTGAGGTAAGCCGGTTTCCTCACGATGTTTTCTTCCTTATCGAGTAAATGTTAAATGCGCACATAGAAAGAAAGACCATTGGTGCACAGCCGTGATCGAACGCACGACCTCCGAGTCGCACACTGAAGTTAGGGCAACCCTGCTTACATAATATGTATTATGTATAGTCATACAATTTAAAATATAAGAAGTTTCGAGTAAGTCAATTTAACCGGAAACATGAAATAATTGTCATGATCCTACTTACGCAGTTTTCATGAAATTCGTCCAAGCAGTGGTCATATAATCGACTCATCGGTCATTTTAACACCAGAGAATCACAGATATAAAACAACTCATCAGCGTGGTAGACAAGACACAAATTTATTTAAATTCCTGAAGGAATCGTACTGAAACATATAGTTGACAACGGTTGCACATTGCCTTTAATGTGATATTCCATTACTAGTCTAGTCGACAAGGTGAAAATGGAACAAAATAGAGATACTGCTCTTAAAATTATGTGCGATAGCTCATTGGATCCGGAATGACGTCTAGAAAAATGTGCTAAAAGCGTGTATTAGCACATAAAAAATTGCAAAAGTTATAGACAATTAAAGATGAAAAAAAATGGCATTTAGTTTTTTGCCAATATTTAATAAACTATTAATATTTAAGAAATTTCAAATAAAGATTCTGAAAAAGGAGGAAATTTCCAATAAAAAACTCCTAACTCCCGGAACTCTATCTCCATTATTTATAATTTTAATTTAACGCTGAAAATAGGTCTGCGGGTGACATTTTTAGGATTCGCGCGTGGCGTCAAAAGCGACTACGGCACATTAATTAATTTATTTAAGGTATTAAATATTTTTTTTTAAATTTGAAAAAATTATGGTGTGTTCTGAACACTATAATTAATTTATTCCCGTTGAAAATTTTACTTAATGTTAATTTTTCAACAAGTTAAATAATTGTTAACTAACGAAATTTTCTCGAACGACCGTCTTAATTGTAAGTGAAAAAAAATGTTTAAATAATGGTCGTAAAAATATTTCGCTTCGTAGAGCCTTTCTTACATACATACTTAACAAGATCGTGCCATAAAAGTTAAAAAAATATTTATACTTTGTTTATAACATTTTTTTACTTAAACAAAAACTTAAAAATCCATGTAATGTTGTTAAAAATTTTTTTTTCTAAATCATCATATAATCGTTTTTTTATTAATACAAGGTATTTATTGATTTGCAAAAAAAAATTCCCGCCATTTGTTGATAAAATTTTTTTTAAACAAATTGATTAAATCAATAATTTTTAAAAAAATTTTTAACACAGCTTTATTACATTAAAAATTTTATGATTTTAAAAAAAAATTTTTTCCTTAACAATTTTAATTGTTTATAATCGTTTTTTTTTAATTTTCTATTGTTTAAATAATTAGTTAAGAAATTTTTTTTTCTTAAAATCATAATTGACAGTCCTCTATAAAGTAACAGAATTTTTTTTTTAAATCAACAATTCTATTGTTTATTAACTTACCAATTTGTTATAAACAAATATTCAACTTTTTTATATTTTTTTTCTAAAACTTCTAAAATTAACAAAAACAACCATATATAACAAAGTATAGAAAAAAATTTAAATTATTATATATAAATAAATTTATCTTAAATATTAATAGTTTATTAAATATTGGCAAAAAACTAAATGCCATTTTTTTTTCATCTTTAATTGTCTATAACTTTTGCAATTTTTTATGTGCTAATACACGCTTTTAGCACATTTTTCTAGACGTCATTCCGGATCCAATGAGCTATCGCACATAATTTTAAGAGCAGTATCTCTATTTTGTTCCATTTTCAACTTGTCGACTAGACTATACTTCCATCCATACACAATAAGATAATCTGAGAAGTAGTCTTTAAGGCCAGCATAACTATCAGTTGCTACTGATTTATCAAAATACAATTCTCTAATATCATCAAGGAATTCTATATTTTCACTTTCTTTCTTATTGTGAAAGATCTTCTTGGATATCTTTAAATATTTTTTTACGATTCAATAGGAATCATATTGACCTAAAAACATAATTCCTTCTTGTTTTTTAATCACTTTTGTCTTCTTAAAGCTTCCACCTCCTTTAGCTTCCTTGGATTAGTCACCAAAAAAGGATTTATGCTTATTTATGAATCTCAAGGGCGCAAGGTTGAAATATGAACGAATTAATGTTTTTCATATCAACAAAAGAAGCTTTTGTGAGCTCTGTTGCGTCTGTGTTAAGCAGAATATCCAAAATTTCATCTACATCTGTTGTGTTATGCCCCAGTCTTGAGACTAGGAATATTTATTTTTATATTGGATTTATATCGAAACTAGGTATAAAGGTAGTAGATGATGTAAAGAAACTAGGTAGTAAGATGGATCCACTCTCCGCATCTTTTTGTTTAGACATAAAAATCCCAACGGTGCGAGTCTGTAGTTAATAATTACTACTATTATATGTTGTGCGAGATATTTTGCATTATAAAGAAAATTTGCATTGCTTCCAAATGGAAACCCTCCACCATAGATGAAAACCATCAGTGGTAAGCCAGGTTTTTAAATTTCAGGTCTATAAATATTGACGACCCTAACCTTGTACTACTGCTATTTTAACGATTTGAAGCACTTGATTACATTGAATATTTCCATTTGTTGTATAAAGTACATCCGACTATGATGGAACTGGTCCAGGTTTCTAAAATAATTTTACAGGATACTTGGTGGTCAAATTCGGACACACATAACTATATACCAATTACCAATAATAATGACTAGTTTTGACGAATTTTATTTTATGAACAATAATCTTGTTTTAGGAGGATTTCTGTAGAATACATTTTACGAAGCGAAACGTAGTTATGGACAAACGCTGATTTATTTGCAAATGACGCTAACGTCATGAGCTCAATGCATTATAACTTGAACAGCTAAAATGTAGATGAAATCCTATATTGGGTTCTTCACTAAGATTAGTGCAATTCTTCAAAATTCCTAAATAAAAAACTAAATTGTTAGGGCTAGTTGATCCCTAGTTCTTAGGGTAGGAAATTGATGATTGACTCCAATGATGACTTTATTCACTATAATTCACACATTGATTTTTCGTAAACTGTATAACTTCAAACTTGAACAAAGGAATTGCCTGTGCGCATGTGTTACAACCTCTTTTATCATCTAGTCCCCACTCCGACTCGACCTTCCCACTTCGGGCAGTTATTCGAGTCAATTCGTAAATAACCGAATGAGTCAAATGAGTAATAGCGCACTTGTAGCAAACGAATATGTTTCATAAAAATGTTTAGAATTTAATTAAATAAATATTAAAAGCTAACAATATGAATGATTTGTAAATTTTGTGATATCTAGTTTATTTTTTTTGATATCAATAGACAAGGAGTTTATAGAGTCAAATTTTCACACATATCGCATACACATTCACGAAGTGATTTTCCAACGCGGTAACAGAGTGACTGTTTTGACTCGCTCGCGTAATTTTTCTTCTCTCCCGGCTGCTTGCTGTATCCACACTGAAAATGAAACAATCAATGGCAAATGGCAATTCTGACAGACGCATTGTTTAATATACCAATTGTAAAGTAATACGGTCTTATAAGTATATATTATTAATTAATAATAAAAACATTAATAGCTTGGCTTGCAAAGAAGCAAATTATAGGGTCGTTTGTGTATTGACCCTTATTATCGTTGGCTGCAAAAAGTCTTAGTTAATTAAGTATTAATTTTTGTCTGTTTCATCTGCTAATTATTACGAAAAGTGGTTGCCAAATGTTTTAGAATACTCTGTAAAAATCATAGATTTTAACCTATTATTCCGAGCCATACAAAGTGAAAGTTACTATTTTTAAACAGACTCTTACCAATATAGCCATATTCTCGCAATGCAGCCTTCGTGCGCTTGGTTTAACAGTATTAGCTAGAAGTGCCCAGGCACGACCCGCCTGTCTGTCCAGTTTCAGTGCCTGGCACGCGCAGGCAATAGCACAAGAGATCGCCGTAGCCTGCTCGTCGGTTGCGCCCGCGTCGCCACCTTCGCCTACGCTGCTACGCTGTGGGGATTGAAATAAACATTGATAACGTTTTGTGACGAACTAATATAAATTTTCATATAGAATTTAAAATACAAGTTAACTCTGGTCAGGACGAGTCAGATTCATAAACAATCTGTTTGTACGGTTTTGGAGTAAATATAAAGCGAAAAAGATGAATGAGTAGCTAAAACAGTGTACGACAAATCGTATGATCACACTAAATCAAGATAGGTATCTTATTTACCGTCACCCAGTCGTCGGCTAGGCTCATCCATGCGTACGCGCTGGGCTGTCGACGAATGAGATCCGTCAACATTGCTCTTATACGTTGGGACTCACGACGCGGTAACGATAGAAGAATACTGAAGAAATGGTCATTTTCATTCAATAAAAATACAGATTATTAATAATGTTCTTGTGTCATATAACTAATAAAATTGGACTCGCTGTTGAGTTACAAACATTAAAAGATTTAAATAATCTTGCATTTGCATCTATTTAAGTATTCAGAATATTTGCAAGGAAATATATTTTTTATAGAACGTGTCTGTATTACAATACAGTAGTCAGTACCTGTAAGCACCCAGGCAGCTGCCAGCCTTCTCAAAACTCTCTTTGGACTTTGCGAAATCCTTTTTCCTGTGATGACACTCCCCTTCGAGACTTCGCAAATAGTTTACCTATTGAGCGAAATGTGAACTCATCGAAATGTAAAAGTAAAATTACCTCAAGTATATTACACTATGTACTTAGTAGTGGGTTCGATTCCTGTCGAGTCAATAAGTGTGGCTTAGTAGGCACAATTACTGTGATGGCACTCCCCTTCGAGACTTCGCAAATATATACCTATTGAGTGGTGAACTTCTTTTTTTAAGGAAGTATGTATATGTATATATATTTTCTCATCGAAGTGTAAAATTACCTCAAGTATATTACACCAACTATGTACTTAGTAGAGGGTTCGATTCCTGTCGAATCAATAAGTGTGGCTTAGAAGGCACACGATAAACATCGTTTAACTATTTCTGTAACAGACGCAAAAAGTAAAAGACAAGATACTTCACATTCTACCAAAACTCATTACAAACTATTTCGTAAAAACATTGTAAAACTAACATCTCCATACTTTCCAACAGCGTATTGTAAATGGCAAAGTGCGGTATCGACATCCTTGCGTAGACGCGTGCAAAGAGCTAGCAAGTGTTGGTAAACTGGAGATTCACCGACTTCCGTCAATGCACGTGCGAGGCATACCTCTGCTAACTAATCATAATTAAAAAATATTATTGGAATGTCATTTATTGGAATTTGACAATTGTCTTTACAACTTTGGGTTATCGTATCAGAAGCGTGTTTCTTTTACTATATTTCTTTTATAGACAGGTAAGTAATCAGTTCCTCGACGTCGTCGATTTTTACATGCAAGATTCACCGTGCTGGTATATATTGTGCAAAGAAAATCCCAGCAGAAGAACGCCGGACATCAGGGTTGGCACATTTAAGTAGTAGGTTGTATGTTTTGACGTTTTTCGTGATATACTTTATATTTATGAATTTTTTAGTGTATTCGACATACTTGGTGATTAGTAACTCAAGATTAAAAATGAACGACGTAAATGTTTTGTAATTATGATTTAAAACTACAACAATATACATAATCGCTTCTATTGCTTAGTCACATCGAAGACAAAGTAATAGACCATCAATGTTGTTATACAAATACATATATCGAAAATTCTGCCTATATGGCATATAATCTAAGGAAAAATACAAGATTTAATCATTGCGAAGTTGCTAGAACATATTTCATATCTTTACTTTTGACTTTCTTTTGTTACGTGAGCTTTGGGTTCTAATAGGTAGGTACTAGACTACCGAACACTTAAAGTTTATCTGCATCTTAGATTTATTATCAAAACTATATACATTTTTTATTTTTAGTTGCCATAAATTATAGTAATTACTATCTACGTCGGCTTGCAGCTCAACATATCTAAAATCTTGACTTCCTTCGTACTTAAAGGGTACGTATTTGATAAAATTAACCACGTGGCTGACTTTATAGCCTACCAATAGCATGCTACAAAATTACAGAATTTATTGTTTATAGATTTTTTGTCTAACCTTTTTGGTTAAACTATACAGTTTAATTGTATACATGCATCGATCTTAACTCACGGGTATTGCTCGAATACGTAAAAGAAGATCGGCAGCATCATAATACCGATTCGTCCCCGGTAGGAGTGGTGTGTGGTCCCACCAATCGCCCAGTTCTCTTTCCCAGGCACGCGGGTAAGGCAAGTCTTCCGCCAGCCCTTCTGCCTCTATTCTGTATTGTATTTGAACTATATTATAAAGTGATGATTTTTAGTCTCGTATTCTATTTATTCCAGCCGGGGCGAGCTCCAAAGCATATTATTTATTATGGTAATGTTTAGGTGAGTTTCATCTCGTTTAATTTTTTTCTCTCATAATTTTAGCTAAGGCACCGCAAAGCATAACTACTCCAATTGATGTTGCTATTTTTCACCTTATGCATTATAAATGACGCATTTAGTTTAAGGGGTATGTCATTACAAAAACTTAGTTTTTCTTTACTTAGAACAAACCTTCGTACGTAGTTGATAATTTCTGTAGATATGTGAAATAGTTCTCTGTGCCAATAATAAGCACTGGCAGCAACCCATAGAACTTTGTAAAATGGATGAAGGCAAAGCAGCGAGACAAAGAATGGTTCAGCGTCATCTGGGTCTTCGTTGAATATCATGCAGGCTTTGGATAATAGACTGAAATATAAAACCTATTTATGTTAATTTCATTTACAAGCTTATAAGTATATTAAGTATAAGCATAGGTATTGTTGATACTTATCTTAATTTGCAAGATTATAATTGTTAGTTTAAGAGAAATGTAATGTACATTTTGTAGACGCCAAGTGTATTTTACAACTCACTATAATTTACAGTATTCTTATATACAAATAAAAACAAATACCATAAACTATTAGGGATAGAACGGGCGGCCGTGGCGCTAATAAGTGATCTCTTCCAGGCAACCCTACTAAGGATAAAAAATAATACTAAGGTTAAAGTGAAAGAAGTACAAAACCAAATCAACTAAAAAAAATTAATTCATACAATTATCAAACTTAATCTAAAATATAATAATAAAAAAATATAATCAAATAAGAACTAAAAGCTAATATTGCTGTTCATGAATTACAATGCAATAAGCAATGTTAAATTAGTTTGAATTTACCTTTAAATAGCGTAGTCTGTAAGCTGGTATATTTCGAAGAAAAAAAAACGCTAAACTTAACATTTAAGTCCTTATACCAAGTAGCTAACAAGTAACAGCTATTTTGTTTATAATTATAAACGTGATAAAGTATTGCATTAAAATATCTACCTTAAAGGATGTCGAGGATTAAGAAGGATAGACTTATTGATACAGACATTAGCCGCATTTATGTCAATATCTTTGAGGCAAGTTGACAGTTCCCGCCAAAGGTCTGGCTCGCTGGGGGCTTTCACAACAGTCTGTGGACGAAATTCATAAGGAGTTAAGAATTATACAGTGGGGAAATTATAATAAACCGAATAAAAATACTCAAGACTTGGCCTAAAGGTCTAGATACCAGGCCATAAACTCCAAAAAAAAAAAAAAAAGAGTTAAGAATTAAATAGAGTCTGGCTAATGAAAGAAGATAACGAAAAAGCGCGGCAAATTAAAAAAAATAGTATGGTATCCCTAAAATTTTGATATATTTTGTGAATTAAACTTACTTGATTTTATTTTATTATTTTTAACATTGATAGTAACTGGAAAACTAAAACTATATTTATTTTAAAACACAATTTTATTCAGAATAATCAAATTGATGCGAGAGAAACGAAATATTCTATCAAATAAAACAATGTTTAGGCTATTATACCTCTTAATTATTCGGAAAAAATTAATAATAGAAATAAAAATGAATAATTGCATGAAGTATCAACTATCAAGACAATAAATCACTTATCACACTAACCTAAGATATTTAATGATATTCTGTGTTGCCATCCGAAAGTGTTCAAATAATTCAATTATCTTCTTTCATTAGCCAGACTATAATTTTTAGCGACTATTGGTAGAGTAGGGCTAAAGGGTGCATTAGAGTTATCAATAAGTAAACTTCGGATTCGGAAACACAACAAACGTAATTTTAGGCGAACTCACTGATATCTAAATAACTTTAGTATGTAATTGATAACTCTTAATTTACTCTTAAATCGTGTTATCCTTATATAGGAAACATATAACTATTATATAATGGACATTTAAATAGCTATTTTATGGCTATTGAAAGTTACCTGCAAATAAAGGTTTGCTGCATGCTTAATATCTTTGAGCTGACGTGCATTCCTGGCCGCTCTGAGGGTGGGTTCCAATTCCTGGCGATGGTCTTTATTGATAAGATAATCGCTGGACATACGCATAAGACACGAATGGGCCATCATAGTCATTTCCTACAAATATCCTACATAGTGAGTATTTTTATTCATTAACAGTGCGTTCACTGTGAGTTAAGGTGCTTAATACTCACTTCTAGCTTTTCATCGGTGTCAAGAAAATTGTTGATAACAAAATTATTGTTCACATATATAGCGGCGTCTTGCCAAAATGATGTTAGGATTTCTAGACGAGTTCTTGTACCAGCTAGCTGTCGATCCATAAGGCAAATATCTGTTACACCTGCAAATATAACGAATATATTATATAAGCTATGTCAATTGGCATGCAAAATGTCAAAATATAATAATTAATTACAATTTATTTAACACCAGTATGACATTAAGTAAGTACGGGAGTACTTACTTAATGTCGTACTGTAGATTATAAAGTCACTGGCCTTTAAAAATCGAATAATCTTCCCTTTTAAAGCATTAGGTATAAGTAAGTTCTCCGAAGGTGATTAAATAGTTTAATTAGCTATGAAGATAGCTTTTGCATACAGCTAGGTGGTGAAAGGGTGGAACCCACATTCGTGTAAGATCTCTTGATATTTCACTTTTTATGGCTTCCATAATATATAAACTTTTCTATACGAAATAATATAATCCATCTCGTATTCTAAAACGCGCCTTTTGAATACTAATGCGAATTTTAAAATACATATTGAATAAAAATGATTACCAAAGTACGGCACGCGTCGTAAAGAGGTATTTGCCAATTTTACAGTTGACAGCCAATTCTTATCCGTTTGACCCCTACTAGAACATTCCCTCTTGCTCGGTATTGCCTCAAAGCCACTAAGCATTTTATTTATTTCTGACCTGTTACAAAAAATAACAAACTTAGTTACAAATATAAGTAATTGTAAGTATACTTAATAGGAAGAATATTATCTACAGGTTCCTCGGATGTTGATATAAATTGTCTTGTGTATTTAAAAGTATTTCACGTATTATATTCATGATAATTTTGGTCTAAGATCCCGATATACAACGACCTTCACCGAGATGCTTATTTAATGAAACGTATTTTATATTTAATTTAATATATCAATAAATTTAATCCATATGGGTTGCCTAGCAAATTTCAGTCCAGAGTATTTTAATTAATATTAAAAAAAATATTTTTTAAACATTTCACCGGTATGATTATAAGATAAATTCTATACCAATCGCAAGTATGAAGCCCATAGAATATGCAAACGTTAGGTTGTTTTAATCAATTAATTATTTATGTGTATATTTTTTATGTGACACTAATACATCATGGCACTATACATCTTTAGTAAAAAAGAAAGTTATAGTGATACATATATAATACTACCCTGATTAAAAATATTGATTGGAAAAAATTAAAAAAATTTACTACATGCAAATTATAAAAAAATATTTTTTTTAAAAATATTAATTAAACATACTCTGGACTGAAATTTGCTAGGCAACCCATATGGATTATATTTATTGACATATTAAATTAAATATAATATACGTTTCATTAAATAAGCATCTCGGTGAAGGTCGTTGTATATCGGGATCTTATACTATTTGTGATTTTAATTCATAAAGTTTTAGCATAGAAATCGAAAGTAAATTGACAAATCATTAACTCTCGTGGTAATTACAAAATTTGAGGCTGGATGGCACAAGCCTTATCAAATAAAGAAACGTGATTCGAAATACTTAGAAAACTGCCGCGAGATATCGCTTTGAAAACCTTTACAAAATACCATATATACCTATATATTAACAGACACCAGGCACCTTATATATGTCGCAGCCAACTAGTTCGATTAACAGCCTAGCCTTTTAACTAAACGGCGCCGTTTTCACTGTATACCTACAGTGAAAGTCAATCTTAGCTTTACTTAGAATAACAATAATTAAATATTGGGGGCCTCATAGCCTAGCGGTCTTATTAAGTGGCAGCTAGGTGAGGAGTACCGGGTTCGATTCCCGGTTCGACGCTGGCTAATGCACAAAAAATTAAATACGTCAGTCACGTGACACAAAACGGTCAGAATAAGTCGAATCTACGATGACATAGCATTATAACTTCACCTGTCTATTTCTAACACTGTCTTGGAGTTTAATTGGGAAATGTTAAAGAACTTACTGAGTGATATGTGCTGGAATAACGGCTTCTTTAAAAGGCCTCGCCAATTTAATTTCCAAAAGGACAAAAGCGGGGTTTTCGTCACTACCAGTTGGTCTGCCTAACGTCCTTGAAGTACTTGTGTTTGGGCTTGTTTGATTCGATGCAGTGGTTGCTCTAAACGTTCAAGCCTGTTAGTATTTTTAAGCTTTCGGACTGAGCTCTTGTTAGAGTTTGATATATAATTAATAAATATAGTCTTAAGCAATGACTTAAGAATATGGAAAATTTAATAAAAAATGTGTGTATAATTATGTACACGCGTTAGATGTTATAATTCTTTGGCGTAACAAGATAAAAATCTTTTCAAACATTTTATTCTACGTTTGCAGATGATGACACTAACAATAAAAAAATACTAAAATGTTGACTATAGGTAACTTCAGGGTGTCGGTTTTTTGTGACGGTGTGCGCGCGCATCGTAATTTTTCCTAACGCGTCAAAAGAAGTATTACTTCAAAAATATTTACGACACAGCTTTTAAAATTATATGAAGATGACGATGATGTTAATAATTAGAAATAGTAGTATTAGGAATAGGATAGGAAAGGAAAATTAAATGTACCCGTGATAATGTAACAAGTACCATTAGTACAGTACATTTAGTAAGAACCTGCCATTACCAAAATCCAAGCATAACCAACATCAATAAAATATTATTTAAAACGTCGCAAGCGTGCTGTGCGTTAGCGGCCGTGTTCAATTCTTATAATATATTGCGTCCGTTCCTTATATAATCGATAAAAAAAAACTGTTTTCCCATTTCTTGATTAAACATTTACATACGCATACTTAACTGAAAACACCACCTTAAAGGTGATAAGATGCAAAAACTTACTTGCTAGATTTCTGGACGCTAATGAAGGACGAAGGACACTTGTCGCTTGGCGGTAGAAGGTTTTCGCAGCCACACTTCTCCATAATAAGCTCCGAGTTTGCCCAATGAAGTGGTACTGCTATACGGGCTTTTGTTTCTGAAACGAGAATATAAAAGATTATATTATCTATGTTTTGCACATAATATATACGTATTACAATAGCCAATTATTAAGATCACGTTATATACTTATTAAGTACTTTATTAACAGTGTCGTTCAGTAAATAATATTGTTTATCTAGTTGTTTTTGTTTCCCCGAAGTATGATATTTGGCGCTTAAGGAATCGTACCTGATCAACAATACCTTTTAAAAAGCCTAGTGAGGCAATTATCAGTTTGCCTTATCTGGGAAATGGTACCTTTAAATTTGTAATTATTAGAAGTATAAATAATTTTGTTTATTCTCTTTTTTTGTTTGTAAATATTATGCCTGCCGTAATTGTCATATATTTAGATTATTAGATTGAAACTTAAACTGTAGAAAATTTGTTATGTTGTGTGTGATAAATAGAATCCTCAAAAGACCATTTCAGACTGCAATCTACATGGTCTTCACATAATCTTGTTATGTCTGGACTTTAAAAAGAGAATGTGACCTCTGAGTTTGTTTCGGCGTTTCTTCTCAGAGTAGTCAGATAGGAAACGTCGATCTCATCTAGTTTTAAAAAAAAATATGTTTGACGTGTAAACGTGTTTGTAAAAACCTACTTACAGAAATAAATCATTTATCATTTAATAAAAAAACCTAAAACGATACCCTTCTAGTTATTTGGTAAATTTTGAAGATATATACATATACATATATTTATTTTTATTTATTCACACTTCGTTACTTTTATACAAAAACAAATAACAAAATACATAAAAATTATAAGGGATGCAACGGGTGGCCTTATTGCTAACAAGCGATCTCTTCCAGGCAACCCTAGTATGGGAAAAAACTAAAAAAAGAAATATGATTGCTTTAGTGCATAACCAAATCTTATTTAAAAAAATCTTTAAAAAAATTATAGAACCTTAATCTAAAATAATACAAAAAACTATTAAATAAACAAACTAAAAATATTATATAGAGATATGTATTATATTTCACGATGAACAAAAGAAAAGATCACCTCCAGGATATAGAAGCGTGAACAAATCAATGAATCCCATAAAGCTGTATCCGCTGTTATTTTCCCCATACATGTGTACTTCAAGGGGCCATTTGTATCGCCTCAAATGACCCGACAACCATTTCTCAGTTTCGTTCAGTATTAAGGTTTTGTGAAAGGATTTCCAAACGGTCTTATCTGAAATATCAAAATTATACTGTCCCTACTCTATATACGTAAGCTTAAATAAAAATTTGTGCACAAATAACATTTCGAATGTATTTAAAATATAATTACGCAAATTCGATCCCTCTTCCACATAATATTTCAAATCAAGCTTGTCTTCATTTTGAAAATCGCCAAGTGAGGCTGTGAACCTTTCATCTCCCTCAGTGAAGTACTCGTCTCCAAGTCTTAAACTTTCCCAGTCAGAAAAAAAATTTAAGGTATTTGATCTTTTGGCAATCCTGTTTCCCTGATTAAATGTGTAGAGGTTGCAATTCTGAAATATATGTTTTTATTTATTTTAATAACATAAGTAACCATTGCTGGCCACCCCAATCTACTATTTACATTTATATTATATACAAAACAATACATACACCATAGATGATGCTTGTTTGATTCGTTGTACCACTAGAACTACATTTTCTCAAAAAACTGTTTTAAACATGTACCATGTACTACGGAATGTTATCAAGTTACCCACAGGGATTCCCTAGTGTGGGGACAAGCGATAGGTGAATTTTGTCACAACCTATTTGTCATGAATAAAGTTTAGAGCTATCAGTTCAATCAGCGGACAATTTAGAGCGTCTGTTGATCTATGAAATTCATTGATGTTTTCGCTTAGGGTCTGAATAGTAACGGCTGTGGATGTCGCCTCCTTTTTTTTTTTTTTTTTTTTTTTTTATTGTTGGGAAATCAATTTACTGACCCCCGCGCCGGGGCAACGATTTAAAAGTGGCGCAGGGAGTGTGGGAGTCAGTCCGTATGGTGCAATGGACACCTACCCACTAAAACCCAACAGCCCCATCTGTTCGCTATGGACGGTAGGCGCGGTAACAGTTTCCCTTAATCCGTGCCTCCGTCATGAGCGTCTGCTGTGTGAGCACATATTCTGCGTTGCCCAATCCTGTCCTAAGGTCCCAGTGGAGTACGTGCGTAATCGCGACGTCTCCTTCCAGGCCTTTTTTTGCGTTGAGGGTCGGCGTCTGGGTTACACTCCCGAACCCTCTCCGCATTCTCTTTAAGTGTAATGACGGCTTCACAGAACGCTTTGAAAGTGTTCCATGGGCCGTCACTGTCAGCCTCCATCATAGCTTTAACTATGACTGGAAGCGACAGGTCCAATCCGAAGGTGGCGGTTAATAGGCTACGTTCAGAGCTCCACGCCGGACAAACCTCTAAAGTGTGTTGCGCTGTGTCGTCTGCGAAACCACACTCGTGACAAATGGGGGATGCCTCCTCCTGGCAACCCTGTGAAGGTATCCACCGAAACATCCATGGCCTGTGAGGACCTGAACGAGTCGGTACGAGAGTGCCCCCATCTTCTATTTACCCACAAGTTGAGCACTGGACGTATAGATGTAATTGTCCAGACTCCTGCCCTGTGATCTTGTAACTCATCCATCCATTTCTGAAGGACGGTCACTTGGGCTTCCCGTCTCCAGCTGTTTATGTGCTCAGGAAGGGGAAACCCCTACTTCTACTATCTGCCCTATGCCAATAGATCTTGGCTAGGGCAGCCGCTTCGAGGTGCCAGGGGGCAGTTCCTGCAATAACACACGCTGCCTCGCAAGAGACGGTGCGGTACGCCCTTGCCACCCTTATGGCCATCGCCCGTTGCGACTGTCTTAGAATCGCCCTGTTTTGAGCGAATAGACAATCGGCCCAAATGGGGCATCCGTAGAGGACCTTAGCCCGGACCACACCTGCAAATAACCGGCGACACCCCGCACTCGGCCCACCAAGATTTGGCATTAACCGGCAGAGTGCCATAGCCGTGGTAGCGAGCTTCGGGGCAAGTGCCGAGAAGTGATCCTTAAAAGTCCATCGAGAATCGAGGACAAGCCCGAGATACTTTAAAGTGGGGCTTACTCTTATGGGCACACCACATACGACCAATTGTGTACCGTCAGGAGGAGCTCGTCTTGGACCGTGGAAACAGACCGCCCCAGATTTCTCGAGGGCGACTTGGAGGCCAATGCGCCTTATTTGCGCCACAACCTGTGCCACCCCCGCCGTTGCGAGGATGCAAGCTTCTCTGTATGTACGACCTTTTGCAGTGATAAGTGTGTCGTCGGCATAACATATTAGGCTGACGCCTTGCAGATGTGAGCCACGAAGGACGCAGTTATATCCGATATTCCATAGGAGTGGGCCTAGAACAGACCCTTGTGGAACACCACACTCAACCCTGTGTTCCTTCCAACCTCCCCGACCCGGGTAGATGACGGTACGGGCCGAAAGGTATGATCTTATCATGCGCCGGAGGTATACTGGCACGTCATGGAAGATTAAGCCGTCTATAATGGTATTCCAGGGAATCGTGTTAAAAGCGTTTGCTATGTCTAGTGACACCGCCAGCACCACCCCTCCTTGCGCGAGTGTCTCCTCGCAAACGTCTCTTAGCCTTGCAACGGCGTCGATGGTAGACCGGGCGCGCCGGAAACCGAATTGGGTATCGGCCAAATCCGGCCCGTCCGTTGTAAGGTGTTTTACTATGCGGGATGCTAGCACTCGCTCGAATAACTTGCCTGCTTCATTTAATAAAACAATTGGCCTATAGGCCGACGGGGACTCAGGTGATTTACCCTCTTTCTTTAATAATACAAGTTTTCCCGTCTTCCAGCTACTCGGAAAGTGGCCGTTCTTTAAAATATGGGTTAGCAACTCCCGAAACCTCTCTTCCAGCCCGTTATTGAGGACATGGACCCAGACCTTCCCGTGAACACCATCTGGTCCGGGGGCTGTCTTTTTGCTCTGAAGCTTAAGTATTGCAACAGAGAGTTCCTCAGGCGTCACTTCTGGGACTTCCTCATCATAGTGGAGGTCGTCGCGAGATGTTGGATGCGAACTGTTAGCCGGGAATAGTGCGGAGACTACCGTATCCAGGAACACCGGTTCTAGAGTGGTAGTGAGTGGCGGAAGCCAGGGGCGCAGCTTGGTCATCACTAGCCTATATGGCCGCCCCCATGGGTCTAGCTCTAAAGTTTGTAAAAGATCTTCCCAAGCTTTCTCTTTGGCCTCTCCAATTGCAATGCGCAAAGTTAATTTTGCTGCTTGGTATTCGCCGTAGCACCTTCTTTCTTCTTCCGGATCGTGTGGAGCAAGGCGTCTTCGACGTAATCGGGTGTAGTGACGTCGGGCAACTACACAAGCCGTCCGTAGCTGGGTGAGTTCAGGCGACCACCAGTACACTTGTCGGCGGGGCGGAATAGGGCGGATCCTTGGCATTGCAGCGTCGCTAATACGTCGCAAAGCCTCTCCGAACCATTGCACCTCTCTATCTGCTAAGATAGTATTTGGCTTAGGGCACCACGCCTCTGTCAAAGATGCCAAAGACAGGGAGTCAAAGTCCAGTTTTTTACGGGACCATTTTGGCCCTATTTCCGGTGGAGGCTGATTTGATCTACCAGTTGCTGGTGGTAGCTGTTGATGGGGACTCACCAGGCACCGAATGTACCTATGGTCCGAAAGCGTTTCAACCTCTGTAAGTACACGCCAGTTGGAGACGCGATTTGCTAGTTCCGGGGATGCAAAAGTTACATCGACGATAGAACTGCCCTGCATTCGCACGCATGTGCGTTCCGATCCTCGATTCAATATCACCAAGTTGTGAGTGGCGATCCAATCAACCACCGCATCGCCACGGGCTTCGGTTACCGGAGAGTTCCACATAGACGACTTCGCGTTGAGATCCCCTGCAACAATAACATTTAATGGTCGAGCCCATTCCACCAGGGAGCCCATTTCTGCCAGAAAGGCCTCGAACTCTGTAATATTCCGGTTCGGCGAAAAATAAGCTCCAATTACAACGACTTTTTCTAGTTTAACAGCGACACAGCCGTTTCCTTTTAGCGAGGCTTGAGGCAAGCCTTCAGGCAACGAAACGGCAATCGCAACTAAACCGTTGCGGTCGCCAAACCAGTTTTCCCTCTGGGGGGATCATATACGGCTCCGATACTATTGTGATATTGATTAACCACTGCGCCATGCTCTGGAGTAACAGATCCTGAGCTTTGGCGCAGTGGTTGATGTTCGCCTGTAGGATTTGGAGGGCCATCTATGAACCAGGTGTTATCTCCATTTGCTCTGTGTCCCCGATCGGTGGGGCACCAGTGGCCGTTTTGTTCGCGGTCCACGTCCTTCTGGGCATCTTTTGCTGGGGGCCGAACACGCGTTACCCCCCAGTAGATGGTTTGCTCTTTGGCCAGCCGCAGCACACAGAACGCATTGCGGCTTTTCAGAGCAACCTCCTGCTCGGTGGTCAGATTGACCACACCGAAAACAAAGGTGACTGTGGTCCATATCCGCAGTACACCGTGCTGCTACATGACCGCCCTGGAAGCAGCGGAAACATCTCAGTTCTCGGGCCCTCAAGAGAACAACTCGGGCGGAAGCCCATCCCACTAATAACCTTCCTTCGGTCAGCTTTTTGGCCGCCGTCACTGGGCACCTGACCCATGCCGCAAAAAGGCCAGTCCTGTTCTGACGGACGCTACCGACCTTCACATTGTCCGGCGAGCAGCTGACCTTAGAGCAAATGGCTTGTTTGACCTCTTCCGGGGTGACTGTTTCATCCAGCCCCGAGATCATCAACTCAGTTGATTTAACAGGTCTGGAAACCCGGACTCTTCCGTCACCATAGACCTCCTTTAATCTAGATGCCAGAATATCCGCCTTCTCCTCACCACCTGTCCCGGGGACCTGAATGATGGTGGCCCCCGTGACAGCTCGTCTGAACCGGACCGCTTCTATACCAAGCTCAGCCAGATTTAGTTTTGTCTTCGCCTCTTTTAGGACTGCTACGTATGTAAGGCCTTTCTCTTCGGCATCCGGCGGAAGCGTTAAAACAACTGCTGCGGAACTGGGCGTACGGAGCTTCAGTTGTGCAGCTGTTGCCATTGCCTGTCTCTTAGGTTGTGCTGGAAGTTGTTGAGCACCTTCATTCTTCTTCCGGCGCAATCCTTTCTTTACCACCTTATTCCACGCTTCATTAGTAGAGGGGAGCTCTGGCAGTGGGCACGGTGGTGACAGAGGGGCAGCATTAGGGACAGTTGTCCCTGTAGGCACATTCTCTTGCCTTCTCTTAGGTTTCTTCTTCTTTTTCTTCTTTTTCACGCCGTCCTCGGGTTGAGTTGCCACTGTATTCGAAGTGGGCGCTGCTGTCGTCTTTCTAACCTTGGAGGACCCCGACGTTGTTGCCACAGCCTCCGGCTTATACTTGTCAGCGGAGAGAGGTGGTCGTATGCGAGGCTCCGGGTTGAGTCTTGGTTCTATGCTTTCTATTCTAGCATTGATCCTATCCACAAGGCGGCTCATGAGCCTTGCCTCAAGGTCCTCTAAGTCCGGTGTTGGTACCGGATCTGTAGGGCGTTGCTTTATTAGCTCTCGCAACTCTCCCATCTCTTTTTGGAGCGCCTCCAGAAAGTTTCGAAGCCGCTCGTTTTCACTTCGAAGAGCTCGCGTCTCATCCGAAACAGACATTTGAGCGAGTACCTCTGTGTCCTCTTTAATAGATTTAGCGACAGATTTGAGGGCGTGGACAAATGTACCCTTAAGATTTTTTGACTTAGTCGCGACTTTCTCTACCATTTGCAGATTAGCTTCGATGCGCCTCTGCGCTAGATCTGCCGTCAAAATTTCCCCTTCTGCATTCATTGCCGCTGGTGTTGGTGCGGGTTTACTCGGCTCAGTCAATGAAGCGAGGATCTCCTCCTCAGCCTGGGCTTCCTTTTCCGTTTTCTTGGCCTTTAAATAAGCAGACCTAGCAGGCGCCAAGCCCATGTACCCTCTGGTTTTTGGTGGGCGGCCTCTTCCTCTTCTTGTTGTAGCAACTTTTAGTGGGGTCCGAACAGACGACTCGCTGATTGTACTGTCGCCATCGTCTTCGCCACTCCTGGTTCGTTTGCGAGAACTCCAGAATCTAGGATATGTAGGGTCTGTACAATCCAGTGATCTGGCGCTGATCATAGATGTCGCGGAGGAATCCGATAACCTTCCAGCATCAGACGTAGGCGCGTCAACTGGATGGTCGCCAAAAATGTCCCTGGAAACGCTCGGCACCGGCGTAATACATAGAGTGCGCTCAGGCACCACGGTCACTTCTTGTAATTCTCTCAGATCCGGGTTTATTGGTTGGTCCGTGGATATCATTCTACTATCGCATGTGTTATTTCTAATGATTTTCTCCTCGCTCGCCTCGGCAAAAGCGCCGGAATCATGAAGATTGTCCCCCCAGAGTACGGTGGGACTTTTGCACCGGCTCTTGCGAGCAGGTGGCGGGATTTGACCCGCCTGGGGTAGTTTTACAAGTATTTGTCTTCATTTTCGCTTTAATTTTTATCCAGGTAAGACAGCTCACCCTGGGACGCCCTCGGGACCGAACTCCCCCCGGCCACTCACCCCATCGCCGGGCGCCAGAAACTTGAGGTTAGGGGCTCGCCGTCAATTCGACGAGCCTCGCCAGCCTTAAAGGCCAGCCATACCACGCGCATGAAGCGCCGCTGGGGCTAGATAGAATGGCCCCCCTCTATATCCGATTCGCTTCACCAAGGTGCTGGCTTGCACCCCAGTTACTAAGCCCTCCCCGGCCACGTCAAGGCTCGGACCCCGCAGGATGGACATCTGCGGTGGGGAGGGGTGGATGTCGCCTCCTAACGTAACCTTTAGGCACCCTTAGGTTTTAGGTTAAATGAAATTGAAATCGGCATAGTATTTTTTTCACAATGTCATGACTTTGTCCCTACATGATTAGTTGTTAGCACAGAAATACCTATAGTATGTATGATGTTAGAAATCATACGAAGAATATCATAATGCGTATGAACACCACCTAAGGAATTTCCGAACTAAATCGACTTTTCTTCAAGAAACGACCGTACCGATTCTTAAAAGGAGGGGAACGCACGTGCGAGCCTTTTTCCTATGCGAGTGTCTTAGGCGGCGGTATCACTTAACATCACGAAAGCCTCTTGCCTGTAGTAATGGAAAACCATAATACGAGATTTAGGGCGTTATAATTCAGAAATGCATAGTTTTTTCGATAAAGTAATAATAGAAAACGCCTGTTGTAATATTTAACGACATTTCATGTATACTATATTACGCATTTAAATACAATTATAAACATTTTGATTATTCTGTTCGTATTTCGGTTAGTTTAGTAGTGATATCTTGTTTGAGCACATAAAATCTGCTACATCTTAGATGAAGTTTATATTTGTTTTAAGGAACGAGAAACGTTTTAACAACATTTCAACGAACAACAATATAGTTGAAATAAAATGGGATATAAACATGAATTCCTGACATTATTTACTTGATAATGTTGTCTGAATACAATAAGTATAATACACAAACACACACATATATATTTTTGTGTATTGTATATGTCGGTCAATGTATGTCTTAGCATGCAACGCTAGATTTTGTGGTCCATGTATTTGGAAATGGAAAAATTCTGCGCCTGTAATTAATCTAGCCAACTTGTTTATTATTTTAAATTTTTATGCAGTTCAGAGGTACCTGATCATTATATATTGGCATCTTGGTGGCTGCTGTGTACACGAGTTCATCATCATAAGGAACGTGCATATTGAAGCTTCCGATGAGAGTGAATGTCATGAAATTAGCATCTTTTAACAATTGTTGGTGTTTTATATTAGCGGGATTACGAAATGCAGATATTTCGAGTGTAACTAAGGGTAAATTGTCCCAACTCTTTGCTTGACTCGCTCGTGGCTCAATCATTGGGCGCAGCCTTTGTCTTAAGTATAGTTTATTTTTGCCTAGAAGTAATAACTTAATTACATTTTGGCGTTACAATATAATTCGTAGGATAATTAATGTAAACAATTAAATACAAACGTCAGATTTTAAAGTTCCTAATTTTTGTATGGATAACAACAGTCCAGTACTACGAGTAGTTTCAAAATATACGTGATGAAAAGAGCTCGCTTATTTATTAACTATGACGTAAACTGTCAAGGATGAATATTCGAAGAACTCAAATTTAAGAGTAGTCAGTAAATCATAGTAGATGTACTGGATTAAAATAACATGTGAAAAGGCGTGTTTCGTTTGTTTATAATTTAAACATCTGTAGCCTGTGATCTAATCACAGACACGCGCCATATTTCCGTTTGACCAATCGCATCAAAGTGCGTCTCTTTGATGCGCTCATCGTTTCGTCTTCTATCGTCGTCTTTTTTGAATTCTTAATCACATATTCAGAGATAGATAGATACTAACCTGTAAAAACTGACAGAATATTAATATTACAGCAAAATATATCTAATTTTGGCTTCACTGCTACTTTTGTCTCTTGATCTAGCGTGCCATTTTCTTCTGCCGTCTTATCGTATACCATTTGCATTTCTATATTTTCTAAAGACTGGATTTTAACTAAAAAATACATTTTAGGAAATTAAATACATATCTAGGCTTTAAGTGACGTTAAAAAAAGTGTCTCTCACTTGTCAAAGGATTATCAGCAAATGTACACATTTTTTCATAGTCAGAAGGGTCGTAATTCATAAAACCCTTCGCTAGGGTCCTTTCTTTAGCATTCTCTCTGTGCCCTACTGATGTTATGATAGCCGAAATTAAAAGTTGATCATAAAATACGACTTTGATAGCGAATTTCTTAGGATTTTCGTCTGGTAGGCGAAGTCCTAAAATGCGTATACTTAGAACATCGAGAGGGGGTATGTAGACTTCTCCGACAGTCGTCGTGTCAGATTTCGCTTTTTCGATGGTCACATCTGATTTGGTCTGTAATAAGTAAGGATTTGTCAACATTCATACAGCTTGAAGTTTATTTTTGTCTTGTTGTATTTTTTGTGCAAATGTATCTCAGTTGCATAATTACACAAATTTTACTGCAATGGAAACGCTCAGTTCAGGGTTAGTGCATGTCTTGTGTTTTAACCTATTTATTTACAATTTTGGATATCTATTGCTGTTAAATTAAACAGTATTTTTTGTGCATGATATACATTATTTTGACAAAATATTTATTGCAGAAGGTAAGCGAAATACGGATGTGCATAAATAGCACACATTTTGAAGATATAATAATCAAATACGTACTTTTCCGCGTTTCATTATCGGGCGTTAAAATCTATTTTTATTTTTCCTATTTTTGAATTAGAATGGAAATGTCGATTCAATTCTTTCAAATGTTCACTACCACAGATTACTCATTGTGTATCTTACAGATTATATAGTATATACGTAGATATTATAGACTTGAGAGACTTGTGATAGACAAGGAGAAACACACACACATCACATATTAGAAAATTGTAATTTGCATAAGGTTACTCTCGTTTTCAGGAGGCTGAAACATTTTTTCAGACAGTTTCAGAACATGTGTAGTCGAGTGGTCGTTTTAATCAAAACCATTTTCTGATGGAATGAAGTGCGCGTAATTTCCGGCTGTTTAGTGTAAACAAATTCCTCATTGATTTATTTAAAAATAAACACTTGAAGAGATCTACGGCGTTTTCTATCCGATCCCCTAGTTCGTAACAATATTTTACATGTCATAAGTCATATGTCAAAAATATGTTCTTACATAAAGTGCCAGTTATTGTATTTACATGGTATTTGTCTAACGTTTGAAACATAGACAAAACCACAAATTTTAGATTCTGTATCTTTGAAAAAAGAATTGGCGTTTTTGACATTCTTTTAAGTACCTACGCTTCATAATCCATATAGATAATCCAATATTAGACCAGTGCCGATAATTTTTGAAACCAAAAAAAATTACAGTAGGATGAAACCCATTAGAAAAGCAGGGGAATATGATCAAAATAATAGGAAAAATAAATTACGGTCGATCTGAGGTCGGGAAGGGGGGTAGGGGGGGAGTTTTAAGGGTAAAAAACGGTTTATCTCGATTTCCGGCAAAACTAAAAGTCCTATCGAAGAAAGTTAAATGACAAAGTTGTAGGTAATAAAAAGATTCTCGACCTTACCGCATTAGGGCTGTCACTGAAAAAGCAAACTTGTGTCAACGTGGACCAACCTGTTACACGTGTGGGGAAGTGGGGCACATGAGGTTATCGTGCCCAAAGAAAGACTTCCGAGGTGATGTGAAGGTTAGACGTGGGAAAACCTTGGTTATCGACGGAGTAGTCAATGGAACTAAGTGTGACTTAACACTAGACACCGGAGCTTCACGAACCGTAATCAGATACCAACTTCTGAAGTCATTTTATGGAAGCCCTTCTCGAGGAAATGTACAGCTTGTTACAGCTACAGGTCAGCGTATAACCGATCGGGGAGAAGGTATCGCGACCTTCAATATTGGTGGAAGATTTTACAGACACAAGGTCGTTCTTGCCGACATAGTAGATGACTGCATAATCGGGCTAGACTTTATGATGCTGTACAATTGTAAAATAGATCTGGAAAAAGGAATCTTTAAGTGTGGAGAACAGGAAGTCTGCTTAAAAGGCAACTCTTCAAATAGTGGTTTTGACGTCTGTAGAGTTATCAATGTGGACGGACAGGACTGTAATCAACAAGAGTGGAACGCAGTTCGTAAAGTTACTGAGACCTATGAGGAAGCCCTGTCAAGACACCTATCAAAGGCAGAGGAACAACTAAAGAAGTTTTCGGACATTTTATCTGCCCATGAAAGAGAGCTTCCAAGAAGTTCAGATGTGTCTCAACGACTATGTAAAAAGGTCAACAAACAGGGTAGAAGGGAGATTGGCCATGTGAGAACTTATAGAACAGACACCATTCATTCAGATTGGGGTGGAAAATTTATGCAGATAGCACAGCAAGAAGATTGTGACATTAAACCAATTCTGGATTGGATGAAATCTTCAGCTGTCAAGCCGCAGTGGAGTAAAGTCGCATCTACAAGTACCACTACTAAGAGTTACTGGGCTCAATGGGATAGTTTAGTTCTACATAATGGAGTGTTATGTCGCAAATTGAAAAATGCTCAAGGCGATCATTTGCAGATAGTTGTGCCAAGATCCAAGGTTCGCGACATATTGGAAATGTTTCATACTGACTTGTCTAGTGGACATTTAGGAGTAAAGAGGACTCTATCGTGAAGATGTTGAAGACTGGATCAAGAAATGTAAAGATTGTGCAGCTATTAAGGATTCGCAGACTCGGTCTCCATGGGAAAGGATAACGGTGAATGAAAGTGATGATGCTCGGGACGAGCATGTCTAAGGAGGGGGTAGTGTTACGAAGACGGGTCGACTACAATGTTTCTAGATTTTTCCACTACTTAGAGAACTTTTCAGCAGGCTGAAATGTGATTTCTGACCGTTTCAGGGAAGGGTCAATCACATATTAGAAAATCGTAATTTACAGAATGTTACCCTAGTTTTCAGGAGGCTGAAACATTTTTTCAGGCCGTTTCAGAACAAGTGTAGTCGAGTGGTACACTTTTCAGGAAACCCGTTTTCAGGCCTGGTTATACCCCTTTGATGAAGGAATGTTCTAGAACGAATTTTCTAGAGGTGGGACAAGGACTGAATGATACGCGAGAGAGAGGGAAGATCGGAACTATCTCGAAGCTAGACCGAGCACTAGAACACCGTACGACAAGGACGGAGCAATGTGCGAGAGAGATAGCGAGTACGCACGTTCTAGAATTGTGCGATCGTTACTCAATAGCGCTCCCGCCTAGAGAGTTCTCGAACTTGCAAGACTATTCCCAGGGATATATAATGGTACGTTTACACGCTTGCCAAGCCTTGGCAAGGATCGACAATCGCAAGCATGTAAAAAGGGCGTTTGGCTTGGCTTGCGTGGGCTTGTGCCTGTTTTTTTACGCAGATCAAAGGGCGTTTGCGGCAAGCGCTTGCGATGCATTTACATGTTGGTCCGCGTTTAGTAGCCATTGTGATCTCGCGGCGAGTACACGCTTGATTGATTTTACAAAAAATAAATAAAAAATGAGTTGCTGGTCGAATGCGGAGAGTCTTTCGTTTCTGGAACATTACCAAATTGAACCATGCATCTGGAATCCGAAAGATGCAAATCACAAAGATAAGAAGAAACAAGCAGATGCATGGATTCGTCTTGCTGAACTTACTGGACGGCCAGTAAAGGAAATAAAAAATAAAAAAGAGATATTGATGACTTCTTTTCTACTTTTTCTTTTTCAAGCTCTTCTTTTTATTTCACTTTGCTTACATTTCAAATAAAAGTACGTTAAACCAAATGCAATAGCCGTCACAAGTTCGGTGTCCGCCATGCTTGGATGAATATTGCAGACTGACGCATTCACAAGCGTATAAACGCCTTTCAAACGCCAAACGAGATTTGTGGAGGCTTGGGACTGTTTGCAGTTTGCCAAGGCCTGGCAAGCGTGTAAACGTACCATAAGCGAGCCGAAACGCGATGTGTTAGTTCAGTTTTGAATGCGATATCAAGAGATAAACACCGGAGTGAAAAAGTGCGAATATAGTAAAGACAAGTGAATACAAGTACTGTGTGAAGTGCGTGTAATTATAGTAATTAGTGACAGTATTTTGTGTGTGTATTAAGTGAATTATTGTGCGTAATTTCCAGTTTTTAGTGTTAACAAATTCCTCGTAGATTTATTTAGAAATAAACCCTTGAAGAAACCTACGGCGTTTTCTATCCGATCCCCTAGCTCGTAACAATATGTTGGAGACAATAGGAAAAGAACCCATCTCCTTAGATTTTATTCATTTCATTCATTGTTAATGGCAAGAATAGTCTTATTTCCTTACTTAGATAATTAATTCTGACTAGGAATGCAGCGTTTATAGAATCTAAATAATGAACAGTACAATTTAAATAAAAAAAACACTCGAATAAATAACTTCTCCTTCGGTTTTTTACAGGTAAAAGTGTGGGTTTACAAAATGAAAACAAAAGTTTGCTGTGGTTGTATAAAAAGCAATTTAATGCCAGCCCTGCGATTCTGTAACTCACTTTTCGAACTCACACAGCGGTTTTCGCATCGGCGGTCGCTCTCAAATCAGTCGTGAAGCAGTCATTTTATGATTTGGCATTCTGATAAAGTGGGAGCTTGTAGTTTATTGTTTATAAATAAGTTATTTATTCGAGTGTTTTTTTTATTTAAATTGTACTGTTCATTATTTAGATTCTATAAACGCTGCATTCCTAGTCAGAATTAATTATCTAAGTAAGGAAATAAGACTATTCTTGCCATTAACAATGAATGAAATGAATAAAATCTAAGGAGATGGGTTCTTTTCCTATTGTCTCCAACATATTGTTACGAGCTAGGGGATCGGATAGAAAACGCCGTAGGTTTCTTCAAGGGTTTATTTCTAAATAAATCTACGAGGAATTTGTTAACACTAAAAAACTGGAAATTACGCACTAAAATTCACTGAATACACACACAAAATACTGTCACTAATTACGTTAATTACTCGCACTTCACACAGTACTTAATCACTTGTCTTCACTATATTCGCACTTTTTCACTCCGGTGTTTATCTCTTGATATCGCATTCAAAACTGAACTAACTCATCGCGTTTCGGCTCGCTTATGGTACGTTTACACGCTTGCCAGGCCTTGGCAAACTGCAAACAGTCCCAAGCCTCCACAAATCTCGTTTGGCGTTTGAAAGGCGTTTATACGCTTGTGAATGCGTCAGTCTGCAATATTCATCCAAGCATGGCGGACACCGAACTTGTGACGGCTATTGCATTTGGTTTAACGTACTTTTATTTGAAATGTAAGCAAAGTGAAATAAAAAAGAAGAGCTTGAAAAAGAAAAAGTAGAAAAGAAGTCATCAATATCTCTTTTTTTTTTTTTATTTCCTTTACTGGCCGTCCAGTAAGTTCAGCAAGACGAATCCATGCATCTGCTTGTTTCTTCTTATCTTTGTGATTTGCATCTTTCGGATTCCAGATGCATGGTTCAATTTGGTAATGTTCCAGAAACGAAAGACTCTCCGCATTCGACCAGCAACTCATTTTTTATTTATTTTTTGTAAAATCAATCAAGCGTGTACTCGCCGCGAGATCACAATGGCTACTAAACGCGGACCAACATGTAAATGCATCGCAAGCGCTTGCCGCAAACGCCCTTTGATCTGCGTAAAAAACAGGCACAAGCCCA